GTATCGTGGATGACTTTAATTTGCTTTCAGATAATCAAAAGTCCTCCTCAAAAATCAAACCAGCTACCAGTCCCTTCTTTATCAGCATCTTTGTTTCAACCGTGTTCGAAACTTAACCAAATCCAAGAATGGTTTACCTTAACTTTTAGTTTTGTTTTAGTTTAGAAACAGAGCAGCTTTCTGATTTATATTAATATATATATATTTTAAATTATATAAAATGGATGTTGTTGAATTGAATGATTATTCTTCTTTTTTTTTTTTTTTTTTTTTTTTTTTTTTTTATTTAATTTGCAGCACAAAGTAATTACTGATGTAATTGTTTGATTACTTGATTGGTAAGTACTAATTAACTCGTTAAAACAAATTAACAGTTGTTCCTGAATCATGTCATGTCATGTCCGCGTGTTTAAGGGGACAACCCGATAACAGTGAGTGTCCAGACACCACAGGCCTACACAAAAGGAAGTCAAAGTCCACAGGTCAGGTCTTCTATTTGAGATGTCTGAGGGGAAACAAATAAAAAAACCAAAAGCAAACGTACGCAAAACGCATTCTTGTCTTAACCAAATCCAAGAATGGTTTACCTTAACTTGTAGAGCTCGTTCCTACGATTCTTGTTTGAGGGAGGAAGAAGGCTGGGCTCTCTCTCTTTCTCTCTCTCTCTCTAACCTTGTATATTTTTAAGTAAGAAACCATCTTGTCTTTCCTTTAAGACGAAGTAGTTGTTGCTTGTTGTGAGTTGAGCAAGAAAAATGGGTTCCTCAAGATCAATGCTTGTCTTCATTAATCTTGCTATTATTATCTTAAACCTTGTTGCTCCCACCATATCCCAAGATGATGGACCATGCACACCTACGGCAGACTACTGCTGGAAATGCTCTGATACTGGCACCTACACAGCAGGTGACAAGTACCAAGAGAACCTCAACAGCCTCCTCTATTCCTTCTCCAACACCCAAAACATTCCGGGTTTTACAGTTCATCCAGGGACAAGACTCCAACAAGATCAATGCAATTGCATTATGCAGAGGAGATCTCTCACTGGACTCTTGTAGGGCTTGTCTCAACAGTCTACTGATATTCTCTTGCAAAATTGTTCAACTCATAAGGAAGCAATCATATGGGCAGAGCCTTGTATGGTGAGATACTCAAACAAGTTGATATTTGGTATTGAACAAACGAACCCTTTTAAGCATTTGCCTAGCCCAAACTATCCTAGAAATCCTAACAGTTTGAGCCGGTGCTTACCCCACTTGTTGGGTAATTTAAGTGACACAGCTGCGTCAGGAATTCTCTTAAAAATTTGCAGCAGGGCATGCAACTGTCCCTGGAGGTGAACCAATATACGCACTTGCTCAGTGCACTCCAGACATAGACAAGCAAAATTGCAGCAGTTGCCTTAAACAGTCCGTCACAGAAATTCGAACCTGTTGCGGTGGAAGGAATGGAGGAAGAGTCCTTTAACCCAGCTGTATTTAAGGTATGAGAATAATAGTTTCTTTGCGTCTTCGGCCGATTCCTTCGTAGATATTCCACCTCCAGTTCCCGCAGCACCAGCACTTGAAGAAGGTATGTATGCTATTATGGTTACCCTGCAAATCTTCAATTTGATCCATGTCTTACAATTGTGTGGTGTGGTTTTGGCTTTTGATAAGATATCCCCATCTGATTTTCAGCAAAAAAGAAGAGTAACACAAAACAAACTGTCATCATCATCGTTGTGGTTTTGGTTGTTTTTGTCACTATTTTCAGCAGCATATGCTTTTTCTTCAGAGTAAAGAAACGAAGGGTAAAACTTGAACAAGGTAAGTTCACCTCTGTTTATTTATCTTAGAGAGGTTTTGGAACTCTGTTTGCTAATTCATTTTCCCCTTTTCAGATGAGAATTCCGAAGACGATTCGGAAGACGTTAGTCTGGTGGAATCATTGCAATACGATTTTGAAACTATAAGATCTGCAACAGATGACTTCTCTGATGCAAATAAGCTTGGACAGGGTGGATTTGGAGCCGTTTACAAGGTAACGAAACACTATCACAAGGAAAAAGATTCATCATGAATGAGTTGTTTTGCGTAATTAACTTTTCTAATTTTCTTACAAACCTTCAGGGTAGGCTAGCGAATGGAACATATATAGCTGTGAAAAGGCTCTCTAAGAATTCTGAACAAGGTGAACGTGAATTCAAAACTGAAGTCACGTTAGTTGCTCAACTTCAGCATCGGAACTTAGTGAGGCTGCTAGGTTTTTGCTTGAAAGCAGGGGAAAGAATCCTCATTTATGAATATGTGCCCAACACCAGCCTTAATCACTTCATTTTTGGTATGTTTGTTCTCCTTTTTGTCATAATTCATAATCATTTCTGCCTCGATTTTGTATTATAGGAAAGCATATTAACAAAATCATGTTTCATTTGATGGAATTGGATTTAGATCCAATCAATCAAGCACATTTGGATTGGGAAACACGTTACAAAATCATAGGAGGCATTGCTCGAGGGCTTCTTTACCTTCACGAAGATTCTCGACTTCGAATTATTCACCGTGATCTTAAACCTAGCAACATTTTGTTGGATGAAGATATGAATCCTAAAATTGCGGATTTTGGCATGGCAAGATTGTTTATGATGGATCAAACTCAAGGAGATACCAAGACAATTGTGGGAACCTAGTAAGTATCTGCAAATTTCAAAGCTAAATTACATTGTTGTGCTTGTTCACACCATAACTAAAATTTTAATTTGATGAATATAATAATGCAGTGGATATATGGCTCCAGAGTATGTAGTTCATGGACGTTTTTCAGTCAAGTCGGACGTCTTTAGTTTTGGCGTGTTAGTTCTTGAAATTTTAAGTGGTAAAAGGATTAGTAGTTTTCGAAATGGAGAGAATGAGGAGGATCTTTTAAGCTATGTGAGTATGAATTATAAGGTTTTATATTACCAAACTCTTTTTCTACCAAAAAAACATAACAAGAGAAAGCAGCATCATTTCTTCTTTAATTAATGTGTTTATAAACTTGATAGGCCTGGAGGAATTGGAAGGATAATACAGTGGCAAATATCATGGACCCAAAGCTGACGACAGGTTTAGGAATTGAAATGATGAGATGCATCCACATTGCATTGCTATGCGTCCAAGAAAATGTGGCAAGCAGACCATCCATGGCTTCAGTTGTCTCTATGCTTAACAGCCATTCTGTCACACTCTCACTACCCTCACGACCGGCATATTATTTGCAATATAACAGTGGATCAGACATAACAGGGTCCGATGAATCCCAAAACCCTATGCATGTGTCAGCAAATAAGAATTCAGATTTTACTGAACCATATGCTCGCTAGTGGGGTGGGGCTGAGTATGTATCAGGAACAATTTATTTTCTTTTCTTTGATATGCGTGTTTGATTGATATATTTGAAAAACTGCAGCTCAAGTTAAATATTTTCTGTACTTAAAGTAAAACCAATTGTCGTTTATTTGAGAGGTTTATCAAATGCCAAACTAATCCGGACTGGAAACAAGTTTTCAACAAAACCCAAATCCAATCAAGCCAACACAAACCAATAAATTTCGGATTAACTTGGGTTGAGCTAATGGGTTTAGGCCCATTTTAAAATATTAAAATAAAAATAAATTTTTGCATCAGATTTTGATTGATGGACTGACGTGTCTAACGAATATACCCCGCAATTGCCTTGAGCATCAGAGTCTGGAGAAATTGGATTCCTTCTTTTGCCTTGGAGAAATTGGAGGGAGGATACAGTTGAAAACATCATAGATCCGGTGTTGACGAGAAGTTCATGAAATCGAAGCGATGAGATGCATCCACATTGGTTTACTATGTGTGCAAGAAAATGTGGTGGACTGACACGGACCAACCGGGGTTGGTGTCTTCTTGCGTCAAGTTGGTATGCTTATCTCCATGCAGTTCTCTGTCTATTGTTCTCTCTTCTCACACCCATCAGTAGTGAGATGGACGAGGGAGGAGAGGGAGAGGGAGCAAAAACCCTGAAATCTCACTTTTTTTGTTTTCAATAATGGGGGTGTTTTTGAGTGTTTTATGAGTTTGAGTTTTTAAAAATGGGCCTACCAAACGGGTCTTTTGGACTTTGGACTTAAAATTTATTTTTGAGTTTATAAAATTGGATCAAAGTAGGATACCAAACTTAAGTTTACATTGATCTCAAAAAATGTGATCCACTTTCTTAATTATTTATTGATTTTCCTATCACCTTTTGCACAAAAGAACTTGGATGAATTGTCTATCCTCTGTTTGTGTGGTGATTACATTACTGTATGTTTTGATAGAGTAGATTAGAACAGAATCTGGCGTAATGGAAGATTCGAAGGTTTGTTTTTATTTTCTTTGTTTGTTTCTAAAAAATTTTAAAAGAAAAAAAAACAAAAACAGAGAGAGACAGAGAGACAATACGTATACCAAAGGGACGGGACATTTGAATTTCCTCTCTTGTCCTTCCCAAGAAGTGTCACTTCTCACTTGGCTTCAACCTAAGATACAAAGTTACAAGACCTCTTCAAAGTCACGAAAAATATCGGTACAAAAGTCAAGAAAAAACCTAGCTAGTCTATTGAAGCTGTAAGTGAAGTTAAAAGTTTTCTCTACATAAAACCAGTTGTCATGCCATTTCCTTGAGAGACCAAATTAAAATTAGAAAAGAACTTGTAGAATTGTAGTTTGGGGACATGGCGGAGTCAATTCGTTTTGGTATCAAATGCCAAACTAAACTGATCAATCGGAACTGGAAACAAATTTTCAACAAAACCAAATCAACCCAAATCCAACCAACCAATTACCAAATAACCAAGCCAACGCAAGCCAATAAATTTTGGATTAATTAGGTACAGACCCGCCGTAGGGGATAAGGAATGTCTAGACTCACATGGCCTCTTAAAAGTCATGAAAAGTGCAAAAAATTCTAGCTATTCTATTGAAGCTATAAGTGGAGACGAGTTGTTACTTGTGAATTGAGCAAGAAAAATGGGTTGCTCAAGATCATTGATTTTGTTCATTAATCTTGCTATTACCTCAAACCTTGTTGCTCTCATCATAGCCCAAGATGATGATGCCTCATGCACAGAAAGAGCTGACTACTGCTGGAAATGCACTGATGGTGCCACCTACACACCAGGTGACATGTACCAAGTGAACCTCAAGAGCCTCCTCTCCTCCTTCTCCTCCAACACCCAAAACAATTATGGCTTTTACAATTCATCAATGGGAAAACACCCCAACAATGTCAATGGAATTGCATTATGCAGAGGAGACCTCTCACAGGACCTTTGTCAGGCTTGTCTCAACACGTCTATTGGTAGGGTCCTGCAAACTTGTTCAACTCAGAAGGAAGCAATCTTTTGGGCAGAGCGTTGTATGGTGAGATACTCATACAACTTGATATATGGTATTGAGAAACAGTACCCTGTTAAGTATGTGCCTGGAGCAGAGTTTCTCGATAATCCTCAACCGTTTCAGCCGGTGCTTGACTACTTGTTGCATAATTTAAGTGACAGAGCTGCATCATCTCTTAAAAAATTTGCAGCAGGGCATGCAACTGTCCCAGGAGCTGAAACTATATATGCACTTGTTCAGTGCACTCCAGACATAGACAAGAAAAATTGCAGCAATTGCCTTAAAGAGTCCATCTTAGAGATTGAGAGATGTTGCGGTGGAAAAAAAGGAGGAAGAGTTCTTAAACCCAGCTGTAGTTTCAGGTATGAGATTAATTCTTTCTTTTTGCCTACAGCCAATTCATTAGTAGATATTCCAGCTTCAGATCCAGCACCAGCACCCAAAGAAGGTACGTATGGTTACCCTGCATATCTTAAATTCGATCGATGTCTTACAATTGGGTGGTATGGTTTTGGTTGTTAATAAAGGAATCCATGTGATTTTCAGAAAAGAAGAAGAGTAACATAAAACAAATTGTCATCACCATCGTTGTGGTTTTGGTTGCTTTTGTCACTATTCTCAGCAGCATATGCATTTTCTTAAGACTAACGAAACGAAGGGTAAAACTTGATGAAGGTAAGTTCAATTGTCACACAGTCTTTATTCTTGTTAAATTTAATGCTCACTTGTCTTGAAGAATTTAGAAAAAGTCAGCAAGATCAAGCTTTAAGATATAATTGTTGTAGGCATGCTAGAAAAATCATAATAAAAATCTTGTAATAAGGTAATACTATTATATTGTACCCTAGTGGCTTGGACAATGGCGGCAGCCTATACCTATAAATAGGTGTCGAGGCCCCTTGTATAAGTGAACTAACAGAGAAGGCCAATAAGCCTAGTAAACATTTTCTAGCTGTAGAAGGCCAATAAGCTTAGTCCTCTATAAAGCCTTGTACTCATCTATTGTTGAATAAATAAAATCACTATATTGTTCTTCTAAAAAACACAACAATTCTTTAAAATGCATTTATCTTATCTGAGAGTTGTCGAACTCTATTGCTAATTAAGTTGCGTCCTGGATCACGAGCTTCTATATTTACAGGTTGTGCATTTACGTGCATCACAATATTTGGACCATTCTAATTATCTAACCGTTTAAGACATGACTCAAATGTTGCAAAATTAGGTAAATGCACTACTTCTAAATGTAGAGGCTAACAATCTAAGTTTGTTCCTTTTTCAGATGAGAATTCGAAAGAAATAAATTTGGTGGAATCGTTGCAATATGATTTTGAAACTATAAGATCTGCAACAGATGACTTCTCTGATGCAAATAAGCTTGGACGAGGTGGATTTGGAGCTGTTTACAAGGTAACAAAACAATCACTTTCACCACCAAAAAAAAAACATTTAATCTAAGCTTGGTTTCCTTATTTTTCTGTTTTAAACATTCAGGGTAGACTATTAAATGGGCAACCTATAGCCGTGAAAAGGCTCTCCAAATATTCTGAACAAGGTGATCGTGAATTTAAGAATGAGGTCATGTTGCTTGCTCTGCTTCAACACCGGAATTTAGTAAGGCTCCTAGGATTTTGCTTGAAAACAGACGAAAGGCTTCTCATTTACGAATACGTGCCTAACACAAGTCTTGATCACTTCATTTTTGGTATATATTCTCTGCCTCAAATTTCATATAATTTATAGTAATTTCTTAAAGATTTAAAAAGTTCATATTTCATTTAATGAAATTGTATTTAGACACAAACAATCATGAGCATTTGGATTGGGAAACACGTTACAAGATCATAGGAGGCATTGCACGAGGGATTCTTTACCTTCATGAAGATTCTCGGGTTCGAATTATTCATCGCGATCTCAAAACCAGCAATATTTTGTTAGATGAAGATATGAACCCCAAAATTGCTGATTTCGGAATGGCAAGACTGTTTGCTATTGATCAAACTCAAGGAGATACAAGGACAGTTAGGGGAACCTAGTAAGTTCTGTGATAATATAGCCAGCTAACTTACACTTTCATTTTGTGCTCTCCTTGCAACAAAATTCAAAAAGCTTCATCGAAAAAAGAAGAAAAACTTACATGTCTAATGGAATATAATCATGCAGTGGATATATGGCTCCCGAGTATGTAATTCATGGTCGCATTTCTGTCAAAATGGATGTCTTCAGTTTTGGGGTGTTAGTTCTTGAAATTGTAAGCGGTAAAAAGATTGGTAGTTTCCGATATGGCGAAAATGAAGTGGACCTGTTAACTTATGTGAGTATGAATACATTAAAGTCATTATATATTCTCTCTTTTGCCTTGGTAAAATTTCTTTTTGACTGTATTGATCTACTTTTATAGGCCTGGAGAAATTGGAGGGAGGATACAATTGAAAACATCATAGATCCCGTGTTGACAGCAAGTTCACGAATCGAAACGATGAGATGCATCCACATTGGTTTACTGTGTGTGCAAGAAAATGTGGTAGACAGGCCAACGGTGGCTTCAGTTGTATCCATGCTTAACAGCCAGTCTCTCGCACTTTCAGTACCGTCGCAACCTGCATTCTATATTCATTACAAGACTGGATCAGACATATCGACATTAACCGAGTCAGACCAATCCAAAAGCCTCTCGGTCTGTGCCTCAAATATTACTGAACCATATCCTCGCTAGCCGTTGAATGCCAATCATACTGTAACATACTTTAGCCTTTAAATTTTGGTTTGTTTTATGGGGATTTTACTAAAACACCCAAAATGGGGGTTGAAATTATAAAAAAACCCAAGCACTATTTAAACTTATAAACACACCCAAAACCTATCATTACACACACTCAAAACTCATTTATAAACACACCCAAAAAGTTGACTTTGGGGTTGATTTTGGGTGTGTTTCTATGTTTAAATAGTGCTTGGGTTTTTTTATAAATACATGTCTAGGATTGGGTTTATTTATAAATTTGTATTGTTTTATTAGATAGCACCAAAGTATAGTTGGTGTGTGTCTTCTTACTTCAAGCTGGGTATTTTTATCTTTAATAAAATGGCTTCCCCTAGTTTATCTCCATGCAGGTCTCTGTCTCTTGTTCTCTGTTTTCCGCTGTCTAATCGGCAGTCTAAAACGTACAGTCACTTGTCACTTGTCTCTATATTGGAAATAATGAAATATTGTCCAACTCAAAGCATAAGAATCTTGTATTTATACGGAAATGATGAAATATTGACAATTAATTGTACTTTCTTTCTCAAAGTGTGTCTGATGTCAGCCCGCATTACACAAGAGTCACAAGACCTCTTACAAGTCACGAAACTTATGATATGGGTAGAAAAGTCACGAAACTTATGATATGGGTAAATAATACTGGCTAGCTAGTCTATTGAATTTGAAACTATTACTTGTGAATTGAGCAAGTAAAATGGGTTGCTTAAGATCATTGATTTTGTTCATTAATCTTGCTATTTCTATTATTATCATCTTTTGCACCTTTTGCACAGAGAAATTATTTTTTGACTTTCCTATCACCTTTTGCACAAAGAAATTGGATGAATTGTCTATCCTCTGTTTGTGTGGTGATCACATAACTCTGTTTCTGTGTTTACAGAGTAGATTAAAGTTTTCAGATTCCTATTGCTTTCAATTCGAGATACGTTGTTAGGTACTGAAACTTAAAAACATTAGAACCTCACTCAAAAAGATAACAACTCATTTCGGTTTCTGCAGGAAATGAGAGGAACTCAAACAGGAGCGCCGTGATCATTGTTATGCCAACTGTTGGTCTTGTGATAATTGTTATCATAATTGGTGTCATTTTGAGAATGAGGAAGCCAAAGAAACATGTTGAAAGTAGGTACTTATTACTGTTTTTTTAAAATAAAAAAAATTTATAATAGAAGTAATTGCATTGTATTACTAATGTGACAAGCTCAACTTGCTAAATATTTCAAATTTTGCAAAACATTGGATGAAATAAGAAGCGCAGAATCCTTACAATTCGACTTTGGCACAATTCGAGCTGCGACAGATAACTTTTCTGACTCAAATAAGCTCGGGCAAGATGGATTTGGTGCAGTTTACCAGGTAGCTAGTTATTTAAGTGTTACAATATTGCATTTTGAGTTCTAATTTACAATTTCCTTGACCAAATTTAAATATAAGCATACATATTTTCAGGGCAGGCCTGCCAATGGGCAAGAAAAATAGCGGTGAAAAGGTTATCTAGAGATTCTAGACAAGGAGATCAAGAATTTAAGAATGAGGTGTTATTAGTGACTAAGCTTCAACACCAAAATTTAGTTAGGCTTCTAGGTTTCTGTTTAGAAGGAAATGAAAGGCTTCTTGTGTATGAGTTTGTTCCTAATGCAAGTCTTGATCAGTTCATTTTTGGTACGGTTTTCGTTCTCTCCCACTGTCTGCATAATGTATTATAACAATCAATTTTTTTTAGTTAAATGTTGTGAAAGATTGCACATCAACTAATTATTAGTTTTCAATGTATAGATCCCATTAAGTGCTAACTTCTAGATTGGAAAAACTGTACAAAATCATAAGAGGTATTGTTAGGGGACTTCTTTATCTTCACGAAGATTCTGGGCTTCGAATTATTCACCGTGATATGAAAGCTAGCAACATTTTGTTGATAAGATGAATCCAAAAATTCAGATTTTGGAATGGCAAGGTTGTTTGTAGTTGACCAAAATCAAGGTGATACAAGTAGAATCGTTGGGACTTAGTAAGTAACACAACATTCTAGACAGCCCTATTTTAGTTTTGTCATATTTAGTTCATTTTGTTTTTGACTCGTTCTCTTGTTTCATGTACTTGTGTGGAGATTGATTTACTCACAGATATGTCAATTCATCAGTGGATGTATGGCTCCTGAGTATGTATATCATGGAAAGTTCTCTGTTAAATCATATGTGTTTAGCTTTGGAGTGCTGGTTCTGGAGATATGCAGTGGTCATAAAAATAGTAGCTTTCACATTAATGGGAAGCAGAGGATCTTCTTAGCTATATATGTATAAGTTATGTATTATGAATATTATTTGCTTCTGAACTATAGGACTCGACGACTGGCTAGTATTGTTGATCTAAATTAAACATTGTTGCAGGCATGGATAAACTGGAGGGAAGAGACGGCTTTAAACCTCCTAGATTCAACTTTGATGGCTACGGTTTCAAAAGCTGAAATATTGAGATGCATTCATATTGGGTTACTATGAGTTCAGGAGAATCTAGATGAGAGACCAACCATATGGCTTCAACTGTTCTCATGTTAAATAGCCACTCTCTCAATCTCCCAATTCCCTCAGCACCAGCATTCTTCGCCCACAGCAGCATGGACTTAAAGTACAATTCAGGGTTGAAACAATCGAGCAGATCTAGATCTGCTGAAATATCAGAAAATGAGGCTTCAATTACTGAGCTTTACGCTCGCTAGCTAATATGTTATGATTACTTACAACTGAGTTATTAATTGTCGATAATGTGTCATAATAGAATGTACAGATATGTTATCGATACATTGTGAATAATATCCTTACAAAATCTGTCCATCGATACACTGTGGATGATATCTATGAATAAAAATTTGTAAATTATAAAATTTATGGATGAACTTGGATCCTATCCCTGCCTTATGGGTCAAGGTTTTATGTATCTCCTTGTTTAGTTATTTGTTGCTGTATCAAAACTCGTGAATTTGGTGATCCCCTTCCATGTTTGAACTTGGATCCTATCCCTGCCTTATGGGTCAAGGTTTTATGTATCTCCTTGTTTAGTTATTTGTCGCTGTATCAAAACTCATGATTTTGGAGATCCCCCTCCATGTTTGAAGACTCGTCTTTCGCTGATTTAGACATTTATCAGTGAACAATTTTGTTCTCTCCGACAAATTTTCGCCAGGATAAACCTTGCTGGAGAATTTTGTTCTCTTCTTCCAAAAAAAAAAAAAAAAAAAAAACCAAGCCATAGACTGTTCCCAGTGAATTTTGTAATTTTTTTACAATTAGTCGCTGAGATAGACATCTGCCGGTGAATGTTGTCTCCCAACAAATTTCTGTGGGGAAAGGTTCTTCTTTCTCGGCAAAATTACGACAGGGTGAATTTTGTTCCCTCCCGACAAATTTTGTCCATATAAACCTTTCCCGGCGAATTCATTTTTTTGCCAACAAATTTTAGTCGAGATGGATCTTTCCCGGCTACAATTGTTCCTTCCGAACAAACTTTCGCCTAGATAGACCTTTCTCGACGAAGATGTTCTCCCGACAAATTTTCACCATGTAAACCTTTCGAGGCTAATTGCGTTTCTTGTGACAAATTTTGGTCGGCATAGATTTTTCCTGGTGAATTTTGTTCTTTCCCGCCAACTAATGCTTCCGGACAGAAGATAGACCTTTCCCTGCGAATTATATCTTTCCCGACAAATGCACTCCGGGATAGACCTTTCTTGACAAATGTCTCAATCTGTATTAGTTAAAGCTAGCTCTTCAAGCACTTGAAACCCACAAACCATTTAAGTCATCCACAGTTAGCCGCATATAATTTTATTCTTCATGAACATATTTCTGACCAAGGGAGGAGCCATGACTTTCCGAAAATCCCTTGACGTTTTTCAAACACACCACCCCCCATAAAAATCATAGAGAGGAAAATGTTTACAATCCTCCCAATAATTAGTTACAGCCTAATTATTATGTTTTATGAATTAGTCATAGAAACCATGTTGAATATGTCAACGCAAATTATTGAGAGCCTTTCAGGGATTGCCTCCTATTATAATTTAACGTCAAACTTGCAAACCTGCACGTCTTTTGCACCACTAATTCAACGACCTTTAACGATCGAGCATAGAAAGATGTCTCACTACTTTTCCATCACTCAAAACCAACCTTAATTACTAATTATAATCCTTTTGCACCGCAAGTTTAAGAACTTTTAACGATTTGAATTGAACAAATTAAGATGTCAGATCACGCCCTAACAATCGTCACCCTTTCATTTATCGGCCTTCTCAAACTGGTTTTTTGTTCCAATTCCATTCACTACATCCACCACTACTGCTCTTTAGAAGTTAACAAAACCCAAAACGCCGCTTTCCAAGACAACGTAGACCGCCTCCTCTCCGAACTCTCCTCCAAATCCTATGGCAACAGTTTCTACAACTCCACATCAGGAGACAACGACAAAAAAGTTTACGGCTTATTCCTTTGTCGAGGTGACGTCTCCCCCGGAGTCTGCCGTGACTGCATCGACTCCTCCACCAAAAACCTCAAACAAAACTGCACCCACAACAAAGAGTCAATCGTTTGGTACGAGGAATGCATGCTGAGATATTCAAACCATTCCATCTTCGCCACAGAGGAGGAGATGCCGTGGCGGTATTGGTGCAGCGTGAACAAAGTTTCCAACACGGACCAGTTTAATCAGAGTTTGTCCACCTTGATGAATGGGCTTGTGGACAAGGCGGCGTTTGGCAATACCACTCCACCGTTTTTTGCGACAGGGGACGACAAGAAAGGCGGTGGCGGCATTTCAATATATTGTTTGATGCAATGCACGCCGGACATAAATGGGAGTGAGTGTCAAAGGTGTTTGAAGGCGGCTGTCGGCGGTTATCAGGAGACTTGTGAGGGGAGGACATGGTCTATGATATTTTCGCCTAGCTGTCAGGTGAGGTATGGGTCTGATCCTTTCTATGGGGAAGGAAAGCCAATCAAAAGTGGCGGTGGTAAGTATTATGAATATGATGATCAAGTTAATGAAGGGATTATAAGTTTTGGCTTAATTAATATTATTTTTTAGAACAGAATTAATTAATTGTATGTGTGTGTGTGTGTGCAGGAAGAGGGAAGAACAATTCATATGTGGCTGTTGCAGCGGTATTGTGCATGGTTCTGTCTGGCTTATTGGTTAATCTACGTGCATGATAGAAATGCTAAAGAAATGATAATAGCCATTTTTCTAAAACAACAGAAGATCTCATCATCTGAACATATGAATTAAGAACAGATTGGATTATTATGGGTACGTACAAGAAGAAGCATTCAGTTATAGACCCAGATGTAATGCAACCAAATTGAAATTGTCCTCATGCATGCTCATGAAGTTGGTGAGTTGCTCTCCCTTTTCCCATCCAGTCTCCACACCTGCACTTCCAACAAAATATCTGTGAGTACGTACAAGTTGTGTACGTAACCTTCCAGGCAATAGACAATTGAATCTGAGAATCGTGCAAGTGGATTGGACGAATCCACACCATTAAGTCAAATACTTTAGTTTGGTTTTAGTTTAGAAACAGAGCAGCTTTCTGATTTATATTAATATATATGTCCTAAATTATATAAAACGGATGTGTTGAATTGAATGAACCAGTTATTCTTTCTTCTTCTTCTTTTTTTCCCCCCTTAAATTTGTAGCACCAAGTAATTACTGATGTAATTGTTTGATTACTTGATTGGTAAGTACTAGTTAACTGGTTAAAACAAATTAACAGTTGTTCTTGAATCTTGGTCATGTCCGCGTGTTTAGAGTGAGTGTCCAGACACCACACCACCACAGGCCTACACAAAAGAGTCTAAAGGCCAGTTTGGGATTGCCATCACTTTTTTAAAAATTTGCTTATGATGTGCTTTGAAAATAATTAGTTGTAAAGTAAAACTGTTTTATGTTTAGTAAATAATATTTTTAAAGTGTTGTTAATACAAAAGGCAGTGTCAAAACTGTTTGGTAAATTTTAATATAAAACTGTTGTAACTGTAAATAATGACTAAAATAGACATGATGTTGAAGCGTTATGCGCAAAGCATATAGTGGTAGTGGTGGTGGTGGAGGAGGTGGTGAAAAGATAGAGGTTAAGGTGGTGGTGAGGATGGTGGTTGTGGAAGTGGAGATGAAGGTTGTGGTGGTGGTGGGGGTGGAGGAGGAGGAGGAGGAGGATGTGGTGATAGTGGCGGTGGTGGTGGTGGTTGTAGAGTTGGATGTGAAGGTGGAGGTGATGTCATTTTAAAAAATTAATTATGATATTTTGGGAATTAAAAATTTTCATTAAAGGCTCATTTATGCTTCTTTTAAAAACAACTTTAAAAAGCAATCTATAGCCTGCTTTTAAAAGCTGCTGTCAAAAGGCCACTGCTTTTAAAATAATCGAGATATTTTATTTTTGCTAAACACTTTAAACTGCTTAACTTTAAAGTGAAGCAGATTTTTGGCCCAAAAAAGTGAGAAATTATAGAATTATACGATATCACTACATCATTTGATGATACTTCCATTCAAAATACGCCACGTGTACTATTTTTAAAGAAAAATTAACTATTTATACAGCTGGATTTAAAAATCTAATTTTATAATTTAAAACCATAAAAATAAAACTAAAATAATTTTAAAAAACTCATTAATAATAAAAATCCCCAACAACCACTTCCCCGAGCTCGCCGACCAAGCCTCCGCCTGCCCACTTTCTGCCCTGGCTCCCATCGTTCTCTCATTTTTCCAGTCTCTCTCTTTCTCCCTCTCCATCCCTCCTCTTTATTATGGATTTAGAGTTCATGGAATTTTCTCTCTATGATGGCTTTAAGGTTCAAGGAATTTAGATTGAAGATTTGTTGGGGGTGAGTTTATGGTATTTGAGAAATTATTTAATTTCATACACGAAAGTCAAGAAGTCTAAAAGTTTTTGAGGAATTTGATAAGCTTCCAAAGTCCTACAAGGTATATGGCCATTGAGATTATTGACAATAAAAGCAAATTTTATAGTAGGTGAATAGGAATCCAATCTTGGCTGCATAGCTTTCTATGTATCAATAGCCGAATCAATTTTTTTTTTCTAATGATTGTGAAAGTGGAATCATCCATGTGTTGGGGTGTCATCAAATTCACACAGAGAATGAGGCAGTAGTCATGGAAGACAGTGGTGGGGGGTCACTGTCGATGAAGCGGTGGTTTTTGGGTTTTTTTATTTCTAAAGTTTTTTTTTAAATCATTTTATTTTTATTTTTAAAGTAAATATGAGTGTTGAATCCAATTGTCAAAAAATAATATATGTGGCAAATTTTGAATGAAAGTATCACCAGTTAACGTGGTGATACCGTACTATTCTATAATTTCTCCAAAAAAAGCAATCCCAAAAGGGCCTAAATCTATGAGGTCTTCTCCTTGAAATATATAAGGAGAAACAAAGTAAAAAACCAAAAGCGAACGTACGCAAAACACAAAACGAATTCTTGACTTTTGCTACTCCCTTTTGTCTATTGGCTTTACTTCCCTGCATCCATCCACAGACAAGACCAATAACAAAGCAGTCAAGCAACCCTCTAGACCGGGGCAACAAGTAGAGTCAAGGTCTTCTCTTAATGTCCTATATATGTCTAATTTGGTCAACCCTATTAGACTAAGGAGAAAAATAACAAAAATTCTAGGCTTACCACATTTTTCATACCACAATTGTACCACCTCTCTAATAGAGGTGGGCTCCATTGTATTGGTGGGCTCCACCTCTATTAGAGAGAGGTGGTACAATTGTGGTATGAAAAATGTGGTAAGCCTAGCATTACTCGAAAAATAACCCTATTAGTCAAGGTCTTGTAATAAGGTAACACTATTATATTGTAAACTATTGGCTATGAGAAGAAAGCCAAGTCGGTGAACTTGGACAATGGCGGCAGCCTATACCTATAAATACGTGTTGAGTCCTCTATACAAGAGAACTAAGAGAGAAGAGGCTAATAAGCTAGTAAAAGGAAGGAGGCCAAGTTTGTATTAATAATTGGCACAAATTAATGTGCTAATCATTCAATTAAAAATATCCGCAAGTGCATGAATTTATTGGGGTTTAGATTTGTAAGTACGATGTCGATCCCATAAAGAATTGTCGGCTTACTAAAAGTTCTAGTTTGAGTAAGTAAAGAACACTTATTTGACACAACACAAAGGTAAGATACAAATTGGAAACTAGGAATGAGTAAAGAAAAGTAAAAGAAAAAAACAAAACAAGAAACCAAAGATAAACACAATCAAGAATTTCTATCACCCCTTTATCACTTGTTTATCACCTAGTGAACAGTGCGCGACCAGTCACATAAACAGTGACGACCGATCATTTTGAAGCAGATTGTGACTTGAAAAACAAAATGGAAGGCGACTGGTCGCATGAACAGTCAATAGACAATTGAATCTGAGAATCGTGCAAGTGGATCGGACGAATCCATACCATTTGGTTTTAGTTTAGAAATGGAGCTACTTTCTGAATTATATTAATACAAATTTATAAATAAACCCAATCCTAGACATGTATTTATAAAAAAACCCAAGCACTATTTAAACATAGAAACACACCCAAAATCAACCACAAAGTCAACTTTTTGGGTGTGTTTATAAATGGGTTTTGAGTGTGTGTAATGATGGGTTTTGGGTGTGTTTATATGTTTAAATAGTGCTTGGGTTTTTTTATAATTTCAACTCTCATTTTGGGTGTTTTAGTGAAACTCCCTTATATTAATATATATATATATCGTAAATTATATAAAATGGATGAGTTGAATTGAATGAACCAGTTATTCTTTCTTCTTCTTTTCTTTTTTTCCTTAAATTTGTAGCACTAAGTAATTACTGATGTAATTGTTTGATTACTTGATTGGTAAGTGCTAATTAACTCGTTAAAACAAATTAACAGTTGTTGTTGAATCCTGGTCATGTCCGCGTGTATAAGGGGACAACTCGATAACGGTGAGTGTCCAGACACCAAAGGCCTCCACAAAAAAAGAGTCTTAAGTCCACAGGTCAGGTCTTCTCTTTGAAATGTCAAAGGAGAAACAAAGAAAAAACCGAAAGCAAACGTACGCAAAACGCACTCGTCTTTTGGTACTCCCCTCTTGTCTATTGCCTTTACTTCCCTGCTGTATCCATCCACCGACAAGACCAATAACAAAGTTGTCAAGCAACCATCTAGACCGGGGCCACAAGTAGAGTCAAGGTCTTCTCTTAATGTCCTATCCCATCCTATACGTCTAATTTGAGCAGCCCTATTGGACCAAGGAGGAGGAAAATAACACAAAACCGACTTACTTTGTGGTTCTAGACTAGTTGATAACAACCATCATTGATGTAGCAGTGTGAAGTATACCATGAATTAATAATGTTGAAGCTTAAAAGCAATAAATAAATACAATTCTCTATTAATTAAGGTACAAAATAATCAGCAAATATGGATTAAGCCGGTTGGTCGTTAGTCCTCCCCCCAAGAACACTCTCCCTTTATGGGGAAAAAAAATTCTCCAAAAGGGTCAATAATATTCAAACACAGTTTTTGCTATAAAAGCTGAAGTTATTTTCATTCAGAGGAACAAACAGAGAAATGGGTTCCTCAAGATTGCTAATTTTCTTCATTCTTCCTGTACTCTTGGTCTTGGACCCTCTTGTTCCTGCCATAGCGGATGACCAAGACAGCCACACTGTTTGCACGGAGACAGCAGACTACTGCTGGAGCTGCTCCAATACTAACAACACCTTCAACAATGGCAACATCTACAAACAAAATCTCAACTTCCTCCTCTCCTCTTTCCCTTCCAACGCCCAAATCAATTCCAGGTTTTACAATTTTTCTCTGGGACAAGCCCCCAACACAGGGAACGCAATTGCCGTATGCAGAGGGGACGTTGCACTCAAAGATTGCCTTACCTGTTTCAACGACTCTGTTTCCATTCTCCTGCAGAACTGTACCAGTACTAATGAGCAGGAAGCAATCATATGGGCACAGCGCTGTACGGTTCGATACTCGAACATCTCGATTTTGGGTGTGGATGAAGATGAGCCTGTTAAGTATTTGACGAGCCCACATAGCGTATCAAACGCTGAACTGTACAATCAGGTGCTCAACCCCTTATTTAAAAATTTAAGCGAGAAAGCTGCAGCAGGGGACTCTGTTTTAAAATTTGCAGCAGGGCATGCGCTGGTGCCTGTAACAAATCAAACTATATATGCAACTGTCCAGTGCAGCCCTGATTTGGACAAACAAAACTGCAGCGGTTGCCTTGAAGAGTCCATCTCAGATATTCGAAAGTGTTGTGGTGGTGTGGAAGGAGCAAGAGTTCTTAAACCCAGCTGTTATTTGAGGTTTGAGTCCAATCCTTTCTATGAGCCTGGGGCAGATACCCTAATAAACCTACCAGGCGAACAAGGTATAATAATTTATTTTTGTTTGTTGCTTAATTTCTTGTTTGAGCCCCAATTAGTTAACACCACGTTGCTAACAAACAGAGCCTTGTGATTTTTGCAGGAAATAATACAAGTGGAAATAATACGAGTAACAATACAACAAAAGTGTCGCCACTGTCGTTCTTCCGATTGGTATTGTCATTGGGCTTTTTATCAGCATTTGCATTCTTGTGAGAGTTTGGAAGCGAAGAAGAGCAAGAAAGTTCATTCAATTTTGTTTTATTACAAATTGGAATTTAACAAGGGCACTCTTTGTTTGTAAGTTCTTGAATTTGTCAAGGCCCATGTAATAAAGATTACTGCTCTTTTTCTTTTTCTTTTTTAATAATAAGAATAAGGATTATTCTATGGTATATTCTTTCTTCTTCTGTTTTACAATATGATATTCTAAACTATTTTAATATACGAGCTCTGATGCAAAAGGCAGACGCTGTATGATATAATCTTAATTTTGCTTTGGTAATGTCAAAGTGTATATTCGTGCCAAATCTAAATGTCTTAGCAAGATTTTGGTTGAAGGAGATTCTAAGCTCCTAATTGATTGTGTTAACAAAGTTTGTGAAGTCCCCTGGCGTTCCTATACCTTCGTTAAGAATATTCATTTATTGGCTTGTTTTGAGGAAATCTCCTTTCAGCGTGTCCCACGTGAGTCAAATTTTTCAGCAGACGCTTTGGCTTCGGCTGATCATCTGTACATGTCTTCCCATGTTTGGATTCACTCTCTCCCTCCCGCTGCTAAATATGATTGTTTGTTCGATTTAGTTGGTCAGGCAGGCAGGGTTGTAGGCTGTAGCAGTGGTTTTGCTTGGTAGTGTTCCTTTTCTGCGGACTGGACAACTCCAAAAAGCCCAATTCAGAATGAACGCGCATGCCAATTTATAAACGCCAATGAGATTAATTTATAATAATTTAAAATATCCCGAGCATAAACAAAAATAAAATAAAATAAAAGAGGGTGCAATATACGCATGGAGATGGCCGACAACCACCCATCGAAACCCACAACCAACTCCTCCCCGTCCCTCTTGTGTGCTCTCTGTTTTTTTCAATAAATAATTTTGGCTACTTTTTTAATTTGCATTTTGGGATGAATTCTTATTTGGCTTTCTTTTTTGCAGGTTCCACTTTCTTAGCGTAGGTATCGGTTCATCACCTTGCTGCACCTTTCTGCTTCTTAGTCTGAAAGTGCAGACTTTAATGGACCGCTTGTGTTCTTCTCAAGGTACAGGGACTTTATAAGAAGTTTAAAAATAAAAAATAAAGGAGAGGGAATTTGGGTAAGTAAACTAACGTCGCTAACAGTCGGGAGCCGACGTTTGTCAGTAAACAAAAGTTTCTCTCTCCTTTAATACAGCTATGCCAGGTGTCAAGTTATCATTAGTTCGTAATACCACCTATCATTACCACGTGTACTACTGTAGTACCGTACAATATCTCATTGCGGTGGAGCACCAAATACCAATAATTTCAATTCAGTAGAAAATTCAATCAAATAACGTGTTTGATTCGTTTGACTTGTCGCCAACTACTAGCCCTACCATCTGTATCGACTTTTTCTTTCATTTATTTCATCATCGACTTCATATACCATATATAGCCACATATCATAAAATTTAAATACAATATCCTCATACAGATCCCAAAGGGAAATGCAATGGTGTCCTCAAGATTTCTCTCTCTCCTTTTTCCCATTATTTTACTCATCGCTACTCATCAAGCCTTTGCTCAGGAAGATTGGCTAGCTTATCAAAGCCACTTGTGTTCAAACAACAAAGGCAACTACACCACCAATAGTACCTACCACAGAAACCTCAACACCCTTCTCTCCTCCCTTCCCTCCAACAACACCGGTAACGGCTATGGCTTTTACAATTCATCCTACGGCCAGAGCTCCGACAACAACCAAGTTTATGCAATTGCACTTTGCTATATGGTCAATATTGACGACCCTGGCTGCCGCAATTGCCTTAATGTCTCCAGGTACGCTCTCATTGAGCTCTGTCCTAATCAGAAGGAAGCTGTGTTTTTCACCCACGGTTGTATGTTACGCTACTCAAACAGTTTGATATATGGCACCATGGAAACTACGCCTTCTCTCTGTATGTCCAACACACAAGACGTACCGTCTTCCACCGTCAACGAATTCTTTCAAAAGCTTAGGGAGTTGTTAGGGAGCTTAAGAAGTGAAACTGCAGCCGCTGGTTCACTGCGTAAGTTTGCATATGGAAACACAAGCGGTGAAAATATCCAAACAATATACGGTCTTACGCAGTGCACGCCAGACTTGTCCGAGCAAGAGTGCAATGATTGCTTAATTGGTGCTTTTGGAAATTTGTGTAGTAATGGGAAAATAGGTGGGAGAGTTATTAGACCCAGCTGTTACTTTCTGTATGAGGTTTACCCCTACATTAACATTTCAGCTGTCAAGCCACTGCCATCTCTACGAAGCCCACCATTATCATCACCACCAATATCTCCCCTTCCGCCTTCAACAACCGGGAATTCAGAAGGTTTCTGAGTCTCTAAATTTTTGCAGTGTATATATATATATATATATGCAGAATGTTTTGATTATAGAAGATTTGGTGATTTTTGCAGGATCCAACAGATCTCGGAATGTCGTGATTATTGTTGTGTCAATCGTTGTTTCTCTGCTACTAATTATATCCATCTGCATTTGTTTGAGAGTGAGGAAGACAAAGAAAAAGCTTGAAATACTTCCAGGTACTGGAACAAAGTGAACTCTAGTGAACATCAAAATTCCATTTGATTTGCTGAAGCTTATTGTTGTTATAATATAATCATTTTGGATGCTCCTTAAACAAAGAACCTATTTAATTTTTCTGAAATTGTTCCTCAGCCGAAGATGTAGATGAGATTGGAAATGCAGAATCCTTGCAAATGGACTTTGACACCATTAGATTAGCCACAGATGACTTTTCTGAAGTTAATAAACTCGGACAAGGCGGATTTGGCTCTGTTTACAAGGTAATTAATTAATTTCCTGCTAGCTAGAATTAATGGTACATCACAGTCATATGGATATCACCTACAATATCAATTATTTTTTCAACGTTTATATCCTTACATGAACACATATTATTTTCTTTGTTATATATTTGTCTATTTTGTCCTGATATTTTTCAGGGTAAACTTTTCAATGGAGAAAATATAGCAGTAAAAGACTTTCTATGAATTCTGGACAAGGAGATATAGAATTTCAAAATGAGGTCTTGTTAGTGGCCAGGCTTCAACATCGAAATTTAGTTAGGCTCTTAGGTTTCTGCTTGGAAGGACAAGAGAGGCTTCTTGTCTACGAATTTGTCTCTAATGCAAGTCTCGATCGTATCATATTTGGTATGGATATAATTCTATTTGTATGACATTCAACAAACAGTACTATACTTAACATAATCTTCTATTTGGATGAATACGTAGACCCAATCAAGCGTGCAGAGTTGGATTGGGACAGACGATACAAAATTATAGTAGGCATTACTCGGGGGCTCCTTTATCTTCATGAAGATTCTCGTCTTAGAATTATTCATCGTGATCTCAAAGTTAGTAACATCTTGATAGATGGTGAGATGAACCCCAAAATTGCAGACTTTGGCATGGCAAGATTGTTCGTGCCTGATCAAACCCAGGCCAATACCAAACGAATTGTGGGGACCTAGTAAGTACTAGACCAGCTGGCTATAGAACTTATACATAACTAAGTGATGCTATATATCAATAATGTCCATCCATATAGTTAAATTTGATGACCATTTTGCTGATTTACAGCGGATACATGTCTCCAGAGTATGCAATGCATGGGCACTTTTCAGTTAAGTCTGATATCTATAGTTTTGGTGTGTTAACTTTGGAGATAATAAGTGGACAGAAAATTAGTGATTTTCAGCGTGGAGAGAATGTGGAGGATCTTCTAAGCTATGTAAGTAAATAATAAAAAAATGTTGTTTTGGCGCATTACACTAAATGAATGCAATGAGAAAGAGAACATTTGTATTTCTGATTATGTTTCTCTCACATTAACAAATCCTTGTAGGCATGGAAGAATTGGGTTAAAGGGACAGCTTCAAATCTAATAGATCCCACACTGAGGATTGGTTCAAGAAGTGAAATGATGAGATGCATCCACATTGGATTATTATGTGTGCAAGAAAATGCAGCTGATAGGCCAACCATGGCTTCAATTATTGTCATGCTGAATAGCTACTCTCTCGTTCTTCCAGTGCCCTCACCACCATCGTTTGTTATGCACAGCAACACTGAATTCAAAACTCCTTTGTGGGCATTGGACTCTAATTCAGATGATCAATCACAAAGCAACTCTACGAAAGTGTCGGTGAATGAGACTACTATTAGTGACCTATACCCTCGCTAGCAAGTGTTGAAGGTGTGAAAGCAGGAAATATTGACTTGACTTATGGAGAATTGTGGAGACTTGTGGAGACTTGTGGAGACTGCAGCTGCAAGTTCCAGGCTTTGGAAACCAAATATGATTAATGGCACCAGCGGCCTTCCTACTTTTCTGAAGCAAATAAACTAGGACGGGGGATTTGGTTTTGTTTAGAGCATCTCCAACCGATATGTCAAAAGTGCCACATTGACATTTAACGGTTAGAAATAACATCTTACAAGGCAATAACAAAATAACAATGAGTTAACCTTCATATATTTCCATGTCCCAAATAACAAAATAAATAAATGAACTTTCATATTCCTTACTTAACGTCACTCTTTGGTTCTATATTCTTTCAAGGTAGGTTATTTAATGGAGAATGTATAGCAGTGAAAAGGCTCTCTGTCAATTCCTGTACAAGGAGATTTAGAATTTAAAAATGAAGTCTTGGGTTTTTGCTTGGAAGGAATTGAAAGGCTTCTAATTTATGAGTTTGTCCCTGATGCAAGCCTTGATAAAATCATATTTGGTATTTATGCTTCAATGGTTTTCATATTTACTTTTAACCTAAGCTATTTATCATAAAATTTCATACATGTCACATATATGCAACAAACATCTTAACCTTGTGCTTTCATTAATACATATATAGACCAGGTCAAGCGTGCACAATTAGATTGGGATAAGTGCTACAAAATCATAGAAGGCATTTCTCGAGCGCTCATTTATCTTCATGAAGACTCTCAACTTAGAATTATTCATCGTGACCTCAAAGCTAGTAACATCTTGATAGATGCATAATGAACCCCAAGATATCAGATTTTGGCATGGCGAGGTTGTTCGTGCTTGATCAAACACAAGGAAGTACCAATCAAATTGTGGGGACCTAGTAATCTGATATCTTGGCCAACCATGGCTTCTATTGTCCTCCTAATGCTTAATAATTATTCTCTCACCCTTCCAGTACCCCTCACAACCAGCTTTCTTTATGCATAATAGTGATGGATCTAACTTGTGCGACACAACCGGGTGGGATCGATCCAAGACCAACTCTCTTTTTACAGCACCAGAAGATGAGGTTTCATTGTTCCTCGATAGTGCCTGAAGATGCATGGACACATTTATGAAATTAATTATAATATAATTTTGTATTCCTTTGATTCAACTTTCTTTTAAATAATGTTGTAATTTCCCAAGTCTAATATCACTTGTAAATTCTAATTGTACTCATTAGTCTTCGAAGGCGGCGGTAATTAACTAAGAAGCTTCAATCAAGCTAGAGATGCAACCTTTTTAAGCGTGGAATTAATTAAAAATGTTAAAGAAATTATAGTGGATGAGTTTAATATACTTTGAGATAATCAACTAGTCTCCTCAAAAATCAAACCACGGACCAGTCCCGTCTTTATCAGCTCATATCTTAATAATTAATTACAACCGTGTTTGAAACCTCACTGGTGGTCAAATTAGAACCAAGTCTCGATAGGGCTTGATCCATCCGTGAAAAATATTCTCAAACAAGAAGCTTCCTTAATGAACTAGCTATAGTCTAGAGAGATGTAAAAACTACAAATATATATACCAGGATTCTGCAGAGACCAATTACGCCATGCCAGCAATGGTTTCCTCAAGATTTCTATTCTTCCTGATTTATGCCATTCTGTTACTAATCATGATCACTCAAGCCTTTGCTCAGCCTGCTTTTCTGTACCACTTCTGTATAAACAACATAGGAAACTACACCAACAATAGTACCTATCACAAAAACCTCAACACCCTTCTCTCCTCCCTGCCCTCTGATGAAAACGGTAACGGCTATGGCTTTTACAATTCCTCGTATGGCCAGAACTCAGACGACCAAGTTTACGCAATCGGACTCTGCAGAGGAGATGTCAAGGCGGAGGATTGCCGCAGTTGCCTCAACAACTCCAGATATGCTCTCACGCAGCTTTGTCCAAATCAGAAGGAAGCCATTGGTTGGTACGACAATTGCATGTTGCGCTACTCAAACAGCTCCATGTACGGAGTCGTGGCAACTATGCCTTCTTTCTACAAGCGCAACTCACAAAATGTATCTTCGTCGGGCGTGGACGGGTTCAACCAAGAGCTGAGGAAGCTACTGGAGAGCGTAAGAAGCGAAGCTGCAGCAGGCGGTTCTCTTCGTAAGTTTGCGTACGGGAACGCAACCGCTCCAACTTTCCAAACAATATTTGCTATTGCGCAGTGCACGCCAGAAATATCAGAGCAAGCCTGCAGTGACTGCTTGGTTGGTGCTTTTGGAAAAATCCCCCAATGTTGCCTTGAAAAAGTAGGAGGAAGAGTTGTTGGACCCAGCTGTAACTTCAGATTTGAGGTTTACCGCTTCATTGAGCCTACATCGATTCTGCAACTGCCATCGCCGCCGGCCGCACCGCCAATATTATCTCCTCCTCCACCATCAACCAATATTAACACAGTTTCAGGAGGTACCTATATGTTGGTTCCATTACTTTGATAAATAGATCGCTTAATATATTATCCACAAGTATTATATTTTTGTTTTAATTTGTAGGACCAAAGAGTAACACATCTCGGACTGTCATCATTATTCTCGTGCCAATCGTTGTTTGTTTGGTACTAATTATATCCATCGGCATTTGGCTAAGAGTGCGGAAGACAAAGAAAAAGCTTACAATACTTCCAGGTAGCAGATCGATTATTTAAGGGAGATTCACTATTATACCCAATATGAAGGCCCAAATTATAAAAATACCCTATATGAAATGGACTTTAGAAACACACCCAAAATCCATTTACAACATGACAAAAAAGCTTTAATTTCTTATAAATAACAAAACTGCCATCAATTTCTTAAAACAAGCCCAACCCCAAAATCTCATAAAAATACCCAAAACACTCAATAGGATATCAAAGTAATTTAATAATCAATATTAAATTCAATAAGGTCAGCTGTCATTTTTTGGGTTTTTTTTTGTTTGTTTATATAAATTCAATTGTGTAGGGTTTATTTATAATATTAGTGCTAGAAATGGGTATATCACTAAATATCTCATTATTTAATTATGTTACAACTACTCCTTCACTATAAACCTTGAACTTGATCAATTTTGTTGAATTTTCAGCAGGCGAAGATGCAGATGAAATTAGAAGTGCAGAGTCATTGCAATTCGATTTTGACACCATTAGAATTGCCACAGATGACTTTTCTGAAGCCAATAAACTAGGTCAAGGCGGATTTGGTTCTGTTTACAAGGTAATAATACATCATTATATATATATATATCAATTACATGCCAAAGTAACAATAAGTTTAGCTTCCTTGAATACAACTCATTTGTTCTCAATTATATTCTTTCAGGGTAGGCTATTTAATGGAGAAGATATTGCTGTGAAAAGACTTTCTACAAATTCTGGACAAGGAGATTTGGAGTTTAAAAATGAGGTCTTGTTGGTGGCCAGGCTCCAACACCGAAATTTAGTTAGGCTCTTGGGGTTCTGCTTGGAAGGAATTGAAAGGCTTCTTATTTATGAGTTTGTTCCTAATTCCAGTCTCGATCACATCATATTTGGTACATATATATGCTTCAATGATCTTTCATTCTTTCTTTTCACTTCAAAGATTTTCTTTTCACTGGTGTGACTTCCAACAAACATTAAAGAATCGTTTTCATGAATATGCAGATCCAATCAAGCGCACACAACTGGATTGGGATAGCCGCTACAAAATCATAGTAGGCATTACCCGAGGGATCATTTATCTTCATGAAGATTCTCGACTTAGAATCATCCATCGTGATCTCAAGGCTAGTAACATCTTGGTAGATGCAGAAATGAACCCCAAAATATCAGATTTTGGCATGGCAAAGTTATTTGTGCTTGATCAAACACAAGGCAATACCAGTCGAATTGTGGGGACATAGTAAGTAATTGACTAGGCTACATAGCTTATTATATTATAATTGTGATGGTTTGCTGTATCACTAATCCAAACTTTTCATCCATGTTAATGATAATATGGACATTTTTATTGATATGCAGTGGATATATGGCTCCAGAATATGCAATGCATGGACACTTTTCTGTTAAATCAGATGTCTATAGTTTTGGTGTGTTAGTTTTGGAGATAGTAAGTGGGCAGAAAAATAATTCCTTTCACCGTGGAGAAAACGTGGAGGATTTGCTAAGCTATGTAAGTAAATGTGTACATATATATAGCAGTTTATGTGCGTTTGCAATTGAATTGAATGGAACCAAGAAAAGAAGTTATATGTCTAACTCTATTATTTCTACAAATTAATGGTTGCAGGCATGGAAAAGTTGGAGGGAAGGGACAGCTTCAAATATAATAGATCCGACATTGAGGACTGGTTCAAGAGCTGAAATAATGAGATGCATCCACATTGGGTTATTATGCGTGCAAGAAAATATAGCTGATAGGCCAACCATGGCTTCTATTGTTCTAATGCTGAATAGTTACTCTGTCACTCTTCCAGTACCCTCACAACCAGCATTTTTCAGGCATAGTAGCGTTGGATCTGACATGTCTTCTTCGGGATGGACAAACAATTCAGGATGGACAGCCGGGTCAGATCGATCGAAGAGCAACTCTGTTGTTAAAGCACCAGAAGATGAGGTTTCAATGATCACAGAAGTATATCCTCGATAACCTGAAGATGCATACATGGAAACTTACATTTGTTAAATTTTTTATTGTAATTTAGTATTTCCTTTGGTTAGGTGCGGAATAAGACTTGTCAATGCATGCGTCCGTTGAATTGTTAGTCTCACCTTGTGCAGAAGTTTCGATTAGGTGGTTTAGCAATCACAATAGAAGAAAAGGCAATCAATCAAACGACGACTCTGACTAATTTGGCTTGTTTTGTTGCCCACTCCCATCTCTGTCAAGTTTTTTATTTTTCTCTCGGACCAGTCTTCGTCACATGCTTTGCTTAGAATGAGATGTTCATTGACTTCATTAAAAGTATAATCTACCCTTAATTACACGACATTTATCAAAACTTCTTGTGGTTAGTTTACCCAACTCACATCAGCTGCCGCTTGTAAACTGACAAGGTTTTTTTTAGTTGTCTTGCGAAATTGGCAAGTAAGTTGCCTAGAAAAGAAAATGACATGTCCTGGGGGTTGGAATGGGGTTTGGAGCTTATGGGCCTTCTTTCCTCGTTCGATCGACTAGGTTACCAGGGTCAACTGAAAAAGGTTCTATGAAAGAAACAAGAAATCTATAATTGGGCTCTCTTTGTCTTGATCATGATCATGCATGCAACACAGTGAGGCTTCCAAAAAAAAACCAAAAAAACAAAGTTGCAAGCACTATAATTAAAATATGTTGGAGTCTTCGTCTTGGTCTTCCACTAAAATAAACCATGTTCTACTTTGGCGGCGATGAATATCTAGACTAGCATCAACTATTGCCTTTAGCTCTTTTCACCTGTATTATAATTCATGTCCTTTTTACAAATATATATAGGGTACGACGGACAAGAGAGAATGATTGTTAACTAGCAAAATTTAATTAATTAATAGAGGGAATGCTTCTAGTTAAACCAAACCTTATCCGATTCCATTGTTCTACAGGCTTCTAATAAGCGCTTTTAGCAATTTGACAACAAAAATAAGCGCTTTTAGCAAGCATTGATCCGTTTAACAAACGTGCAATATTAACCGGAACTGGAAGCATCGATTTAACTCAGAGCTCTACTTTCTGAGAATAAAAAGCTCTGGCCGAAGCTTTTATATATTCTTATTTCTTGTTTGAGAAGCACCAGCACCACTCAGAACGAACACATCAACTGAGATCCTTAACGTCATCATATATACCTCTGCAGGTTTCACCTTGTACAATGAGCCAAAAGATGATGTCTCAACTTCTATATTCATTTTCAAGATTAATGAAAATTAGAAAGAAAGAACCCTAGGCCTAATTGCCAATTGGACATGGTGTTCAACTGGGCAGGCAAGGAACCCTAATTGCCGAGCCGACCAGTAAAAATTGACCACTCAGTCTCCGCGTGCACAATGATATATACATATTTTACTGTAGGGGTGCTCAGATTTGATCCATCTTAGTATCTTTCATTACAAGTTCTATTCGTTTGGAATTCATTTTTAAATATGGACAGGTGAGACAAAGCATTCAAGATCAGAATGACAGATTTTCTTGCTAATTTTTTTTCTGCTTTTCAAGACAAACATACGAGGCACAATATTACTACAGGATGGCCACCGATCCACAGTATCAGTATGAGCATGACATAAAGAATTAATATTGTATCAACTTAATCTATCTGGATCTTCCACTTTTTGCCGATCCAACACTGCCGCAATTAATTCTTATTATTATCCATGATTTGAGAAAAGCATCTACATGGAAAGCAACTTAACAAAAAGCACTGCCTGTCACACACACACTCAAATAATAATAAGCTATCAACTTACTTAAAGACACAAATTGTTAATGCCTCATACCATCACTGTGAGCCAAGCCTATTAAAGAATGTCTCGTGGCCTTAGTTAGGCTGGGTTACCTTTACTACCAACCTGACTACACTTGGTAACCTCAAAGGTCGATAAAAGGCAACCCACCCAAGATCTAGTGGGACAAAGGTCGAATTAACACTCGGGAAGTTGAACACCAACCCAACCACTCTGGTGCTATTATTAACCAGAGGCGCATTAATGATCCACAAGCGTGACCAGACCCCTGTCAAATCAAACACTCTACCCTTTTGGTAAGACAGCCTGGCAAGTAAGATAGATCAATTAATGTACATCCCGTCCAAGACCAAAGTGTCACCTTCCCCTTTGATCCCCAAGTGAACAAACTGGTGATGGAGAGGGATCATTTAATATACCTCCCATCCAATGCCACATGTCACTCCATCACACAATCCCTGTCAGATAGTATGGTGATCAGATCAGGTCATTTAATGTGGTCTGGTCCTACCAGGAGGGAGGAAGATAAATATCTCCTCCTTTAAAGTATCTTTGTTTCTCCTTCTCCCCTTATAAATACCCCTCACCTATCTCTGGACAAAGGTTATAACTATTCTCATCTTAAAAACCCTATATCCGTTCTCTCCACCTTATATAATCACTTCTGCCTTAACCATCGGAGGGAGTTCAACTGGGACCAACCCCAGTTCGCTCATATTCTGATAGTTGTTCAAAGTGTGCAAGTATTCTATGAAGAGCATGTCAACCCGAAAGATCTGGTATAAGCCCTGATCTCAATCCAAGTCTAGGCTATACCTTATACGAGAAGGATACGCGGTTTACACAAAGCTTCTCTAGAAAAAAAAACACTTGGACCAACCAATATCAACATGCACTATGCACAGTACTGGGAGTGAGTGATAGAAACTGTAGCATTCTAATGCCCATTTTGGAAACTAATAATATATTTTAAATTTATGAATATTAATCATGTCTTTTATTCATATTATAATGTGTATTATTACCCACTCTTGGTAGCCGAATGGTTAGGGCGAACTTGTGCTTGCTCCACAGGTCATGAGTTCGATTCTCCGCATAATCCAACCAAAATTAAGTATTGGGCCGTGACAGTGGGTTGTTGCGCTAGTCTCCCCCGGGTTACAAAGTCTTATCAAACTTTGGAATTTTCCATATAGTGGAAGAGTTCTAATCACTTTGAAATTTTTGGGAGCCAAACTTGTATATACACATAAGTGACAACACAGACATCCTCAGATATTATATATACGATGCAATGTTCAATGTCTGGACATGTGATGTGATAAATCAAACAACAAACACCCAAAAGGGGCATATATATTTGTATAAAAAAAGAAAAGAACAAGAAGCTCTGTTGGAAAGCAAACTTTCCACGGTTCCTATATACTGCCCACATTATCTATGGTGCAGCTAGGCAGTTTTCTGCCAGTTAGGGAACACGTGACTGCTGCAAGCTACTTGTTATGTCTTGTGCTTGCAGCTTGCAGCTTACTTGTCTCAGAATGGAAAGACTCGACAGGTTTTGATTGAGAGATTAATTGATTGTCTATTGGTATTCAGTAAATGTTCAATTGGAATTTAAGCCACGGTTACCAACTTACCATGCTGCTGCGAAAAAACTTACCTATCACACATTGTATCTCTTTATCAGCATCACACTCGTGTTGTATATTCGTTTTTTTCTTTATTTCTCTCGTCACATAATTACTTAATTAATTAACTTTGATCATATGATGATGAGAAAGATAAACTGAATATAACATATTACATAGGAGTTTATCGAAATGGTGATGATGGTTTGTAGGAATATAGGGAAAGATGGGACTGGTCCATTGCCCACTATAGTTTTATCCCCTTATGGTCGTGAGTTAAAGTTGCAAGCCCCTTTTTCTCGGTTTTTTTTTCATTTCAAGATAAGTTCGAAGTTCCTTTTCAAAACAAGGGAGGAGCTCCTTGTAAATTTAGAACATTAAAAAAAACAAAAAATTCGCAACAACGATAGATTAACAGACTTCGGCTGCCTCCTCTTGTATCAAAACAAACTTAGGAGTACCATTATATCATAAAGCAATGACAGTCTTACCAACCAAATAAACATCAATTCAATTAGAAAAAACACAAATATATCTTTTGTTATTATTGTTTTCGGATGTTGTCGCTTCTGTCCACTTCCTCCCAAAAGCCACCGAAAACTTGCTCCTTTTCCTTATAAAAAGACCACTACATAAGATGACTCATCTCATAAACAGAAACAGAAACAGAACCAGAACCAGAACCATCAAGGATCATTCAAAGCAAATGAAGAACCATAACCTTACATGGCTATGTCTTTCCCTTTCAATTCTCATCACCTTCTTCAGTCACTCTCATGCAAAACAAATTCAACCCATCTCAGATTTCCACACAATTGAGCACTTCCTCAACAAAACCTATGAATGGTTGAGCCACCAAAGAGCACAGCAAAACCATGAAACCCCACTAAAATTTTCAGCCCCCATTGTGTTTGCAGGAATCTTCTGCTTCCTAGCTGCCTCTATATCCAGTGCTGGTGGAATTGGTGGTGGTGGGCTGTTCATACCAATATTGACCTTGGTGGCGGGTCTGGACCTCAGAACAGCCTCCAGTCTGTCAGCTTTCATGGTCACAGGAGGCTCAGTTGCAAATGTCATCTACAACTTGTGCAAAGGAAGTGCCAAGTTTGGTGGCAAAAATGTGATTGATTATGACATAGCACTTCTGTCAGAGCCATGTATGTTGCTGGGAGTAAGTGTTGGAGTGATTTGCAACCTTGTTTTTCCAGAGTGGCTGATCACCATACTCTTTGCTCTGTTTCTTGCTTGGTCTACCTCAATGAGCTGCAAAAATGGTTTGGTGTACTGGAAAATGGAGTCAGAGGAGCTGATGAGAAATGATTGTGAGAATTTGGGAAATGGGTTGAATGCTGAAACAGAAGGGGTCAAGGGTATTGCAGAACCGCTCTTAGGAACAAAAGGAAAGTGCATACTAAGACTTCCATGGACAAAAATGGGAGTCTTAGTTCTGGTATGGTGCTCTTTCTGCATCATCTACCTTTTTCGTGGCAACCGGTATGGACAGGTTAGGCTGCTCCTTATTCAGTTTTCCTCTAGTATGATATAGAAACATCAAATGATGTTTAAGACTCACTTTTCATCAATGAAAAATCTATGAATGCTATGCATTCTGTTTTGTCAAATGATAGTCCTGGAAACATCCGCCTAGAGACCATATTTAAGTCTGGAAATCTAGCTATAATTGAAAAAGAAATCAAATTTTAAGCATCAGGACAAGTGGAAAGAGTCGACTTCAGTAGGGCACAGCTTCAAAGCACATATATTCGAAAGTGTATTTTGTGAATGTGATTCTTCGATCCTTGCAGGGTATCACCCCAATAGAGCCTTGTGGAATAGGTTATTGGGTTCTCTCATCAGTCCAAATCCCTCTTGCCATAATCTATACAGCCTGGATCCTATGCAGAAAAGAGAACCTTCAACATCATACTTTAAACCAAAAGGTATTTAAAATTTGTTATTCTTTTCGACAAGGATTTCGATAAAACTAAACTGTTTCTATTACTCTCGGTGCAGAATATTGAGGACCTGCCAAAGGTTAGACCATCAAAACTAATTTTCCCACTAATGGCACTATTAGCAGGGATTTTGGGGGGTGTCTTTGGGATCGGGGGTGGAATGCTTATAAGCCCTCTTCTTGTACAAGTTGGGATAGCACCTGAGGTAAAATTATGGTCTCATCCGTCACAATTCTATCTTCAAAACTGTTTACCAATTCACATTTTGTGCAGGTAACAGCAGCAACTTGTTCTTTCATGGTATTCTTCTCGTCTTCCATGTCGGCGTTTCAGTACTTGTTGTTGGGCATGGAGCATGCAGATACTGCACTCGTCTTTGCCATCATGTGTTTTGTTGCATCACTTCTTGGACTTGTAGTTCTGCAGAGAGCAATTAAAGTGTATGGAAGGGCTTCTCTCATTGTATTCTCAGTTAGTACAGTGATGGCTTTGAGTACTGTTCTGATGACAAGCTTTGGGGCTCTTGATGTGTGGAGAGACTATGTATCTGGAAAATACATGGGATTCAAACTACCATGTTAATAATAACAATAATCCCAAACAAACAAAAAAATTATGTCAAAACAAATTTTGTAGTTGCTACTTTACCTAGTTAGTTTTCTTATCAAAGCTAAAAAGGTTGGGCTTGAAAATCTTGCACTGTAAGGCAAACTGCTCAGTTAAGTCATCCTAATGTCCTATTGCTTCTCCACTTCAGAACTTTCTTAACGACGTGTCGTACAAATTTACTAGCATCTTCATCATCAAGAATCATAGTCAAACAGTTTAGCTCAGTTTTAATGGGCAACGAGTAGCGTAATGTATGCTTCCCAGTTTTGTATTTTAGAACAGAGACACCTTTGGACCAGAACAGTTAAGAGGTCAAAATTGGAAAATTTTATGAAGGAAACTTGTTCATGAGAACTACAAGTTACAACTTATCCAAAGCAGTCAATGAAAATATCCAGTCTTTCATCCAGTAAATTCAATCTTATGTGAAAAAATTTAAAACTAGAACACAAAAATCAAAAACGAGAAACAACAGCTAAAAAGGCTATCATTAAGCACGAGGCAGACAAATAAAAGCCTGGCACTCATGCAACAGGAGGACGGAGAACATGGTCTTGTGAGGTATCAACTGCAGCCGGTGGCATGAACTGCCACATGGAAACTCCAGGATATCTGACGAAGGGCATCAGTTTGCCACCAACAACTTGGCCTGGGGCAGAAAATGGACCTGGAATTGCAGCAGGGTGAGGCAAGAAGCCTGGCTGAGTATTCAAGGCTTTAATTTGCCGCTCAATGTTTTCTTTCTCTGTTTTGAGCCTCTGCTTCTCATCACGAAGTTCATTCTTCTCAGCCTGTACAAAATGTATACAAGTAAATGAATAAAAGCATCCTATCGAAGAACCAAGAAGAATTTGGACGTCTACTCAAGCAATTTCAGCAAGCAAATCTCCTTACATGAACTGCATCCTAATATGGCTTATAACACATAAAAGAAAAACAAAAGAACAAACGCAGGCACACCTTTAATTCATTTATCTTCTCCTGCAGATCTCCATTTGAATCCTTCAGTTGCTGGGCTTCTCCGCGTAACTGATTCACCACTCGGACAGCATCACCCAATATAGCAGCCTTGTCAGTTTTGGGTGGCCTTCCAGGTTCAAGCATAGAACTCAATTCCAGGAACCTAAAAGTTATGCAACAAGTCAAGATGAGAGAGAGAGAGAGAGAGAGAGAGAGAGAGAGAGAGAGAGAGAGAGAGAGAGTGGGAAAGGGGGAGCGAATATCATTGAGTATTAGGGAACTAGAGCATGCCTGTCGTTCAGTCTATCCCTCCGCATTTTCTCTCTGCATGCTTTAGAACCAGTCACATTGCATGATCCAGACCTCACCCTATAATGGAAACAATAAACACAAATAAATCATGCTGAAACAGAAGGAGATAATTTAGCATAAGTATTGAGGATCTGACCAAATTCAGAATAAATAAAAAATCCATCCATGCTAAAGCATTAATTCAATAAACAAATTCAAAAACCTGGAAACAGCAAATGGGTAGTAATACACCATTTCCTGTTTAACAAGTCAAGAAGAATAAGACTCAGTAGATATACCGTTTTCGACACCCACTTTCCTTGATACTGTCTGAATTTCCAAATGAGTCATCAAAGTCCACGCTGAGAAAATAGCAGCAAACAAATGAGTTTGTCGTTAGAACAAAGAAAAGTTTATCTTCGTCAACATAGTATAGCCAGGTTGTTAATTAAGCAGAATGGGAAAAAAATGAAAAATTGATAATTTAGTACTCAGAGAAAGAGAAAAATGCAGATAAGTTTTAGTTAGTCCCCTTATACCAGCAGCATCTTACTTGCACTCCAAAATACTCTTTTTACCAAATATCCTCATAACCCATTAAAGATTAACATAACAGACTGCTTAAAACACACAGATGTAAACAAAAATGCCATACTTGAATTTGAGCAAACAAAAAAATGAACTCAATGAACTGCAGGAGGACATCATAAACCCTGCAAAAATGGCATCCTCATAGCCACAGACTCAATGAAGGTGATGATAAAACCGATTACGAATAATTAGCCAACCTTGAACATCCTCAAGGATTTAAACTTAATATAATCACTTTTTAAAGTAAATTCAGCTTAAATGGACATAGCATATGCTCAAGTCTATAACCAAAGCGGCTAGCATTTTAATGAAGTACGCGACATCATGTTAAATCAGAGAACAGCCACAGATCCACTTTTCATCATTTTAATACAACTAAGCTGCTAATAACATTATTATATTCACAAGACTCTCTGAGCATGTACCCTGCACATGCAATGCTTGCTTAGCCGACTTGCAGTTCATGATTATCGTAAAGCATCCAACTTTTTACTGTATTTCATATAGGCTAGAAAATAATTATACTTCAGGCCAGCAATATTATTATATTACCTCATTCGTCAAAGAAAAACCTCCTGAATTAATAAATAACGAAAACAAATTTGAAATTGAGACTTCGAATAAAGTACTAATAAAAACAACAGTTACCCTCCTAAAAAAGAGACACCCAATTCACATTCAACAGCAAGGAAAACCCAATTGCAGCAAAATGATGAACTTGGTTGAAGAAAGTAAATGGGTTGCGGTACCTGGGAGCGGCCGGAGCGACAAATGAATGAGAGGGCCAAGTGAAACCGGGCAGGTCAAGGGGCGGTAGGTCACCGCCAGGTACAGGAATATCTTCTAAAACTCCATAATCGAAGACCCAGTTGTGATTTTGCGGCGGCGAACCCATGTTTTATCGGTTGCCGGAAATTCTGAATTTCCGGCGGTGACCCTTTGCAGGGACAGAGCCCGCCGTTGTGGGTTGGAGCTTGGGAATCGTGATGGAAATTTTAAACAACTATTTTTGTTATGAAAAACAATTTTGAGCCAATTTTGGTTGAAGGGTTTCGGTGGTTCGGATTATTATTGCGTATATGGAAGTGAAAGAAAAGGTAAGATATTGTGATTTATGGAAAGCGTACAAAAGAAAGGCGCTGGCGGGTCTCCAAATTCTCGCCACACTGCACACGCAGCCACCACAAAACGTGCCATTATAAAAGTCTCCTTTTCAATTTTCGCCGCTTTCATTTTCCTTCTTTATTTCTCAGGTCACTTGTTCTTTTGATATGGCCTTAGAATTCAAGAGCCTTGGGCTTTAGCTTTTGTCAACGGTCTAGTCCAATGAGAAATGGTCTTTACTTGCATATCAGAGATTTAATATTTGAACAAGAATTCTATAGTGAGGGTCTTATATGTAGCTCTTAGGTAAGGCCATATTTCTTAACCGTTTGATCAAATTAATTAGCCGTTGAATCAAATTGTGTAACCTAATTCAACAGTTAAGATATAAAACCTCACTTAAGGGCCGTATATAAGGCCCTCATTGTAGAATGTCGAACAAGAATTCTATAGTAAGGACTTTATATATATGTGTGAAAAATCTCTCTCTCCTCTATTTAAGACTATAACTTGTATTTTAAAAAACTTGGGCTTTTACACAAACAGAGAACCTATCTATATTTTCATTACAAGGCCCGATGAACCCAACAAAGGAAAAGAGAACCAAAATTATCAACAATTTGGGGCAACGCATGGAAGCCACTGATGAGAAGATATCTTTTGGGGGCAGAATTTTTATTAAAAATCACAAGCAAAGGTGCACCATGTAAGATGACATATGAGAACAGAAAGAATTACAAGCAGAAAATGTCACATTTACAAAGTTCAACATCCATACAGCAAACCAAAGAAAAACTTATCATCCATATCTGTGCTAGAACCCATCACAACCACTTATTTCACATGTTCAAACTTGAAACTGTGATATCGCACACTGTTGCTACGCAACAGAAACACGTATGGACTGAACATAACCCTCGATCCATTTCCTTATCTCTTCAGGATTGGCACCCACAAGCTTGTCAACCAGTGCACCTTCCCTCATCAGCAAAAAAGTTGGCATAGCCTTTATCTCCAGTCGAGTCGCTACCTCCTAAGAAAACAAAAAGGAGAGATATTTATATCCATATCACCATCATAAACAGCATCAAACCTTCTAAGAGTTTTTAGTCCCTATCTTTAATTGTCAAATGATTATGAATACCAGACAGCAAAGCCTTATGAAAAGCAATATCCAAAAAAGCATAAGCAAAGAAGATAAGCAATATCAGATGGAAGATGGTCAATTTCAAACACAAAGAAGATTCTAGGATATGTATACAAAAATTAGACATACTTTTGTGTCAAGGAATTAGGCTAAGTTAATTACCTTAACATCATCCACATCAACCGCGAGAAACAGAACATCCGAATAGCTTGAGGCCAATTCCTCAAAGAATGGGTTCATAGCCACCGAAGGCATGCACCATGAAGCAGTAAAGTGTGCAACAATCTACGACATATCCAATTCCAACCCAAGTAGACCCAAAAAAAACCCGGCAAACAAACGCACAAATTAAACCAAAAACTAAAAATTCAACAACAAAGTCATAAGAACACGGAACTGTGTTCAATTGAGATGTCTGAGGAGACTTACAGGGCAGCCTTGGTTGGTGGCTTGGGTTACATACAAGTCCCAAGTCTCCACAGAATCAACCTTTATGACTCTGGCCTTTATGGCCTGCGCTTCCTGTACTTGAGTATCCATCTGTTTTCCTTCCTCTGTTTCTTCACTTGCTGACTGCCCGGCTGGCGTTTCAGTATTTGAGTGTATCGACAACCTGTAGCCCTGTCTACGACTCTATAATCTAGATGCTGCTAGATGAGATGAGATTAGGACGATATTTGACCAAAAACAACAAGAAAAAACAAGAATATATATATATTTAGGATAGGTACGAATGTTAGAGTTGGGCCCACTTCCGTTTTATAATCCGGACTATGTTTTTCCTTTGCCCATTTTTCAGTGTCCTGTTTTTGCAAGTGAGACAGCCTGTTTTTGCAATTGCGACAAAAACGTCCACTGATTTTTCTAATGTCTTGTTTCGTTACTTGGGTATATATCCTTTCACTGAAATAAAATAGCACCAGATTATTTGGCTTCTCATGACGATAAAGTCAAAAGTTATCCCAGCATTCCTCAAGGGATGAACATTTTCCATATAGCACAAAATATTTATTGTCATAACTCATAAGCATACAAACACATTAAAAAAAAAGAAAAAAAAAGATAAGGGATCTCAGAGAGAAGTACAAATTAGTAAGTAGGCCTCAAGCAGAAGATCTGCAAACAAATTGATAGAGAGCCAATCTGACTCCAATATACACAGCACAACCTTTTTCTTCCCGTTACAAACAACAACGAGCTTCTGCTACGAACAAATGCAGTCACACAGTAAAACAAGGATAAACAATCTCAGCCATAACTTAAGCGAGAATCTGAAGGCGGCCGCGTGGTTGTTGTCTGCCTCCGAGGGATCCCAATTTCGCAGGCATTCACTCTAGCAGCAAATCGAAGAGAGCAGAGAGATTCACCGACTGAAGAAGCATCTGGGGAGATGTTGACGACCATCAACGTCTTCGAATCCCCTCCCAAACAAGGCTGTTTGTACCATGAAGAACGAAAGCAAAGATGGTATTTTAGGTCCTGCTTAGAAATATCACAACTGTCATGCAGCAAACTAACACATAAATTACTATACCTGAAGAAGATAGGTGAGCTTTGAGTTCCTAAAAGGAACATGGTCTTCCTTTTTCGCCAAAGAAAATATGACATCACTCAAAGATGACAAGCTTTTGTTAATGGCCTGATTGTTATTCACAAACGTGTTAGCTAACCCATTCAAATATATATTCACATATAGTTACATCTATCAGAGAGAAGATTGGGAATTTCCAAGAAGAAAGACCTGAGTTTCCTTCAAACGTTCCCCGGTTGCGCCACTCCTTGATAGTCTCTCACTTCCCGCAAGATCAATAAGGTTTAAGACCCCCTGAACTTGTTGTTCGGTATTCTAGTAAGGCATGAAAGAATATCAGCAGATACACATAGAACGAGCAAACCAGAATGAAAGATTTCTTAGAGCGCAATCATCACAGCAGCCACAAGGAATACAAACCTCATTCATGCCGGATATACGCAATGTAAACACGAAATGGCTTCTTGAAGATTGCTCATTCATCTGTGTCTTGCCCACAGACCTAACACATCATATATAATAGCAACAAAAACTCAATGAACTTCTTAGCAGGCAATATTAAAAGTTTGATAGCAATATGCTATCTTCAGTGAAAAGGACACGCAACACATAGTTATGAAACATCACAAGACCAATTCAGAAAAGTTTGAAGTATACCTGCTATTTCCAGCTTGTTGTAGAAGAGATGAAATTTCCTTTATACTGCAAACATCAACAATCGTGAGGTCAGAAACATGCGTGTTTCCATTTGCATCGTGCTTTATCGTATACTGCTTTCCACAGACACCATTTTCTGTCCTCGACAAGTCTGCACCACTTGATCTACTTGTGCATAATAAATCGCGAATGTTCTCGTTGTATATCTCAAGCATTGAGGCCTGCATATGTTTAGAAGGAAATGTTATAATTTGCAAATGTAGACTAATGAAAAACAAGTTATAGTACCTGCATTCTGTATTTCCATCCCTGGGCTTGAAGAGATTGGCTCGCTTGAAATATCTGCTCTAATGAACGAGGTATTAATCCTTTTTGCTCTGGAGCATCTGGCCTACCCATCATGGTATAGGTCTTGCCAGAACCTGTTTGACCGTACGCAAATATGCAGACCTACAAAAAGACAGCCAATACTCATTTTAGTGCATGCCTCTGCATGTATAAAATGTGAAAAGAATTCACCAAAGATGGTATAAGCAGTACTATAATGGTCTTAAAATTCCAAAGACATAATCCAATAATGCATTTAAATTGTTTAGTTCTTTAAAAAAATTAGTACATAACATATCCTAATGCACCTGTAATTTCTTTAAAAGGACATAAAACAATATGTAGATGCAACGCATACCTTATAGCCATCAAGTGCACTCTGCACAAGCTGCGATATTTCAACAAAAACATCTTGTTGTGAAGTCTCATGATGAAACACCTTATCAAATGTAAAAGGATATTTTTGCCCTGCAAATAGTTAAAGTATAATTAGATAAAAAACAACTAAGTAACAAAAGTGAAATTTCTAGAAGATTTTTAACAGCATTTGATTGAATACACAAAAGCACACATATCCATACCACTTTGTACCAAGTCAATGCCTCTGCCAAGAGTTTCAGTTGATGTAGGATAAGAAATTACTGGGGCTTCTGTTGTATTGCCATCATCAGGTAGCAATGGACGCACCCGGCAGAACACCCTAATATTACCTTTTAATTCCTATTATAGAAGAAGATTAGTACCCTTGAAACAGAGTAAGCATAAAAAGAATACATATATAAGAACAAAAAACTACCAGAATAGTATTGTGCAGCTTCTTCCTTAAATTCTCTCCTTCCAGAATTTGAAGCTCTGCTTCGGCCAGGCGATCTTGTAGCTCCCGCACAATTCTCTTATTCTCTTCAAATTCTGTCCTTGTTTCTGAAACAGATAGATCGGCCATCTAGAAGAAAGTAAATAATAGATGTTATGAACTTATGAGTAGACAGATATAGCAACATTTTAAAAACCCCTACAGCATTAATATTACCTTAAGTTTCTCATTTGCGGCTTCTAACTCATGCTTCAATGTATCAATCTGCATCCTTTGAGATGAACATCTCTCCTGCAAAAACATGCCTGCAATATTGGAAAGCTGACACAGCATGAAATCATGAGAATTGTATCTGATACGAACCTCCACGGCTTTTGATTTTCTTGTCAAGGTATCTAATTCTGCACATGACTTCCCAGTGTATTCCTTATACTTCACCACCTCATCCTTCAAATCTTGAATCTCTCGTACATGGCGAACACGGTCATCTCTAACTTGTTGCAGTTCCCCTCGAAGGCATTTGAGCTCATTTACTAATGATTCCTTTTGCTTCAGTGCATCATCAAGTGAAGCCTACATGCAAATGATGTGTGTTACTCAGTAAAGGCATGTGCTATGGTATGGGATTGCAATTGAATAAAAGGGGTCATATCCCTAGCAAACTGTCTCAAAGTTTACCAACAATTTCAATATGCAATGCTCATTACCACAATGAGTTTAAATTGGGCAGATACTAGCTTTCAATAAACAAAAAAAGTCAATAACTTTCAAGAATTGGGAAACCAGTAAAATTCTTCAGATGAAACTCCACAAACGAATGCTGCACAGATACTTACTTTAAGTGAAGTCAACTGATCTTGCAATGCCTTATTGTGTCCCCTAGAATTGCTTAGGGTCTCCACAACAGTTCTTTTCTCATCTTCAACTCGTTTGAGAGACTCGGTGGTTGTTTCAAGATCAGATTGGAGTTTGCTATTGTACTGCTGTAGACTCTTGTTGTACTCTTGTGCTCGATTATACAAATCCTCAGATGAAGCAACCTGCAGAGCTTAACAACTTTAGGCATATGCAAAATGCAGATTTTGAAAAACCGGAGGGGAATTAGTTATCAAAATCATATGCTTATATTACTCTTTGCTCAGCAACTAATTTCTCCTCCCGGACTTTTTCAAGCTCCACTGAAAGAGAATCTTGCAACTTCTCGGCAACATCCCTTGCTTCCTTTTCTCTTCTGTGACTAGTAATTGCATCCTGCATGCCAAACAAAAGAATTAAAAATACAAAATACGAATAGAAGGATAAAAAGTTGAAGAAATAAGCAGGACATATAATTATATCACAAAATTAGTGCACAATGCCATGATTGGAAAACTTACCAGCTTCTCTGATTCTTCCTTCGCAACTTTCTTTTCTAAAGTAGCTATGTCTTCCCTCAGCTTTGAACTTACGGCATTGAGCTCATCTACCTTGTTCTTCATCTCCACCTCTTAAGAATAAAAATCAACACATATTTTACAAATTTGTTCCTTTTTACAATTAGCCTTAATTTTTTATCAATCACATTAGAAGCCACATAGTTTCTCATGTGAACATAATATTATCTACAAAGCCAGATAGTTTCATGAATAAAAATACAAAATTACCAGTATCCGTGCACTTTTGTTCAGCAGAACTCAATGCATTCCGAAGCTTTTCTTCCTCAAGAAGATGGCCTTCCTCAACCTGCTGGAACCATTTGATGCAAAGCTTAAGCCTCTTAGTATAATCAGCTAACTGGTCCGCTTTCCCCTGGCACATAACCAAATAGAAAACGTTATAGAAAAAACAATTCATAGTTCAAAATAAGTAGGAACCTATTTAAAATATACCAGCCAGCAGTTGGGTAAGAAATAGACCTTATGATCAAACTTCTTCACTTTTAGCTTCTCATTCAACAATGCCTCAACTTCTTCCTTCGTGAACTCAACACTGGCACATTCAGAACCCTCTGTGCTGCCTATGTCACTAGTAGGTGCTGCCTCTTGTCTAACAGAAAGTGGCGGTCGTGGGCGGCCCATGCTACCTTGTGCCTCTGTTTTTCTTGTTTCAATCCTCCTGCGCTTGTCTACGGGAACTTCATCAGCACTACTCTTTTTCTACACAAACAAAAAATCAAAGTTAACCTCTTTTTTCAAGGCTATTGTACATAAAGATGCCAGTCATTGTGTCACCGAAATGAACTAAATAACCATAAAAAGATGTTTAATCCATAAAATTCACCATTTGGAACATTGCAGCATACAATTCTACTCGAAGGGGATCAATAAGATCATATAAAAAAACTAAGTAAACAAAACCCCAATTTCATTTCTTTCTTTTTCCATTGCTTCAGCGCCCAAACAACAAAATCGTCAGCTACCCAAATAAGCAAACAAAATCCAAGATATAGAACTTTATTTCTTTCATTTTTTTAAAAACCAAACATAACCAGAAGGAGAAGATCATTGCTATGAAATAAACAGGTAAATTAGAGCTTACAGTAAAAGGACTCCGAGGAGCTCTATTCTGGTTGCGAGAAGCCATTAATCAGGTCCCGTTCTCAGCCGTCGATCTGATAGAGCCGACGGTCGGAGATAGCAGTGTGACGCTCAGACCTTGGATTGTTAAGACTGAATTTTGAGTGAAATCGATTTGGGACTTGGGGGGAAGTTAGGGCTCGAGAGTTCAAAAAAGCGTGTCTGAGAGAAAGGGGAGAGAGAGAGAGAGCGACTGAAAATTTTGAAATTGGATCTGGCGGTACAAACTAACACGCTCTTCAACAAAGACGTTAGTCTTTATTTGGGCCGAACCGGGTTTTTGTGGACTACCACCAGCCAAGTCCAAGGGCCCAAGTTAATTAATTTATTATGGTTTTTGCTCTTTTGAATCTCACCACTTACCCACACTTTTCTTACACCTTTATTAGATGATTTTTTTTTTTCCATAAAAGACCTAATTAGTAATTACTCAATTTCTCTTACACACAAAAAAAAAATATTTCTCTTACACAACCATGTCTAAACCAACCCTACTTTATTTTCTGTTTTGGACGACAATGGCCATGAAATCGTAAACACTACCGTATTATGAATTATAAAGTAGAAAAATAACAAAGGAAGACTATCACAAAAGGCAAACAAGATGAAATTCAATCATTTCTCAAATAATAGAAAGTATCGAGTACCTATTTTTCACCTCCCGTGTGTTGTAATTCAAGACTGTTGAGGATGATCTTGCATAAAAGAGAAATAGTTGAAGGCTAATCACGAGAAGAACTAGATTTCAAGGTTGCAAATAAATAGCGTTATTTGAAAACCAAAGTGAGGTTGAGCGTTTTCATTAATTGTTTTTTCTTTTTATATTTTTATGACAGAACAAGAGATTCATAATTCAAACTTAACCGAGATTTGTGTCACTATAAATTCATTGAATGAGTTTTGAAATTTCATTCCTTGACTAGGCCAAAACAGGAATATCGCATAATTGCTATACATGATTTGAAATTTGGACAAATAAATTTGAACTTCAAATGCTTTGTAGAAATTGCTTGTGAGTTTGTGGTTTCTGCGAAAATGGATTTTGATTCTTCCAAATATGCGAACAGTTTGAAATGACTCATAATTATGCTAGTATTTGGCTGGAGGAGATGTCTCTCTCATTCATTGAACCAAGGTCTCTCTATTCTTCTTAATAAAATTTCCTATGTGTAAATAAAAAAATTAAAAATAAAGGTGTTTTATCAAGAATTTGTCATCTATTCATAATTGATTTGGAAATAGACAATGTTCCTTTTATTTTGGTGGGGAAAAAAAAAAAAAAAAAAAAAAAAAAAAAAAAAACAAAAAAATGGATGGTATTAAGATTAACATCATTGTCATAATCTCATGGAGTCCACGTGTCAAAATGACAGAGTCCGTGTTGGATCATTATCCAGCTTGTCAAATAGAAAATGCAATGAGGGACACTTGTCAACCTCCAATTGGACAAATCCATATCCAACTTATCCAAACCGGAAAATGTCAGATAAGGTCCTTGCCCAAAATCACTCTACATCACATAAGCATGGAACAAAACTAAACATCATCCACCACCAATCACATGCGCCCAGAAATATAATTTCCACATTTCTGCCTCTGTTTTATCATCACTTGGAAACTGATCATTGTTAAGAAGAAATAAAACCCAGAAAGAAAGGTAAGGCAAGGAGGTTAAGGAGAAATGGCACAAGCTATGGCTTCAATGTCTGGCCTACATGGTTCATCCCAGGCTGTGTTGGAAGGCAGCCTTCATCTAAGCAGCTCATCACGCTTGAACATAGCCAGCAGCACCAACAGGCTGGCTGTGACCAAGTCCGGGTTCGCCATAAGAGCCCAGCAAGCGCCTGCAGAGCCTGAAACTAGCCGTAGAGCCATGCTTGGTCTTGTGGCCGCTGGTTTGGCCTCTGGTTCTTTTGTCCAAGCTGTGCTTGCAGAGGCTAAGCCCATCAAAGTTGGTCCACCTCCACCCCCTTCCGGCGGATTACGTAAGCCCTTCAATCTTGTCCTTGTCACTTGTTTTTAGTCTTAGCAAGGTACAAATTTCAGTTTATAATTTGAACTATTATTTGGATTGGGATGCAAGTACATTACACATCAATTTAATTTGACCAACAACAAATTAAGAATGTGGAATGCATGGAATTGTTTATTGGGTTTGTTCAAGAACTTATGGAGGTGAATTTGGTGTTATGGCAGCTGGAACTCTAAACTCGGATGAGCCAAGAGACCTTGACCTGCCATTGAAGGACAGGTTCTTCCTCCAGCCTTTGACCCCAGCTCAGGCTGCACAGAGGGCAAAGGACTCAGCCAAGGAAATTGTTGCTGTGAAGGAGTACATAGACAAGAAGGCTTGGCCTTATGTCCAGAACGATCTTCGTCTCAGGGCCTCGTATCTCCGATATGACCTCAAGACTGTGATTTCTGCCAAACCCAAAACAGAGAAGGAGCCACTCAAGGAACTCACTGGAAAGCTCTTCAAGGACATTGACAATGTAAGTCTATATATACTTGAACTTTTTGTCACCCAGTAATTAACATGTTGATGACATGCCGTAGACAATAATGTACCTTCAATTCATATAATTTTCTTGTTTTTGGTGTTTGTGTTTGTGTTTGGGGACAGTTGGACCATGCAGCAAAGATCAAGAGCACCCCAGAAGCAGAGAAGTACTATGCGGCGACTGTTTCTTCCCTGAATGATGTTATTGCAAAGCTTGGCTAAAAAGGGATTAATGTATTTTTATGCAAGGCTGTAAGCTTTATTTGACAGTTTATGAGACGAAATTATGTGGATGCTATTTGGAGGAAATCATTATCTTCACTCACATTCATGAATATTGTCACTAGCCTTGTTATATACTTGTATATTTTCACCAATGTTTTGAAAGGCGAGGCGTAGAGGCAATGCGTTTTTGGTGCAGCAAGGCGAGGCGTAAGCCTTTTGAGACATAATTATTTTTATAATTATAAGTCAAATTTATAAATGATACAATATAATTAAACTAAACCACTAATTGTCATTGAAGCTTAATAATCAATCAAATATAACTAAATATAAGTACTAATTATAATAGTCAATCTTAAAACTCAATTGGTCATACAGTTGAGAGTGAGGCTGGTTCATAAATTGAGTGGAGGGTTAGAGCTTAATAGATATGCGGCTGAGAATAATGAATTTGGGGTTTAAGTCTGTTTGATTTGATTGTACTTGGGTATAGGAGAGAGATTGATTTGTTAAACCAAACAATAACTTTCGCACAAAATAAAAAAGTTTAAAACAACACCCAAAACGCACAGGTTCATTAAAACTGTAAAGTGATCCCCCCACCCCCCCAAAACACAACTAAAAGTTAAAACGACATCATCTCACGGGAAAAAAAAACAGAGGGTTCAACAAGTCATCTTCTTCCTTGCGCAGCTCCGCCTCATACTGCAGAGCGCATGCCTTCTTACGCCTTGTCGTTGATGCGCATGCTAAGCATGCAAACAACTAAACAAGGCAACGCTTGAGGCGATTTGCTCTCACCTCGCTCCAAATTTTTAAAATTCCAATTTTGTCATATACTTTAACCCAACAACAAGGACATTTTAGCAATTAGAATCACTCTTATCCAAATTCCATATAGTTTAGTAAACAACTTCAATAAGAATCCTAAACTCTAACTCTCATCAATTCATATGGTTTAGTAAACAACTTCAATAGGAATCTTGAATCTAATTCTCCTTAATTCAACTATTCCTCAATTTAATTTCTCCTAATCTATGTCATTATTGTCTTGACCAACTGACATAACCCACATATACAATAAATCATTGATAATTAAGTTGTGTGTATTGAAAATAGAGGGCTTTGACATTAAATACTAAATAATGCATAACTTTTATATTTAAATACTAGCTTTGTAAGTTTAGGTACCAACATAATGGTATTGAAGTTCTATCGTATTAGTTACAAGATTTTGCCACTCATGCATTGACCAAATTTTTTTATGAACCACACTTACTTTTTAATTTCTTGATGTGAAGTAAATACAGGAATTCTCCATAATTGAAATTTAATTCCTGATTTGAATTCCAATTCCTGATTAGTAAACACACTATTAAAGCATCTCGTTGCACCCAAATTTGAATTCTCCTCCGTCTAAACATGAGTTGGATCATGTATTAATTTATTGCTTAATAATATATGCCACATAAGAGGTGATTTGGTCCCTCTCCGCATATTACGTCAAAATATTTGGTATTTATTGCTTAATAATATATGCCACATAAGAGGTGGGTTCATCCCTCTCGGCACATTATATCAAAATCTTTGATAATTGGCGCCATTTCTGTGTATGCACCATCACGCGCCAATAAACTAATATATATATATATATATATATATATGAGAGTAAAAATTTGAATGAGATAAGAAGTTTACATTGATAAGAAGAATTATGGATTAGCTTTCGAGTTATTTATAAATATGTTTTTTTTAAGAGAGATTTTTTTAGCTTCATTATTGACATAAATATAAGGGAGTAACAAATTTAAAATCCAACGGTCCTGATATGTCTTGCTACTTTCCAAAGTCCTTAACCTTTCCCCTATAATATGATGGCATCCAAGAATCCAAGCCCAACTTTCGAAGTATGACCCTTTTTACTCTTTCCTTCGCACACACAAACCCAATTCCTAGTTAGAAACCCTAATTTCGCAAAACCCTGCTGTATTGTCTCTTCAATGGCACCCAAGCGCCCATCTCTTCTAGATGAGCCTCCGACTGCTTCTTCTTTGGAAGAAGAGGTAGCCTTGTCCGAAGAAGAATTAGACAAAGAAGAATAGGAAGAATCCGAATCCATATCTGAATCCGAGTCCGAGGAACCCGAGCCTCCAAATGCAGCACCCACTCATGTTGCTGAGAAGAAACCACCACCAAAGAAACCGAACTCGGCTACTGTCAATTCAAAGCCGCAGTCTTCATCCTCTCGCTCATAGTCTGAGTCTAAATCCGATTCAGAATAGGATAAAGATATGATGGTAAAGCCGATATCTTCAAAGCCAATGGAAGAGAAGCTCAAGACCAAGAAGCCCATATCGAAGGCCTCGACTACTACTATGCCGAAGGCAAGAGCCGGGTCGAAGCGGCCAAGCGAGAGTGACCCCAAGGATTCCAAGAGGCCCAAGAAGAAGATCCCAGACCAGGATTAGGAGCCAAAATATGCCGGAGAGGAAACGAAGAAGACGGGTGGGGACGACTCAAAAAAGCTTTTCCAGAGGATTTGGAGCGATGATGATGAGATAATGATCTTGAAATGCATGATTGATTACTCTACGAAGAAAAGGGCGGACCCATATTCTGATATGGGTGCGTTTCATGATTTTATCAAGAAATCGTTGAAGGCCGATGTGAACAAGACCCAATTGCAAGACAAGATTCGTAGGTTGAAGAAAAAGTATGAGATGAATGTGGCCAAAGGGAAGAAGTATAATCCTGTTAAGCCTCATGAGCAAAAGGTCTTTGACTTGTCGAAGAAGGTATGAGGCAGCGACGAAGGGTCCATTGGGGTCAGTGGGTTGTCTGAACAGTCCAAGTCTAATGGGAAGGCTAGGACAAATCAGAAGGGTAACAACAAGACTTTGGCTTCACTTAAAGCTGAGCTTTTGAGTTCATCGGAGCCCCCAAAGGAGTGTGAGAAGGTGGAATTTGGTTCTGATAGTTTGAGTGAGGTGATTGGGTATGATAAAGGTTTCAGAGAGATGAGGTTGCTAGAGGGTGTTATGAAGCATGGCTTGGAGTTGATTGGAGGAGCTAGGCGAGCTGAGCTGAAGGAGAAGTGAAAGAAGCTGCATGTTGCAGAATTGGACCTTTTTGTGAAGAGGAGTGAGTTGATAAGAGATCAGGCTAAGGTGATTCTGGAGACTTTATAGTCATATGAGCATTAGAACATTGGATTAAATGTTTAAAAGGTTTAGTAATTTGGTGTTAGTTTTTTAATTTTATTTTATGCAATCTCGCTAATTCGTAAGAGCTTACATCAAAATTCAAATACATTTTTTATCCAAAATTTTCTGATATTTTCTTTCTAAACGTGGTAAATCCAAATTTGATTCCTCGTAGCCAAAAGAAATACTTCGGGGAGCGCTTCGTCAAAATTTGTATTTCCCGCTTCACACGAACGCAGAAGCACACGAAAAGCCCCCAGTTCTAAACATCATCATCTAACCGTCCAATTTTTTTAAAACGACCGGCTACAGATGTCGATCCGCGTGACTCTCTCTGATTGGCTCTCCTTCTACCCAAGCGGCTGTGCTCCCCTATATAAACTAAGAAACCCCTAATCCACTTCACCCTCCTCTGTTATTACTTCAAAAACACCGCTAGGCGTAGATTTCTCCTCACACGTATCCTACTTTCAGATTCCATGGCAGGAAGAGGAAAGTCAATTGGCTCTGGTGCCGCCAAGAAGGCCACATCTCGTAGCAGCAAGGCCGGTCTGCAATTCCCGGTCGGCCGTATCGCCCGGTTCTTGAAAGCCGGCAAGTACGCCGAGCGAGTCGGTGCTGGCGCACCGGTCTACCTCGCCGCCGTCCTCGAATATCTCGCTGCTGAGGTCAATATCTCAACCCTAATTTCATTTAATTTTTGATATTTTCTCTTTAATTTTGTTGTGAATATAAATTAATTTTGTGAAATTTTAATAATTGTAGGTGTTGGAATTGGCTGGGAACGCTGCTCGGGATAACAAGAAGACGAGGATTGTGCCGAGGCACATCCAGTTGGCCGTCAGGAACGACGAGGAGCTGAGCAAGCTGCTCGGCTCCGTCACCATCGCTAACGGCGGCGTTATGCCCAACATCCACAACATGCTCTTGCCCAAGAAAACTGGCACCGGCAAATCTGGCCCCTCTGACGACTAGAAGAGTAACCGAGCTTCTCTCAATTCCCTTTTGTAAAAAAAGTAAGATGGAAAATAGAGTGATTTAGGGAGGTTAGCTGATCTGTTGGATTGTTGTTATGAATTTTATATTCGATCTACTTAAAGAAACAAATTGTGTTCCAATCGTTTATTTATTTTCTTATCCAACTCCATGATATCAAATTTCCACTCGGAATTTTCAAATTACAGTTGCGAACCGATAAAATAATGGCGCAAACAAAAATGCTGTGAGTTGCAATTAAACACTCTTGAATTCCCAATTGGGAAATTTGGAAACTTTAGTGAATTAAACTGCACCAGAAGGGTTTTGTTTTTGTTGGGATCTGTTTTGTTCTCTGATGGTGGCCTTGGCTGAGACGTAATATGCTATCATGAACAATCCATGGAAGAAGCATAAGATGCCTCCGATGGACAGAATGCGATGGTGTGATAATCCGCATGATTTTCTTGATTTTGAGTTAGAAAAAGCCCCTGCCATCAGCAGTGAGAATCCCACAGCCAATGCGATCCTGCAAAACAAACATGCGTTGATTAGATTTGGGCTTGGGCTAATCATGTTTATGGTGTTTGAATTAGGGTTGATAAGTACCATGACAAAAGAAGGGAAGCAGCAGATAATTGCCTATTTGCTGTGGCTTTGGTATAATCTTCCCTGGACCAGATGCAAATGCACCCACCAAGCAAGTTGCCAATGATATGGGCAACTGCTAGAAGCACAGCAGCAGCCAACCCCAGTTTGAAGGCTTGGTAGCTTGGGTCTCTACACTCAAAGATCCACACCTTCAAGTGCTTCACCTGTTTTCATCCCAAGTAATTTCAATAGTCAATCAATTAACTTAAATTTCCTTTCTTCAATTACAACTATCGTATGTATATGGTAAAGTACCTTGTTTTGAGCAATTTCAGCTTGGATGCCAAGTATCCCGGCCACGATGTCCATAAGCAAGACTGAGAGGCAGACCAGAGGGGTGATGTTTTTCACCATGTTTGTAGGATTGGTTGAAGGAGGAGGGGATGGGTGTGAGATTTATATGCAGATGCTGCCTCTGCTGGGTTTATTTAGTAGAGGAAGGGGGAATAGGTTATAAAGGAGGGGGAAGCATGCATATTTTATCTGTCTATCTGACATATTAGGAGGGAAATTAGCTGTGATGCTTGGGTAAAAGCTTCTTTTGTCTTCACATTTTTCTTTATTCTTCTTTTAACATGTTATTCGTTTCTTTTTGAACATGGATTCTTTTCATGGGGAGCAAGGAAAGCAGGGTATCAATCACCTGCAGGTGGGAATGGTTAACTTTGATCCTTGCGTGTATGACAACTCACAAGAATCACCAATACTTCAAATTATTCCTTCAATTCAACCAGTCCCTTTGCCTAAAGAGTTCTCGTTTTATTTTTGGACAAGTCTTAAAGAGCTCAAGTATCTCAATATTGAGTTCTAACTAAAAATGTGATGGTCATGGTTATTTTTGTACGCGAGGTTCTGTGTTTGAGTCCCGCCTCTCAATATCGCTTGTATGTGAAGTTCTGTGTTCTGCCCCCCTCTCAATATCGCTTGTATAATGAAAAGAAATGTGTCGTCCAAGAGCTAAAGACTGCAGTCATGGAAAACCAATACTTAAGTGAAACCGTTGGAAGACTTGGCGGCATTAGGAAAAGGAAAAACTAAAATAAAAAAGACAAGGACCTAAGAGAAAATGCAATAGCTTGACACGTGGCAGTTTATTTCAGTTGCCTCCTGTACGATTACAGACTATTCTAGAAAGAACTGGTTTCCTCGATCAACTGTTCCCAGAATGAAAGTTCTAAAGAAAGCTAAGGGAGCACCCAGAAAGGACTTGTCTTTCTCTTCCTTATTCCAATTTTCTCTCTGTGATTCTGTTAACTTGCGTTCTAGAGGAGACGATGGCGGCGTACAGATGGAAGTGCTTCGACGAGAACGAAGACCGTCCCGAAAAGCCTCGAAGCTATGGCGTCACGGAAATGAGAAGCCCCCATTACACCCTCTTAAGCCAAAACGTCCTTCAGGTATTCCCAAAATCGCTTTGTTCTTTTCTTATTAGTTACTTAAATCAAAGTGCTGCACATTTTACTTCTAAATGTTTGACAAATCTTTATGTAAATTACAATTTTTTTCTTACTCCGATCGCGTTGCATGCTGTGAAATGTCAAAGATTCCTCTTTCTTTCAAGATTTGACAATGATATGGAGTTTTGGGTGCAAGATCAATGTGTAATTGTGGAAGATGATGTGGGTTATCAACATCCCTGTTGTAATTTGGAAATGTTTTTTCTTGGCAGGATATTTTTGAGTCCATGGGGCAGTTCGTTGATGGGTTGAAGTTTGCTGGAGGTTCCCATAGCTTGATGCCCAAATCGTTTATTAAGGAAGTGACTGATGTTGCTCACAAACATGACATATATGTCAGCACTGGTGACTGGGCTGAAAATTTGCTTCGCAAAGGTCCCTCAGCTTTCAAAGAGTATGTGGAGGTGAGAAGCTTTTAAGAATTCCACTCTTTCAGTGTTGTAAATTTGTGGGTGGTGTTATTGGGGGCTTTAAATAAGCATGTCCTGTTATGATTTCTTTAGGAATGTAAGAGCTTGGGGTTTGACACAATCGAGTTGAATGTGGGATCTCTTGGAATTCCTGAAGAAACTCTTCTGAGATTTGTGCGCTTAATTAAGAGCGGTGGCCTGAAAGTGAAACCTCAGTTTGCAGTCCAGATTAACAAGTCTGACATTCCCATAGGGGATAGAGCATTTGGAGCCTACGTTGTCCCAAGGCCACGATCATCTGGTATGGGTGCACTCTTTCCTGAAACAAATTTTGATTGATATGTTTACCTTCATAACTAGATATTTCCTGCAGAGTTGTGAATGGAATTTTTAGATTTTGTTGTTGGGAAGAAAATGAATGAGAAAATTGCCACTCCTCTTTCTTTTGTCCCGCTGTTATGGAAAGGGTCACTCTTTTTCTGCAAAGAACTAGCATGGTACAACTGTCGAAGGTAAAAGGAGAAAGACTTTAGCTCATGTGAAGAAATGTAGAATCTATGAGGAAATGGATGAAACCCCAGATAATCAAATTTGTCTGGTGTATGTAATGTTAGTATCTGTTTTCACTTTGATGTCCAGGCAGCATAATACCAAGAAAACGAGTTGACCATTACTAATATTACTGAATAGGGCACTATAGTCTATATAGAAACTATTTGGATTCAAACACTACTACATAAACTTTTCAAATTGTAAAAGGAAGAACCGTTTTGGTCCTATATCTACGATTACCCTCTGCCCACAAGTTTGTGTTTGATGATATTATTTGGCTTGTCTGAAGTTTGCTGCAGTCATGTTTTCAGAGTGATGATTGTTCGTTCTTCCATTCATCTTCCTGATTTTGTTTTTTGCCTGTGATGTTAACATTTTCTCTGAACATATGATCAGAAAGGAGAGGTAGTAGAATCATCTCTATGATTGTTGGTTATGACTTATAGCATGACCATTGTCTCTGTTTGCACAGAATTTGTTGAAGATGTTGATCTGCTGATTAGAAGGGCCGAGAGATGCTTAGAAGCAGGGGCTGACATGATAATGATTGATGCTGATGATGTCTGTAAACAAGCTGATTCAATGCGGGCAGACATAATTGCGAAGATCATTGGGCGTCTTGGTGTTGAGAAGACCATGTTTGAAGCATCAAATCCAAGAGCATCAGAGTGGTTCATCAAACAGTATGGTCCACGGGTATAATGCTCTTTCATAAACTTTTACATAATTTCTTTTATTGGGAAAATGCGTTGCATGTCATTATATCCTTCTTGTTTGCCTGAATTTTCAGGTGAATCTGTTTGTGGATCACTCCCAAGTGATGGATCTGGAGTGCCTCCGGGGACGAAGCTTGGGTAAAAACCATACATCTGTGCTGGGTTCCTCGTATTTTCTGTTCTGAACTTTTTGTAATAAGAAGGGGGAGAAAGTTATGGTAATATGTGTATGTCTCTTGTTGGATCTGGTCTTGTTGTCTTATGAATTTGTGCTGTTGATGTAACCTTGTTCAATATAACCTTTGTTCCAGTGTGTAAAACACTACTTTCTAAGATTTTGAGAATCATTGTTGCGACTGATCTCCACTCATGAAACTCATGACTTTTGTCTCCTCACACCAAGCTAAAATTCAATGATGTATTTGTATTACAATACAGTATTTATGATATTTCCACTAGCAATTGTATTCTTTTATGTATTTTATTTTTGTAAACGAAGGAAGTTGAGGTTTCACTCCAAAACTAATTGACAATGGGGGAGTAGCTCAACTTCTTACAAACCAGGCTTGGTCCCTTAACTTTTAAATGTGGAACAAACACTCCTAACAGTAAATGTATGGTGCATATAGACAACAAATATAGAGCATTATATTATAGTATCAATCTTGACAAAAAAATAAAAAATATAATAATGACGGATGAACAAGTGAGGTCGGTTTCAGACCCCAAAAAAATATATAAAAAGAAGAAGTGATATCTGTAATTCTTCTCCTAGCTACGTCGTCACGCGTGCGGGTGGCCGCTGCCCAGCTAACACCTGAATATCTAACTCAATCTAAACGATTGGCCCAACAGCGTATAGTCTGGGAATGAAAATAGTCTTATGTTGTTTCTTTTCTTTTAACGTAGTTAATTGATTTTTTTTTTAAAACGTGAAAAAGGGTTTTAATATAATAATTAATTTGTACCAATAAGATATTTCTTCCTATTGAACTTCAAAAAGAAAGAGAAGAAATTGTGTTTTGAGTTGGTGGTGCATAGATCATCACGTGCTCACCTTCTTCCTCCAGATTCAATTAGATGGAGATGAGCAGCTTCTAGACTAGTCTATTTAAGAATTAAACATCCGTTGACAGAAGTACCAGTCTCATAATTCCTCCTAGTCCTAACCACCAGTGAACTCTGAAACTTAGCAACTGAAAGAGCCATGGCCACCCAACCCATCTCAAAGAAGACAGCCTGTGTGATCGGAGGTACAGGGTTCGTGGCATCTTTGCTGGTGAAGCTGTTGCTAGAGAAGGGCTATGCCGTCAAAACCACTGTCAGAGACCCTGGTTAGGCTTCCTCTTTTTCCCCTTTTCTTTTCAATGTCAACTTTTACTAGAGTTTATCTGTTGCTTGCGAGTTCTGTTATTTTATTTTATTTTTTTGGGATCAAGTTCAAGTTATGCCCTGAAACCATATGTAAAAACATCAAAATGGGAAACATATATAATGCTGTGGGCCCAGTTTCATTTCTTCTGCTTATGATGTTCTATATAACCGTTTGTGATGACATTAGCTGAAACATGAAAATGGGGTATCTTTGATGAGACTAAAATGATTGATGCCAAGGTGTTATATAGTTCACACCATTATGTAGAGGTGTTAGTGATCAACCAAAGAAGCTGAAAGTGTACAAAATGATTTAGTCAGTCATATGAACATACTGTTGGAATACATTAAGGAGACTGATTCAGTTGCCAGATTAAGGGTTTTAATATGCTGGCATGAATTTCATTCATTTTGTGCATTTGGGTGCAGACGATCAGAAGAAGATCTCTCACCTCACAGCACTACAAGATTTGGGTGAACTAGAAATTTTAGCAGCAGATCTAACTGACGAAGGGAGCTTTGATGCCCCCATAGCAGATTGTGACCTTGTTTTCCATGTTGCCACACCTGTCAACTTTGCCTCCGAGGACCCTGAGGTACAGATTTGTTGGAATTGCTTAATTAAATTTGAAATTCAATATAGCTGTTGCATCTTAAGGTCAATGCTACCTTTTCCATTTCCAAAAAACAGAACGACATGATCAAACCAGCAGTTCAAGGGGTGCTAAACGTTCTGAAAGCATGCGTGAAAGCCAAAACAGTTAAACGCGTTGTTTTGACATCATCAGCAGCTGCAGTGTCGATCAACACACTTAATGGAACAGGTTTGGTCACAGACGAGAACGATTGGAGTGATGTTGAGTTCTTGAGTACTGCAAAGCCACCTACTTGGGTAAATTGCCCAATCATTTTAGTCTCTAAGCTTTAATAAGAAAGTAGGCCTATACTGCCTATACTGAACTCATTAGACTTAGGTGATTGAACAAAAGCTTTGTCTCAAATTTTCAGGGCTATCCTGTCTCCAAGACACTGGCCGAGAAGACAGCTTGGAAATTCGCCGAAGAAAACAACATTGATCTCATCACCGTCATCCCTTCTCTTATGGCTGGTTCTTCTCTCACTCCAGACGTCCCCAGCAGTATCGGCCTAGCCATGTCTTTAATTACAGGTGTGAAACCAGAGGCCAGAATATGCTACACGTCCATATTCCTTTGACTTGAGGCCTTGTAGCTAGAATGGGGAAAAAACAAAAAAAACACTACTTGCACAGTACCTCAGATAGATGGGTGGTGTTCTGATGGTTCCTTTTAATGTTTTACAGGAAATGACTTCCTCATAAATCATGCCTTGAAAGGGATGCAACTACTATCAGGTTCAATCTCCATTACACATGTGGAGGATGTCTGCCGGGCTCATATATTTTTGGCTGAGAAAGAATCTGCTTCTGGTCGGTATATATGCTGCGCTGTCAATACCAGTGTTCCTGAGCTTGCAAAGTTCCTCAACGAAAGATACCCTGAGTACAAAGTCCCCACTGAGTAAGCCCCTACTCCAAGTATTCCAACATCTAGATATCTATATTACTGCTTTAAAACAATATTGAATAGTTAGGAGGTAACATTCAAAGGACATGCCCTTTAAAACAATTCATGTCTCATCTTTGGGGAACCTTGAAGTGAACTTCAATAGTTATTGCACCATTTCAGATGGTTATTTTGACTCTCATTTGCAATTGCAGGTTTGGAGATTTTCCCTCGAAGGCCAAGTTGATCCTCTCTTCGGAGAAGCTTATCAAGGAGGGGTTCGACTTTAAGTACGACATTGAACAAATATATGACCAAGCTGTGGACTACTTCAAGGCTAAGGGGCTGCTGCAGAACTAGAACTAAGTCTCGCTAGTTTAATTATGATCCTGTTACATGAATCACATATGTGTGATTGGCGTTTATCTAGCTATGTTCTGTCTTGGCCGTATGTACTCTTGTAAAATTCAAATATAATTTGTTGAGTTTGGCAATGGTGTATCTTATGTGCAGTTTCTGAAGCATGATAAGTTGTCATTTCCTGGTAATAAAATACAACAGAACAAAGTCACAGCGACATGTTGCTACACTCTGATAAAATGCTTTCTTGCTTTTTGTTCAACCACAAGAAAAGCACAACTTCTTTATCTCATCTGTAAGGCCAAGTTCATATTCCAACAGGTAATATGTCGTTTCTACATGATGGTAATCGTCTAAGTATGGTGATTAACTCAAACCGCATATTTACTGCAAAATTTCATGTTCCCATTAAAATTAAAACCATTTGTTGTTTGCTTTCCATTTTTGTTTAACATTATTGATAAGCATATGTTTTCTGTGTCTTCCTGCATTATGGAAGAAAAGTTGTTGATCAGGTGGGGGTCCTGGTGCTCTTAAGACAAAATTTTAATAATCATTGTACCCTTGAAGAAAATTACTCCAACAACTTTTTTTTTCTCCTACCAACCATGGCAGTGAAAATAACAGCGATGGTCGAATTGTGATGGTGCCATGTAGAAAATACAAAATACATGTTCACCATGATTTAGAAAACACTAAAGTGGGCTGGTAAATGGTGGTTGGCAAGGAAAAATAAAAGCACCCTACACAGGAAAAATATGGAAGTGCTGATACAGAAAACCAGTTTGTCCTGTCCAAGTGGATTAAAAGTGAGATCCCCAAAGTCTTTATTGTAGATGAACTTTAATGAAAGCAAAATATTCTACACGACACGAGGCCCTACATTTAAATCCTTCAATCTAGAGGTTTTGCTCGTTTCTGTAAAAGCAATTGAAATCATAAAATGAACAAAGTTGAATATACAATTGCAAGGCTTCAGCTTATAAGTTTGATGTCTGCTTGTCTCTCTTCAGCGTTCAATGAAAGGATCCTGATTGTCCAGCAGATCTATTTCAATGTAGGTTTCTTCAGCTGCATCGTTTGAGGTCTGCTTGTAGTTCTCCGTGTCATGTTTCATCATCAAAATCCATGATAGGCTCTGTACAATGTCCCTCATGGAAGGTCGGTTTTTCGACAGACCACTCACACATTTGTAAGCAAGATCAGCAACATTAGCGAGTTGTTCTACATTGAATCTTCCATCAAGACGAGAATCCACAATCTCTTGCCACCCCAGTTTATCCTCTGTGTCGATTGTTGCCTACCCATCAGCATGAAAACTCATCGAATGTGAATGTTACAGAATTATTATTATTATTATTATTATTATTATTATTATTATTATTATTAATTGAAATGAAGGACAATGCAACTTTGGTGAAGGTGAAGGCCAAGTAGCCAAATGAACAAGAGACGGTTCTTACAAGTTCCACATATTCCATAAGACCCTGCTGCGGGTTCCTGCCTGTAATAATTTCGAACAGCAGCACTCCAAAACTATAAACATCGCATTTCTTAGTATATGTCTTTGTCAACACATACTCGGGATCAACATATCCATATGTTCCCCTGATATTAGATGAACGAAGTTTGCTCCTGTCTTGTCTTGAAAGCCCGAAATCAGCAACCTGCTTGATAAAAACAATAGTTATACATTTTTTGGTAAGGGTAATTAACCTCCAGTTTAGCAACAAGTTCTTTGAAGGCTAATTAGTATTGAACTTTTGCAACTAGGTCTTTCATGTGTTTTGATACCACATTTGTTAACAGTAAACAAAGAAAAAAAAGGGTCACATACCCTGGCCCTCATTGACCGGTCCAACAGTATGTTGGAAGACTTGATGTCGCGGTGCACAACAGAAGGAACAGCCTGCCATAAGGAGAATGGAGCTAAATAAGCAGGCAGTTCCAAATCAGTTCTATTGACCAGGAAACTAAAATGAAAGCATACCCCATAGTGTAGGTATTCCAATCCCCTTGCAATATCAAGAGCTATGTCAACTCTCAAATCCCAGCTCAATGGCTTGCGATTATCCCCTGCATGTCCCAACAATCTAAGATATGTGCACAACAGAAGTACAAATTGTCCTTTTATCATCCATCAAAATGAACTTGACATAAACTTTGGTAACAAGTGATTATCACAGCGGTCTCGGGCTTATCGATCGCTAGACTGAATTCAAGTTATAGGAAATTTCATGGGAATGACCATGAAGACCAGAAACAGTCATACATTGACTCAATGAACCTTGAATAGTATAATTGAATTGCTTTAAACGATACAATGTGTGGCTATCCATGTTAGAAAATAATGTGAATTGTCGCGTTGTGGAAGAAAAAAACAAACTGTGATTCACGAGAGTTGTTACCATGTAAATGAGAAAACAGACTGCCATTACTCATGTACTTGTAGAGCAGCATATGCTGCCCTACTTCTGCCATATATCCCACCAAGTTGACAAGGCTCTTGTGGTGCAATCTTCCAAGTAAGAGAACCTGAACACAGATTTATGCACGTGCGTAAATACATAGACAATTCAATCAAGGCATGTACATGTACTAAAAGTATATCAATCAATGAATTGTATGCAAATGCCATGAACCAATTACCTCAGCCAAAAACTCGTTTTGGCCTTGCGTGGAATTAGCAGCAAGAACTTTAACAGCAAAAGTCTCACCAGTGCTCATTTGGGCCTTGTAAACAGGTCCAAACGCTCCTTGCCCAATAGCTGTCGTAAAATTATAAGTCGCCTTCTGTACATCTCTGCAAACAGAACCCAGTAAATCACTGTCTCTCTCCGCAACCACACAGAATAAAACCCAGAAAAGTACATACACAGACATATACATACAGAAATATTTATACAGACCTGAAAGAATACTTGGGTATGCCGCAAGCTGAGACGACGCTCTTTCTCCTGAGGCCCTCCAGCCAGAGGGGCATGTTGGTCCACTCCGAAGTTCTGGGCGAGTCTTGGCCAAAGTTGGAGAACTCAGAGACAGTGGTGTTGGTGTTGCTGGAGTCAACGCCATTGTTACTCACTCCTTTGACTGGTAATTTGGGTGCTTTTTCTCTCTGCGCTGAGATGGACCTCTGTGATTGTATCCTTCTGCACCTTCTTCTTCGGATTCCGAGGCAGCAGACCACTCCAATTCCTAGAACCAATCCCAATGCGAACCCTGCAACAATGCCTACCAACAAATGCAATATGATTGAGTTCATCATCTTTTTATTTTGTTGTTGTTGGGTTTATAAATCAAAACCAACCCACCAAATGACGGCGTGATGGCTGTGTTACTGTTTTTTGACGTTCTTTTAAAGAGAAGAGGCAGCCACGAAGGTGTCGTTTATGTTGTCCCCTGGAAGGGTAGAAAATCAAAACGAGTAATTTTGGTGCAAATTTGTAATTGGCTTTGCTAATAACGTAATTGACATTTGATCAAACGTGACACGAGAGAACTTAATTGACAGAAAATCAATGGAGATAAATTATTGGACGTAGTAAGATATGTGCATAGTATATATGTCGTAGCTAAAACGAGAAAAATTGTTCGACACCTAATTTATTGGGCAGTGTTTTTATTTTGTTCTACTTTTGGATGACAACCATATGAACCGAGATCTTGTAATTAATTTCATCAAATCCGGTTGATTGAAGATGTTCTCTTCATTTTTAAATTCCATGCTCGAAATTGAACAACATTTCTGAAAGTTTGCACATATGGAAATTGCCAGGTCAGAAAACCCATTTCATATCCCAATTCAATAATGTTGTTTCATGGTCTCCTGCTGGCTCAAACCAATCTTCCACTCGAATTCAACAAATTCAAACAAAAAAAACCCAGAGAAACCAGTGGTTCCTCACCGTTGCTTCCATGGATGCCATCAAGAAGGTCATGCAAACCGGCAGGTCGACAATGATTAAACTGAAAGTTCTACCATGGGTTTTTGTTGTTGAAGTGAAATTAGACGGAAACTTGAATTAAGATTTGTTTGGGGTTTGGAATTATTCAAAGGTTTTGAATTTTTATGTTCATTCAAATGAATTTTTGTACACTTGAAAATTTCAGTATCATGGAAGATGGAGATGAATTCTTGGATTTTTCTTAAGTGGTTTCAATCTTGCATCTCAGCCGTGAGGTTTGCTCTTGGAGAAAAAGAATATATTAAAAAAAGAAAAAAAGGAAAAAAAAGGGAACTTTGCTTTGCACCGGCAAAAGAGATGTACTGATCATATTGGACAGATGGCACAATCTTATTGGACTGGGACATGAAATGGATTTTCTGACCTGGTATCCCCGTGCCACGAAAGTTGTTCTCGTTTGAGTGACGTGAGAATCTTGTTTACAACCCCCCTCGTTTGGTACGAGTCGTTGTTTCGTACTCTGTTTCAATGACATCTAAGCCAGCGGTGGATATACTCTTTCTTGTTTCAGGTGGTGAGAGGCTCAATTTGACCAACACATCACACCATGAAACACATGCGCGCTCGTACATGAAGGTTCATCTGTTTATTGGACCACGTAAACATTTCATATCATGAACCAAAAAAATCAGATTTGTTGGTATTAAATGTTGTCCTGTTTCACGTGGGATGCTAGGCTATATGGTCATGAAACATGACGTCATATCATATCATGAACTGTGCGTGCCTTTGCCTTTATAAACCCCTCCAAGAAAGATTCTCCATGCACCAAGTTTCCATCATGGATTTTAGAACACACTTGCAAGCTGATGAGCAGCAAATTTTTGAATGCCAGATGCAATCCCAAGCCTCTTACGACTTGACACAACATGAAAGACGATCTGCCAATTACAAGCCAAATATTTGGAAACATAGTTTCCTTAAATCTCTTGACAGCAAATACCATGTGAGTTTTCTTTCTCCTCCAAATTAACTTCCTGCTATAGCTATTAATTTCTCGATATTTATTAATGAATGATAATTAATATTGCTATCTTAACTGAGTGCAGGGAGATGATTATAAAAGGCAGTCTCAGAAGCTCATAGAAGATGTTAAGAATATGATGTTTGTTAAAACTGAAAATTCAATAGCTCAGTTAGAGCTAGTTGACATCATCACAAAACTAGGCCTCACGAACCACTTTGAAAAGGAAATCAAGGAAACCCTAGACACAATAGCATCTGTTGAAAATAACAACCCCTGCATAAGGGTAACAGATGACCTCTATACCACTGCCTTGTACTTTAAGATCCTTGGGCAGCAGGGCTACAAAGTATCACCAGGTAAATATATATTAGTTGCAGAATTAACTGTCATATATTTGCATGAACTTGTAAAAAACTCCCATAACTTTATCTTATTTCAGATTTATTTGGTGGCTTCATGGATGAGGAGGGTACATTAAAGAAAAGCCATCTTTCGGATGTCAAAGGAATGCTTGAACTTTTTGAGGCCTCGAACCTGGCTTTAGAAGGAGAAGATATCTTAGATGAGATAAAAGCTTCATCTATGGTAGCTCTCAGAGATTCCAATATCTGTGATCTGGAGAATAACCTTGCCAAGCATGTGGTCCATGCTTTGGAGCTTTCATCACACAGAAGAGTGCGGTGGTTCAATGTTAAAGGGCACATAGACGCCTATGAGAAAGACAATCACGTCAACACCATTTTAATTGAATTGGCTAAACTTAACTTTAACATGGTTCAAGCAAAACTGCAAAAAGATCTAAGGGAAGCATCCAAGTAAGTAAAAGCAAACCAACCAATCAATATCTTCTTTGGAAAACGAAAGAACATATCATTTAAGGAAGTGGGGTCTTATAAAAACAAAAATAATGCTAATGCTGTTGCCTTTTTTGTTTTCTGATGTGTGACTTAGGTGGTGGAACAATCTGGGCCTCACACAGCACTTGAACTTTGCAAGAGATAGACTGGTCGAGTGTTTCATGTGTGCTGTGGGGTTAAATTTCCAGCCTGACTACACATCTTTTAGAATATGGCTTACCAAAGTCGTCAACTTGGTTCTGATAATAGACGACGTTTACGACATTTATGGCTCACTGGAAGAGCTAAAGCGCTTCACCAACGCCGTTGACCGGTTAGTTAGTTTTGGTATAAAACACAGTAGTATTGGAAAAGGGTTAGTTTCATAATGTCTAGATAATTGTCATCAATGTCTTCAACTCAGGTGGGATGTTGGGGAAACTGAGGAGCTTCCAGAGTGTATGAAGATCTGCTTCCAAGTGCTCTACAACACTACTTGTGAAATTGCTCATGAAATTGAGGAGGAAAATGGTTGGAATCAAGTATTACCTCAGTTGAGGAAAGTGGTACTAACCTAGCTAGGCCTGTTCCTTTTTTTTTTCATTTTATATCTTCATATATGGTTGAGCTTGAAATTAATGTTTTGACTCTTTAGTGGGCAGATTTTTGTAAAGCATTATTAGTGGAGGCAGAGTGGTACAGTAGGGCCTATACACCATCCCTGGAAGAGTACCTCAGTATTGGATGCATTTCATCATCAGTTTCAGTGATTTTGGTTCATACATTTTTCTCCACAACTCATCATCAGGGAATCCAAGAGATTGCTGATTTTCTGCACAAGAATGAAGATCTTGTGTATAATTTATCTCTGATAGTTCGGCTCAGCAATGATTTGGGAACTTCTGCAGTAAACTTCTTTCTTTGTTAGGTTTTCTTAATCAAACAAGTCAAATATAATATAGTCTAATCTAAGCAAATTAATTGATTGATTGATTAACAGGCAGAACAAGAGCGAGGGGATGCTCCCTCAGCAATCCTATGTTACATGAGAGAGGTGAATGTTTGTGAAGATATAGCTAAGAAGAACATCAAGGACATGATAGAGAATGCATGGAAGAAAATAAATGGAAAATGCTTGAGAACCCCACAAGTGCCTTCTCTGTCACCATTCATCAACATTACCACAAATATTGCTCGAGTGGCGCACAGCCTTTACCAGCAAGATGGAGATGGGTTTGGTGATCAAGAGCAAGGGACTCGCATCCTGATGATTCAGTCTCTACTAGTTCAGCCTTTACTACTTTGAGATCTCTCTATGTATTTAATTAGAATAAGGTACACATGATGTACCAGCATTTTTATTTTACTTTGGACGATGTACTTATTTTTGGATCAACATTATTGGCCAAAGTAATATCTATATATATATATATATGTGTGAGTTTTTCTACGTTACGAATGCCCTTATTTTAAAAAAAATGCACACATCCTTTCTTTCTTTTTTTGGTAACAAAGAGGGGCTAAGCCTAGACAAGAACTAAACATAAATCAATCTAGACCTTAAAAGGCCATCCCTGTCTTCTTGGAGGACACCAATAATACCACTAGGAGGCAAAATAAAGCAATGAATACCCATTTCCATCTCATGTCCCATCTTGGTCAGAGAGTCAGCAGCAAAGTTAACCTCCCTGAAAACATGAAAGATGCTGCAGTCCCAAGAACTCTTCCAACAGACTGCACATGTTTAGCAAAACAAGGAGGGGATGATTCGGCTCCAAATTAGCATTCAAAAGGTGCAAGACGAGTAGAATCAGTTTCAACAATAAGCTTTGTCATTTGTGACCTTTGAGCTAGCTTTAGACCATGATACGACACCCACAGTTTAGCCACCAAAATCTCCCCATGACCCAAATTAGCAAAAAACCTGCAAACCTGCACACATCCTTTCAAGGCTACCCTTGGATGAAGTTCAACAATCAAAAGTGTGTATGTTCTAGGTCCAACAACTTCAAGGGTCATCGTTGCAAAAAACCATCCATAAGGAGAACTGTTTGGTCATTTAAAATAGGGAGTTTCACTAAAACACCCAAAATGGGGGTTGAAATTATAAAAAAACCCAAGCACTATTTAAACATATAAACACACCCAAAACCCATCATTACACACACTCAAAACCCATTTATAAACACACCCAAAAAGTTGACTTTGGGGTTGATTTTGGGTGTGTTTCTATGTTTAAATAGTGATTGGGTTTTTTTATAAATACATGTCTAGAATTGGGTTTATTTGTAAATTTGTATAAAATAATGTGTAAAATAACCAAAGTCGGTTAGATAAAATTAAAACGAAAATGTAAACAATTTTTTATTTAGCCGAATATTTTTGCATGAATAATCCTTAACAGTAGTGAATATTTAAAATATTTTTGCATGAATAATCCTTCTCAGACTTTTTAAAATATTTTATTGTTGCTTCGCCTTGGCTTTTGCCCTTTTTTCAGTAGTGAATGAAAACTAAAAACTCAGCAGTTCCCATCACTATATCAAAATAAGTACAATCAAGAAAGTCTTTATATTTGACGCTAGCGTTGTCATTTTGAATCTAGTTTTGTTTGTCTTCTTTTAATGGATGATTGTTTACTTTTCAAAAAGAAGTACCGATACCTATTACTGGTGTTGGATTCCTCATTGATTTTTGAGGTAACATTATCGAGGGTTTTTGTTTTTGTTTTTAGCATTAATCTCTATAGTTTTATTGCAAGAGTTTGACATTATGTAGTCATGTTTACGTATCAGTGATGGGTATGAGAATAAAGGGAATGATTTTCATTTCTAATTTCCCGCGCGTTTACTTCCAATAAGGAATGAAGAAATATGTGGATACCACCTCAAAATCCGTAATCACATTCCCTTAAAATTAGGAATCAAATCAATTAGAGAGGGGTAGTTGATCAGATTCTCATTCCTCTTTTCCCTTACTACCCTCCAAAATACCCTTACCACTTTAAGATAATTACAAAACACCCCAAACCCTAGAAAAATAAAAACTCACACCACTTTAATATTATCAATTTAATTTCGTTCAAATATTATTTGAAACTGGTTAGTTTAGCACCACAATCTGGAGGACACGTGAACATGAAACAAAAACTATTGACACTTGTTATGTTCTTCCATCCCATAAAATGAAGAAACCAAACTTTTGAAGCCTTTTTTGTTTTTTTTAAAAAATCAATGGATGTTTATTAATCACCGTTCGAAAAAAGCAACTTGTTTATTATTTCAAAGGCTATTTTTTTTTTCTATTTTTTATATTATATTCCTTATATTATTATATATTAGTTTTTTCATCACTCGTTATATAGTATCTTATATTATTCAATTTGGTTTTTTACAAGTTATTTAGGTGAAAAATATATATTTATATGTGCATGACATTTTAGTAATCAAATTAATTTAGGTTCTGATTTATGAGAATTAGTAAACTAGAATCAACTCCATTCCTGTGATGATTCCATATGGTTAGTAAACAGCTTAATGAGAATGCTTCTTCCCATATCGATTCATTACTTCCCCGATTCCTAAATTTCCCAATTCTTTATTTCCTCCATTCTTTGAAAGTAAACGGTGTAGTCTCGACCGTATAATTCTGGCACCCTTTCTTCTTTTGGGTCAGAAAGGGAATTCATTTAGGGCCTCAAAAGTAAAAGTACGCAGAGGAAACAAACATCAATACAACAAGATGGATAGAGACTTCAGCGGAGAGCATTTAGACCCAGCAATTGACAACTACCTGTACACATACAGGGAACCCGAAAACATCACAATTACAGAATGAAACTTGGGGGACCCAACAATCCAACTCTTCCTCTCCTTCCGCGTGAAATGTGAGGTTTCTGGTCCACAAGTTATCAACTCCAACTTTCTTCCTTTTCGTTATAAACCATATATATGTATCTCAGAGAGGTCGTATTCTTTTCGTTTTGGTCAGTGAGGTCGTATTCTTTGGGTTGGTATAGTAATGAAATATTTGGTAATTTGCTATTTTCTTATCAAAACATATTATGATTTGTGCATCTCTTTTTTACACCGGAGACAGAGAGTGAGAACTTGAAGTTTGCAAGAGATAAAATTGGTCCAATTATAATGGATTGAGGAGGAGATGTTGGGAGTACTTTTTCCTCATTTGAGCTAAGTGGTACTTGGCAGCACTGCTCATTTCAACATACTATATATAAGCTATATAGCTCGTAAAGATTGTTGAAACTATTTTCTTTTTTCCTCGGAGCTGATTTTCTGCAAGTTAATGAAGACCTTGTGTATAATACCTCTCTCATAGTTCAACTCACCGATGATTTGGGAACTTCCGTTATAATGAAATCCAATCTTTCATCGTTATGTTATGATATGATATTATAGAATGACTATGTATGTTATAAATGGAGCATTTTGGTTCACCATTTTAACATAAGGTGTATCATTATTATTTTTCTCAATAATTGTCACGTGTCTATAGGTAGGATCGGCCTTAGGGGTGGGCGGCCAGGGCCATGGGCCTCCAACTAAGGGGGCCTCAAAATTCTTTAATATTATATATATACCAGCTTCCAACTTTAATAAAAAATTAAAAAATTAAAAAAAAAAGAACGATGAAATTGAATGAGGAAAACACGATTCCTCTTCCTAGAAGAAACACCAACACACTTCCTCTTTTCCTACGATGAAATTAAATGGAAAGACTTTGGTTCACCTGCTCCTACTACTCCATGGAAGAATATGCTCTCTATTTAATCCACCAAGCTCTTAATCCACCACCATATTTGGTAATTTGTTCTTTTCTTATCAAAACATGTCTTATTATTTGTGCATATCTTTTTCACACCGGAGGGTGAGGACTTGAACTTTGCGAGAGAAAAGACTTGTCCAATTATAATGGATTGAGAGTTTTTTTTTCCTCATTTGAGCAAAGTGGTACTTGGAAGCCTTGTCCTTTTTACCCTCAGATCTGATTTTCTGCAAGTTAATGAAGGGATCCGGATCCTCTGCTTGGATTCTCTCTGTTATGATATGCTTGACTTCTTTCCTCCATGTGACACCTCATTAAAATTTAATCCAAGGGGTTTAAGTTATACACATCATCTTTAAAATAAAACCTCAATTTTCTGATATTAAAAAAGAAAAAACTAACTCTAAACAAACGTGAAACTTAGCATCCTTAGTCTCTCTTCTCCCTTCTTCTTTTCCAAATTCTTCTGCAAGCGGGCTGGAGCATTTGTTTTTAACAGGAACCATGGTGAGCTTGAAATTGGTAATTGATTAAAAGGATTCAATTTAATAATGGAAAAACGAACAAAAGGAGATCAATATGCTACCATCTCAGAATATTGGTAGTTCAGCCTTTAATACTTTTTTTTTTGTAAATACTACGAGGTGTCCCCACAGCCTTTACTACTTTGAGATCAATTGAACTAATAAAGCTCTCTATGTATTTAATTAGAATAAAGTTATAATATGATGTACCAACATTTTTATTTTACTTTGGACGATGTACTTATCATTGGATCAACATTATTGGCCAAAATATGGTTTTATTGCAAGAGTTTGGCATGATGTAGTCATTTTGGTCCCGACCATATAATTCTTGCACCCTTTCCTTTGTTGGGTCAGAAAGAGAATTCATTCCAAGGGCCCCAAAACGAAAGGTACGCAGAGGAAACAAACAGCAATACAACAAGATAGAGACATGAGCTGAGAACATTTAGACCCAGCAATTTACAGGAAACCCCGAAAACATCACAATTACAGAATGAAACTTGGGGGGCACCCGAGCACGGCAAGCCCGACAATTTAAAAGAATGGTCAGCACATTCAACCTTCTCACGTGAAAAATTAATGTGAGGTTTTTGGTCCACGAATTTCCAACTACAACTTTGCATCTTTTCAGCATAAACCGTATATATCTTCGAGAGGTCGTATTCTTTGAGTTGGCATAGCAATGGAATACACAGTAATTTGCTCTTTTTTTTTAAATATCAAAACATGTCTTATGATTTGTGCATATCCTTTTCACACCGGAGAGTGAGAACTTGAACTTTGCAAGAGAAAAGATTTGTCCAATTATAATGGATTGAGAGCATTTTTTTACCTCATTTGAGCAAAGTGGTACTTGGAAGCCTTGTTCTTTTTACCCTCGGAGCTGATTTTCTGCAAGTTAATGAATACCTTGTGTATAATATGTACCTCCCTCATAGTTCAACTCACCAATGATTTGGGAACTTCCGTTATAATTGAAATCCAATATCTCATTGTTAACTTCTGATACGATATAATAGAATGACTATGTATGTTGTAAATGAAGTATTTTTGCTCACCATTTTAACTCAAGGTCTACCATTATCACTCTTCTCCATACTTGACACGTGCCTGTGTATAGTCATGGTTCCACAAATACGTTAAGCCTTATTAAGGTGGTGAGAAAAAATATTTCCATGTTGTAAAAAGGAACATTGTCTTCTAGTTCAGTGAATTTCATAGGATCTATAACCTTATAAGTTATACAAAAGGATGACTAAACAAGGAAATAAAAGTCAAAGAACTAAACAAGGCACGATGAATGGTGATTGATGAGCATGATGAATGGTGATGGAGATAATTAAGGACATTTAATATAATATGTGTTTACACCATAATCAACCGAGCATATCCAGTCTCAAAACAACTAGCACCAAGGCAGACACGCCTTCTCTCCTGCCGAAGGAAGACACTCTTCCGAGGTGCCAAGCACCTGCCGAAACTCCCGACTGCCAAAGCTCACAAACTGTTCTCACGACACGTGTCACCACCGCGGCGACTTGCACAGAGTCCCACATCGGAAATCTACACCAACCTCCAACTTTCACTTCCCTATAAAAAGGGAACAGTACCCTAGTAAGAGGGGTAACTACTTTTCTGCCTTTTACTATTACCCTGCAAAAGTTACTATTCTTAGCTGACTTGAGCATCGGAGAGCCTTCGGCCGGCACCACACCGGTGCCCGGAGCTTGACGACTGCTTCCCCTATTTTTGTCTTCTGCAGGCTAGCCTTTATTCATGACCCAGACCCTTTCCCTGCTGAAGGCAAACCCCTTTTTCTCTAAGTTGACCCTCTCCGAAAAAGAGCATCAACAGTTTGGCGCCGTCTGTGGGAATCGATACTTGAATCCCATTTTTCTCTACCAGCCCAGCTGGCTCCTTCTCCTATCCGGCCCCGTCGCCTCTTCTTCACTCCACACTCAGCTATGCCTACTGAGGATAGCCAGGGGACTCAGCACCATATCCCCCAGGGGGGTACCTCCCAGAGGAGACCTTCAGCAGATGCCAATCTCCAGGCAGAACTGGAGAGCCTCCGCGCCAGTGTCACCAGGATGTCTGAGAAATATGACCATCTTCATGCTAAGAACGTCGAGCTCGAGCATGACTACCGCACACTGAAGCGTAACTGGGAGATGAATCAGACCCAAGGCTCCCAACACAGCCCTACCCAGGTACCTGAGCGTACACAGCCAAACCAGCCGGAGCACTCCCACCACAATGTCCCAACCCAGCCTAGGCCCAGCAAGGGTAAAGGCCCCCTCTATCCGGAAACGGCCAAGTCGCGGCTTCTCCGCATCTCCCCACCAAGGAACCGGCCTCATGAACCAACAAAGGTCTACCGGGATTGCAGGGACCGTATCCTGGACCGTCAAACGGAACCCCATCTTATCTCTGTTAATCTCCAAGACCCAAAGATGAAACACCTGGGCCCCCCGCCAAAGCCTACCCAACTACCCCTTGGAGAAGGTATAGGGGACTCAGAGAACTGGGGCCAGGGTTACTCAGAAGACTACGAGTCTTATCACACCGAGGCGTTCGAAGAATTCTACCCAGCCCATGGCCACCCACACACCAGACCCCCAGCACCCGAGACTCTCCCTCATACCGACCCGGCAATGAGGCTTCTCTTCGAGAAAGTCCGGCGCCTGGAGAGCGAACATCAGCGCAACCACCAACCTCTCTGGGCAAAGCCACGACCTGGGCCCTTTACCGAACGCATCCTTAATTACCACCAGGAGAAGGACATCCAGCCACTCCGCATCGCCTTCTACACTGGCACAGAGGATCCTCTCACCCACATACATTCTTTCCAGTCTGCCTTGGGGTGCAAGGGCCTCACTGACGAAGGCATGTGTCTCCTCTTCCCTTCCACTCTCAGTGGCGCGGCCCTGAACTGGTTTTACAGGCTGAACCCCCGCACTATCAATACATTTGACAGTCTGAAACAGGCTTTCCTGGACCATTTCATGATCCAGACCGATCGCCTCTACTCCGCGGACGACCTATACATGCTTAGACAGGGTGAGGATGAGCCCCTTCGGGAGTATGCAGCCAGGTTCAGCCACGAATACTCCCGCTGCCCAGATACTGATGATCGTGCCGCCTTCGGTGCTTTCAAGAGTGGCCTCCGAGAGTCTAACTTCCGGTACCTGGTCCACAGCAACCCTTGGAACACATATGCCGAGCTGATGAAGCAAGCAGCAGTTCATGCCAAGGCTGAGTACTTCAACTCCAAGCGCAGCCCAGCCATCCCGGCGCATAATCCTTTTGCTGATCCTCCACCTGCTTCGGTACCCATCCCAGCTCCACCCCAACATTCTGCCCCTGCACCAAGCACCCAGGGTGCCCAGCACCCCAAGAGGAAGGATAGCTACCAGCATACCTTCAACAATAACAAGCGGGGCAGACATGGGAACCACCACCAGTCTAGTGGAAGCAACCCCCCCAGGACAAATGACCGGGCCCCACTCCCATTCTCACCCAAACCCAGGTTCGAGGTCTTCACCACCCTCAACACTACCTATGAGAATGTCCTGGTGCACGAGGCACCTATCATACCTCAGCCTCCACCCCGGAAACCAGGCAGCAAGCCTATGCCTAACACAGGAGTCTTCTGTCGCTTTCATCAGTTCGGTGGCCATGATACCGAATCTTGTGTTGCCTTGCGCAACATCATTGAGGGACTTATTCGCGAGGGGAAGCTGGATAAATACGTGCACAACCTCCCACCTAACCCTCACCAACGGCAGATCAACATGATCTCAACCATCAGTGGTGGCCCAACCATGGCTGGCACCTCCAACAACTCCATCAAACATTATGTCCGCTCTACTTATGCGCACCAGGTCTTCAGTACTGAGCAGGGACGCTTGCCGAAGACACAAAAAACAGGCTGGGCCCCCATTACCTTCTGCGAGGAGGAGGAGCGCGGCGTTATCCTCCCTCATGATGACCCAATCATTATCCGCGCCGACATATCTAACTTTGACGTTGGGCGCATATTGGTAGACACTGGCAGCTCAGTCAGTGTGATGTTTGCTGATGCCTTCAATGAGCTCCAGGTCCCATCTCATTTGCTCGACCGAAGCGTCACACCCCTGGTGAGCTTTTCGGGTGATGTGGTCCAGCCTATTGGGAGCATTCATCTCCCTATCTCTATTGGAGCAGCTCCCCAGCGAGCGACGGTCACCACTCCCTTCCTCATCATTGACTGCCCCACAGCCTACAACGTTATCCTGGGACGCCCTGCCATGGCCCAGATGAAGGTTTTCATTTCCACACATATGTTACTGTTGAAATTTCCTACCCCCTATGGCACGGGCACTGCGCGCGGTGATCAACTGGGCGCCCGAAGCTGCTATGCTTCAGCAGTTAAGTCTACTAATCGCCAACATAGGGGTGAGGCCCTAGCAGTAACCCAGGCCCTAGCCCCACCTCGAGCTGGCACTGAGCGCCCAGAGGACCCCAGGGAGGAATCTGCCACCCAACAGGCCGAACCTGTGGAGGACCTTGAACTGGTCACTCTCCATGAGGATATCCCGGATCGACAGGTCAGGATCGGCACCTCCCTCTCCCAAGAGCTTCGCTCTGATCTTATTGCCTTCCTCCGCCTCAACTCTGAAGTCTTTGCTTGGTCTTACAACGACATGCCGGGCATATCACCTGACGTCATCTCCCATAGGCTAAGCATTAATCCTGTCGTCCGACCCGTTCGGCAGAAGCGTCGTGCTTATGACCCAGAGCGGTATGAGGCCATGAAGGCGGAAGTGGATAAGCTGAGCACCATTGGTTTCATCAAGGAGGTGGATTATCCCACCTGGCTAGCCAATGTGGTAATGGTACGTAAACTAAAGAAGGGTTGGCGCATGTGCGTAGACTACACAAATCTCAACCGGGCCTGCCCAAAGGATAGTTTCCCCCTACCCCGCATTGACCAGCTAGTTGACGCCACAGCTGGCCAAGCCCTCCTCAGCTTCATGGATGCTTACTCAGGGTACAACCAGATCTTCATGCATCCTGAGGACCAAGCTCATACATCCTTCATCACCGACCGTGGCCTTTACTGCTACAAAGTCATGCCATTCGGCCTCAAGAACGCCGGGGCTACATATCAGCGTCTGGTGAATAGCATCTTCGCTCCACTCATTGGCAACACCATGGAGGTTTATGTTGATGACATGCTGGTCAAGAGTCGCACTGCTGACCAGCACATCCCCAACCTCTCTGCCACGTTCACCATTTTGAAGCAGTATAGGATGCGGCTCAACCCCACCAAGTGTGCATTTGGGGTGGCCTCCGGCAAATTCCTTGGCTTCATGATCAGCCAAAGAGGTATTGAGGCCAACCCAGAGAAGATCCGGGCTATTTTGGACATGACGATACCCAAGACGGTCAAGGACATTCAGAGCCTTACTGGGCGTGTCGCAGCCCTGACCAGATTTATCTCTAAGGCCACTGATCGTTGCGCCCCATTCTTCAAGGCACTTAAGGGTAGCAAGCGCAACATCACTTGGACTGCAGAATGTGACCAGGCATTCGGCGAGCTCAAGGCATACATGAGCCGAGCCCCTTTATTGTCAACCCCTGAGTCTGGGGACGTCCTCACCATCTACCTTTCTGTCTCGGCTACGGCGGTTAGCTCAGTGCTCATTCGACCACATGAAGGTGCTGAGCATCCGGTGCACTATGTGAGCAAAGGATTGCAAGATGCGGAGATTCGATACCCAGACATTGAGAAACTTGCTTTCGCCCTGGTGGTTTCGGCTAGACGCCTCCGGCCATACTTTCAAGCTCACACCATCCATGTCCTAACCAACCAACCACTTAGGCAAGTGTTGCAGAAGCCAGAGACTTCTGGGAGGTTAGTCAAGTGGGCCATTGAACTTGGTGAGTTTGATATCCACTACAAACCCCGCCAAGCTGCAAAGGGCCAAGCCGTGGCTGATTTCATATCTGAATTCACCGAACCCCATACTCTGGCCAGTACTCAGATTGCAATCACACCTACTCCTACCTCGAACCAGGTCCAGGTCGCTAGCAACGGCTCCCTAGACTTAACTCAGCCCTTGTGGACCTTGTATGTGGATGGCTCTTCCAATGCCCAGGGATGTGGAGCTGGCCTCGTTCTCATATCCCCAGACAAGGTTGCCCTTGAGTACGCCCTCCGCTTCAAATTCCACGCCTCCAACAATGAGGCCGAATACGAGGCACTCTTAGCCGGCCTTCGCCTAGCCAAGGAGATGGGCGCCGAGCAAATCCAAATATTCAGCGACTCACAGCTTGTTGTCCACCAAGTCAACCAGGACTTCACGGCCAAGGACATCTCCATGACAGCCTACCTCCAACATACCCGCCACCTGCTTACAACTTTCAATGCTTATCTCATAGGCCAGGTGCCACGCTCTGAGAACAGCCATGCTGATGCATTGGCAAGGCTAGCCTCGGCAATGGAGCAGGGCATAGGTCGAAACATCCACATCGAGTTCTTGGACCAGCCCAGTACACGGGCACCACTCATTTGTGTCATTGATCAAAGCCCTACATGGATGGACCCCATCACTCAGTTCTTGCAGAACCAGACACTACCTGCTGATCCTGCTGAAACGCGGCGTGTTCGCTATCGTTCCGCCCGATACTTGATCATCAATGGTGCCCTATACAGGCGCGGCTTCAGCCTCCCCTATCTTCGATGCCTGACCCCAGAGGAAGGTACCTATGTCCTGAGAGAGATTCATGAGGGTATCTGTGGCAACCACTCAGGCGCTCGCTCCCTAGCACACAAGATCATTCGGCAGGGATACTTTTGGCCATCACTTCACACTGATGCCCAGACCTTCACCCAGAAGTGCGATAAGTGTCAGCGATTTGCCAACATCCCACAACTTCCAGCTGAGCCATTGACAGCCATGGTCAGTCCTTGGCCATTCGCCCAATGGGGACTTGACCTCATTGGACCTATGCCTGAGGGCAAGGGCCAAGTCAAGTATGCAGTTGTAGCTGTGGACTACTTCACCAAGTGGGTTGAAGCTGAGGCCTTAGCCACCATCACTGCAGCCCGCATTGAAATTTTTGTTTGGCAAAACATCGTCTGTCGCTTTGGCATCCCCAACACCATCGTCACAGACAATGGCCGGCAATTTGACAACGCAAAGTTCAAGCAATTTTGTTCCAACCTCAAGATAAAGCTTTGCTTCGCCTCCCCAGCCCATCCTCAATCTAATGGCCAGGTGGAAGCTGTGAACAAGATCATCAAGAAAACTCTAAAAACTAAGCTTGACAAAGCTAAGGGTTGCTGGCCGGAGCTACTCCCAGAAGTTCTCTGGTCTTATCGCACCACCTTCCGGACCTCAACAGGAGAAACACCTTTCTCTCTCTCCTTTGGTACCGAAGCAGTGGCACCAGTGGAAATTGGCCAGCCCACATACCGCACCTCCACCTATGAGGCCGAGGCCAATGACGAGCAGCTAGCCCTGAACCTCGACTTCATTGACGAGCTTCGTGACCAATCCAACATGCGCAATGTCGCGTACAAACAGCGCATCGCTAAGTACTACGACTCCCGAGTCAAAGCCCGTGCTTTCAAACTTGGGGACTGGGTCATGCGCAAGGTTTCCTTGGCCACCAAGAATCCCACTGAAGGTACCTTGGGCCCAACATGGGAAGGTCCTTATGAGGTTACCAAAGTCTGCCGCCCCGGCACTTATCAGCTTCGTGACACCAAGGGCAAGACCTTGCCTCATCCTTGGAATGCTGATCACCTCAAGTACTACTATAAGTAAACATACCTAGACTCTAGGCTATTATGTTTTCTCCTACTTTGGTCTCGAGCCTTGACTCAACCAACTCTTGTACTTTTTGCCTTCCGGCACATATTTAATGAACGCCCGACCCTGGCTCATTTTCATCAATCACATGGTTCCCATTTTGCTAAGCACAATTGATATCAAATGACAACAAGTCTCATATCATAGCACATCAAAATAACCTTGCCCCAGGCAAGGCAAAATGTTCATACATAACCAAAATAAACATCCAAGTGTTTAAACTAAAAAGCTAGAATACATAAAGAAGGCAACGCCTTCAGGACTCAGTCGATGGAGCATCCGTAATGGCTGGCTCTGGCTCTGGCTCTGGAACGACATCAGTGGTACGACTAGATGAGGGAGGCTCGCCACTCGTGTCAAAGTTAATCTCCACTGAAGGGTTGAACATCGCCACCCTCTCCTCCCAACCCAGCTGCATCGCCACCATCTGATCCATGATGTAGTTCCTCAGCTCATCCGAACCCCGAAACGACTCGATCGCTTCGACCCGGGCAGCAGCTACCTCCTCGGCCCTCGACCGCTTCAGCTCTTCCATCTCCTTGGCCATCGCCGCTTTCTGCAGCACCAGGGTGTTCTTCTCTCGGATGGCCTCCTGCGCCTCCGCTACCTTATCCTTGGCCATCTCATTGCGCCTCTTCAACCTCTGGATCTCTTTATCTGCCTTGGCCATATTCACGTACATCTCACCATAAGCCTGCAACACACAACATTATCAGTTCAAGGCAAATTCGAATTATATGAACAAAGTCTTAAGGCAAGCCAACTTACATAGGCCTGGGTCAGGAGCGTCTTCTGGGCCCGATCTGCATAGGAGGTAGCCGGGGTCCTCGCCAGAACCTCTGGGTCACTCTTCACGCCTTCCAGGAAGACGTTCACCAAGGGAACCTCCTGCCGATGCATGGCCAGGTTCACCTCCTTCTTCTGCCGACGCAGTCCAGAGAAGTCCACCTTCTCTACCCCCTCGGCGTAAACATCATCCATACCAAAGGGGAGCTTCGGCGGCGCCTGCGGGTCAAAGGGAGGAAGCCTCGGCCCTGTCCCCATCACGCTCCGGTGAGCTTCCTCCAGCGCCCTCTTCTTTCCCAGCACATCAGAGACTAGGCCCTCCTCATCTCTGGAACGCCTCCCAGCAGCCTGTTGGGCACCTCCCTTCTCTGCCTTCTTGGCCCGAGACTCCCTCAGCCGTTTCTGCATCTCGGGATCATCCAGATCCATGGCCACCTTCGTGCTCCCCCTTATGATCCCTGCCACTGCACATCAAAAGCCAAGTCAGTTTCAACTACAAAATGAATCATAAGACAAACAACAACAGTGACCCAGGTACTTACTCCCTTGCAAGAGTCCGGACTCGTACAGGTTCTTCTGGGTGACTAAGTTTTTACGCTCACGCTGGGTCTCCGACAACAGTGACCTCACTCTCTCAACCTCGTCTTCTCGCTCCTTGGAGATCGGTCCCCACTTCACCGAACCTGCACCACAGTTCAGATATCAACTTAGCCATTTATGCTTGCACAAGCAAAACAATAAAACATAAATAAGGACCCAAGCGTCAAAACACTACAACACAACTAGTCTTAAAGGATGGGGCTAAGGACCTATCGACTGGAAGTGGGTTGGAATATGTCTGGAGACGGTCTTCCCCGGGGGACACTCCCAATCACCATAGGCCAAGCACCACCTGTTCCGCCAAGACTTCTGCGTACTCGGCTTATGCCCAATAAAGTAACCTCTCTCCTTTGCCTTCCGGCAATTGGCTTGTACCCAGCCAAAGGTCCCCTGTTGCTTGGAGATCGAATACAGGTACATAAACTGCTCAAATGTTGGCTCCCCCAACCCAACCAACCACCAAGCAATGTAAACTCCATGAAGAAGTAGCCAAAAGTTGGGATTGTATTGCCCCGGCGCATACCCCAACTTGGCCAGCATCATCTGTACCCAGGGATGAAATGGCAGTCTGAGACCATGCTGGTACATATCGGTGAATATCATCACTGAACCCTCCGGAGGATATCTCACTACATCCGCAGCACTAGGTAACCTCAGGCCCACATAGGATGGCACACTATAATCTGTCCGAAGCTCAACCAACTTGGCTTCTGTGAGTGTATTCCGATTTCCCAACGGGACACCAACCCGGATGTCCACCCCCTCTGAAGCTGAAACCATGGCTATACCCACAGACTCTGATGGTGATGTCTGATTGCTCGAGCCCACCTCCGGTGTATGTGCCAAGGCTAGAACCCGATCAACATTGGCTTCTAACACTTTATACTTCTTCTGCATCTTCCTATATGCCTCTGACCCAGACTCTACTGATGGCCCAGCCATCTCACCCTCATGCACTCCCATCCTAGCTTCTATAAGCCCTTCTACAAAACTATCTGTCTGGGAACTCTCCTCTTCAGAACAAACATACTCACTGGCCTCTTCACTCTCAGACATCTACAACATGCAGAAACAAGAAAAAGGAACTAATGCACATGCAAAGAGGATCTAAGCACAAAAACACAAAATTGGACAGCCTCTACATGCTTTTTGATCTAGATGCATACATTCAACATGTTCATACTCATGCTCAAGGTGTTCATCATACTCTTCAACATGTTCATACAAAAAGTTGAATTTCATTTCAAGAATTCAAGGGAAATGAGGTCTAACCTTGTTTGCACCACCACCAAAATCTCACCAGAAATCTTTTTCTCCTTCTCACTTTCTGACAATCTTTCTCAAAAAATCTCCAAGTATGATGCCTACGTCACTCCAAGTTCCTATTTATAAGGCCCTAGGGTTACAAGAGAAACCCTAGCACCCTTTCACCTTCCCTCCCAAACCCTAGGCCCTAGGGTTACAAGAGTACCTACAGCATTTGCAATTTCAAATTAGTCAAAAGCGAAGGAAGAAGTTGAAGTGGAAATGCAAAGTGGGTGGCCTCACAATTCAATTTTGCCCAGCCTTAAATCACCAAGCCTTGCCAAAATTGGCCCAACCTCAAATGGCCCAGCTAAGTGAAAATTCACAAAAGCCTAACTCACAGTCGCAATCAAGGAGGCCTAACTCTAAGGCAAGCCCGGCTACGGAGGATGCCAAAAAGCCTATGCCCTTGTCGATTATCCAAGGCCCAGCTCACGGTCCCAAGTCAAAGACCAACCAAACCTCACGGAGCCCAGCTCCAAATCCTAGCTAACCCCTAGCCAACACGGGACCAGCTCCAATGTTGGCCAAACCCTTTTGGACACCTACCGAAGGTCCAGCTCTAGGCTCTCACTTCTTGCCGAAAAACCCAAGGTGGCCCAGCTCCGAACCTGCCTCTACAAGCACAGCAAAACAAAAACCAAAGGACGGGTCTTGGCCTTGGCCCACTCCACGACAGAAGACAGGTCTCGGACATGCCAGAGACTCAAGTACAGATTTAGGTCAGCCCCAACACTTTTCCCAACTTACCCTTGCCGAACGGCAAAGGTCATGCTGACTCTTTTTTGGACCCCCCCCCTCTCTTCACCTCCACTTCCTTGCCCAGCCATTCCTAAAGCTCATCCACGGTTCAGCCCAAGGCAGGACCTAGGTCCTCATGAGCCCACACCCAGTCTTTTTGAACCTGCCGGAGGTCTAACTCCCCAAAAAAAAAGAAAAAAAAACAACAAACAAAAAACAAAATTCTCACAAGGACCCAGCTCTTTCCTTGACAAACAGAGGAGCCATGATTTGATCTAGACACCCAGGTCACAAGGAATGCCCAGCTCCAAACCCCGAAAGACCCAGCTCTAATCGGGCCAGCCAACAAAAACTTCAAAAAACATTTCCAAGCACCCTTGCCGAACGGCAAGGGTTATGTAGCAACAAAATGGAGGCCAAAAATAAAAAAAAACCTCACCTCCAAAACTGCTCAAGGCACCCAGCTCCCTAATGACTAAGCTCCCACCCCCAGCTCCAAAGTGACACCTGCCCAAAGTCAGAACGAAAGATCAAGCTGTGACCCACGCAGCCCGGCTTCAAACATCTGCAAACATCCGTGGGGTCAGCTTCCTTGCCGAAACCAGAACAGCAGCGGAGAAAGAATTTCCAAAAAGGCCCATGCAGAAAATTTTGAAGGCTTCGAAAACGCTTACCTCGATTCAGGCCCAGCCCCAAGTGCAAAATCCTTGCCAATGCAAAGACCACACCAAACAGCATGGATACGGGTTAGCTCTCAGCTCCGAGCCCAACTTCAATTTCGAAGCACAGCATCCACATTCTCCTTTTCAGACCCTGCCGAAGATCAACGCTCTGTTTATAATACAAGCCTAGCTCACACCACAGCCACGAGCCCAGTTCCAACTCTCAAATACCTACGTCAACCTACCGAAGGCTTGGCTCTAACCTGCAGGTCCAGCTCACAAATCTCCTCCAGATCACGGCTCTGGCTCACGAAACTACATGAGATGCCCTCGGAACCTCCTTGCTGAAACCTTGGTGACCCAATTCAAAACCACCAAAATCAAAAAATTATCTCGGCATCATCCTTGCCAAACGGTAAGTAACTTGGGCACACCTAGACAAACCCCTTGCTGAAACTGGAAACTCACGACCCAAGGTCTTCACGATCCAGCTCCTTTTGCCCAGCACCTGATCTCGGCTCCGTCAAGCCCGCAGCTACCTCTTAGCCAAACCACCCCAATGGCAAGGAGAACCCAGCTCCAAGTCACGGCCAACTCACGAGATTCAGACCACCCAATTTTGGAAGCTCCAAAAATCCTTCAAACCACCCTTGCCGTTCGGCAGGGGCGCAAGGGTTGAGCGGAATGGAACGATGCCCAAAACAAAATATAATATATATGTATATGCCTGCTTGCCGAAGGACCAGCTCAAGGTTACCTTTCTCCAAAGCTCAGATACCCAGCTCCTATTGACCCAGCCTTGCCGAATCTAGTTTGTGCAAAAGTTCAAAAGGGACTTGCCGAACGGCAGGTTCCGTAAAAACAAAAACTGAGACACACCCTTCTTTCTCAAAACCCTAGCCTTTATATCCAATCCTTGGACTCCTTACCAAAGGAGTAAAAGTCCTAGCTACAACATCACAAGGACTCAGCCCCAATGGCCTAGCTTTGTGACTCAGCCACTTACGCAGCTTCCTAGCCAAACCTCAGGCCCAGCTATGGCTCAACTAAACCCTGCCGAAGACCCAGCTCATGCCAAGTACCTGGCCACCCTTTTGATTTCACCTTGCCGAACGGCAAGCATTGTGGGCTTGTTTTTATACTCCCCTCAATACCCCAGCAACTACCTGAGCCATACCTAGGCTAAAATTGACAGCCCAGCCCCAACAATTAGCCAGGTCAATGACAAAGGGACCCCAGGCCATATTTTCCCTTTTTTCTTCCTTTAAACAACCTTCCCAAAACTTATCAATCCCAGCTCCACCATTCAATTTCGCCAGGCCCTTTGCCTAGGCCAAACCAAAGGCCTTTCTCTTAGGACTCTTGTTCTTTAAAAGCCCATACCACAAAAAACATTAACAAAGGGGCGCCAGCGAAATGGGCTCCCAAGGGATTCTCTCTACCAAAATCCCATGCCCAGCTCCACAAATATGTGTTACCCAAGCCCATACCACTTGGCCATTCAAAAGGCCCCGAGTGGCAAAAAATGGAAACATGGATGCCCATACTCTTTTCTCCTTCATGCTTCAACCCAATCTTTTGGGACCCAGGCCTTTGCTACTCAAAATCATCACTTGGTTACCAAACGGCAGGACCCGGGTCATAAACACTAAGGCTACCACAGCTTTTCTTATACCTTCCAAGTGTTAACGCCACTTCTAGCTTGACAACTTGGGGGACTAGGGACTGCCCTACGGCTCCCACTGAACCTGGAATGCTCGGTCATGATCACACAAAAACTTACAAGTTCCCAACCCAGAAGTCACTTCTTGACCGCGAACTTGGGGGACTACTGTTTACACCATAATCAACCGAGCATATCCAGTCTCAAAACAACTAGCACCAAGGCAGACACGCCTTCTCTCCTGCCGAAGGAAGACACTCTTCCGAGGTGCCAAGCACCTGCCGAAACTCCCGACTGCCAAAGCTCACAAACTGTTCTCACGACATGTGTCACCACCGCGGCGACTTGCACAGAGTCCCACATCGGAAATCTACACCAACCTCCAACTTTCACTTCCCTATAAAAAGGGAACAGTACCCTAGTAAGAGGGGTAACTACTTTTCTGCCTTTTACTATTACCCTGCAAAAGTTACTATTCTTAGCTGACTTGAGCATCGGAGAGCCTTCGGCCGGCACCACACCGGTGCCCGGAGCTTGACGACTGCTTCCCCTATTTTTGTCTTCTGCAGGCTAGCCTTTATTCATGACCCAGACCCTTTCCCTGCTGAAGGCAAACCCCTTTTTCTCTAAGTTGACCCTCTCCGAAAAAGAGCATCAACAATATGTATATTAATTAATCAATTGATTAACAGGCTGAACAAAAGAAAAGAGAGGCGACGCTCCTCCCTTCATCAATCCTATCCTGTGTTACATGCGATGCGACAAGTGAACCTCTGCTTCTACTCATTTCATTCCACTTTGGGCCATCCTCGGGTCCTCTTAGTCCTAGTCGCAGTTTGTCTCTATATTAGGCCTCGGGCCTTTCTGGTTTTATTTTTGTTGAACTTTTAATCTTTACCCCAACAAGAGAAAATAAAGCCCAATTGAAATTGAATTGAACTTTAAATCGACAACTTCTCACCTGTCTTGGTTTAGAAAAACGACAATCTAGCTCATGTAAACCTAAAGGGTCATGAGAATTGGCTATTTCCAATTCATTTGCCTAATTTCTTAGCTATTTTGATCAACAATAGACACATTAAATGTGATAGATGTAAGATATTGTGTTTTTTTCCCCTTGTTTATCTTATTTTTTGACAATGTTAAAGACTAAAGTACTATATATGTGTTACTTTCTTTTTACGACTATGTAAATGTTATTTCTTTTAAATATGAGCGATATTGTAGGAGCGGGATTCAAACATACGACTTCCAAACAGGTGCATGAATAATTACTCTTACACAGTTGAGCTACAATACCTTACCCATGCAAAATGCTATTTAGCAAAGGATTCAAGAGGAGGAGAAACAAGAAAGAAAAACCATTTATGTAATGCTTGATAACATTATTAAAAAAATGGAAAAAATGGAGGGAATATCTTATAAATACATCCCATAGGTCGGTTAATAATCGGACGGCTCAGAGTGAAGGTGAGAGAGGCACATCTAATAGAAAGTCTAACGAACAGTACGGACGGGAAAGAACGCAAGTGCTGAAGTCCCAATAAGCAAAATAGTTTTGAGAGAGAAGCAGAGGCGATCTTTAAGGTTCGGGAGCTTTCCCTCTGCTTCTTCTCCACAATCTCTCTCTCTATCTCTCTGTCTTCTTCTGTCCAAATCTCCAATCAAAAGTACCATCGTCTTCAACAACAAATCAAAGCGGAGCTCAGGAAGATCTGTCAAGTGTTTGAAACAGAGAGAGAGAGAGAAAGAGGAGGGGGAGAATGTCGAAGAAGAAAGTGAGTGGGAATACTATGACCCTTAAGGACTTTCATGGCGGTTCTATTCCCTCTGATCTCCCTCTCCCTTCTGCTCCTGGTGTGTAAGTCCCGTTTACCCCTTTTCTTGTTCTTTCTTTCATCCTATCGTTCTTATTTTTCTGAATATTTTTTTGAAAACGATGAAAAGAAAAACCCTATTGATTTTGATTCATCTGTAATTCTCTGCTTTTAGATCTAGCCTTTTTATTTGATTTGTTTACGGTTATCCCAAAGAAATGGATCCAAAAACCCTAGTTAATTTTCAAGCCAATTTTGGAATTTCCTTTTTCGCAGAGTTGTTAGGCCTACGGATCGTTCGACTTACGACCGACCCACCTCTTGGGGAAACCCCATGGGGCGGCCCGATCACCGGTCTCGGCCCCATACGTCTCCGGCCACGAGGCATTTCGATGATAAGACTCCGTTTCTCGCTCACTCCGTGCACATTGGCCGGAACTTTGATGAGGATGAGCGCAAGCCCCTTGATGGTGTCTCCACACCACGCCGGACCATCAGCGATGATAGCATTCGGGTTTTGCCTACCCGTGCTGAGCCCAAACCGGTGTTTGTGTCTTCAGGGGGCTTATCTGGCGCGCAGGGGTGGGCTCCAGCACCACAATCCCCCAGGGGGGCGGTGAGTTCTTACTCGGAAAGGGTAAGCGAGGTGGCCCATGCAGGGGTTAATTCTCAGACTTTAAGTGCCAATGGTGGGCGCGGCGTTAGTGGGGCTCATCCAAATGCTTGGGCAATGAGGAAGGAGATGGCGGGTGTTACTGAGCCGGTGCAATCTGCTTGGTCTGGACAAAGTGCTGTTCAAAAGCTTGCTAATGCCAGTGCCCTGGATAAGGTGTCTTCGGGTAGATGGCAGTCAAAGCCTTCAATCCCATACCAGACAAATATTGATGTTGTTATATCTCCCGAAACAGAGAGTGGCTTACATTCCAAGGGTTATGGTAATGATACTTACAAGAGGACGGATGTGATGGTTGAGAGAGAACATCATGATGTGACATTGGCGAGGCATGTTGAAAGGGGTCTACAAGTTGATGATGGCATTCAGGGTGTCATGAAGGAGCTACCTGATTATAGGAGTTCTGGGGCCCCAATTAATTCAGAGGTACAGGAGAGGAACGCAACTGCTTATAGCAACAGGGTTCAACCTGCTCAGGCTGATGGAAAATTTGGTCAGGCTGAATTGCAGGCTTCAGCTTCTCCAGAACCTATAGAGCGACCTAAGTTGAAGTTGCTTCCAAGAACAAAGCCAGTGGATGGTTTGGAAGCTCCAGTTGTCGATCATACACAGGTATTGACAAGGTTATCAAAGTGTGTGTTATAGGGTGTTTTGTCTCTCAAATCTAAGGGTACCTTGCACCAAATGCACTAAATTCTCATTGTTTGGTTGAATATAGGAGTACCAAAGGGTGATTGAGTCTCATGTCGAAATTGTCAATGAAGTGTATGGAAATATGAATTCTCCAAAACCTGGTTCAGCAGGCTCTGATAGTGGGAAGGTGGAGCGTCCAAAATTGAATCTTAAGCCCCGGTCTCAGCCTCTTGAACAATTGGAAGGAAATGCCAAAAGAGACAGGTCTGAATATGTTTTTGATTTCCACCCATGCTTTTGATTGTGTTTCCTTTTTTAATCTCTGCTGTTTTTTGAAAAAAAAAAAAAAAAAAAAAAAAAAAAAAAGGATGAGGATTCAATGGCGTAAAGCTGAGTGAAACATGAGATATCTTTTCCCAATCTGAACATTTATCGGCTTGGGGAATTAGAGGGGATATTGATCTTTTTTTTTGGGGGGAGTGGGGAAGGCGGCCAGGGGAAACGTTTAATATGGTGTATCACAAGCCTAAATTTGTGAACACGGTGTTCACTGTATGGCTTTTATTCCTTTAAATCGTTTTTGAGTCTCGTGATGGACCTACAATATAAAAGCTGTGGAATAGTGCATTATTAAGTTTTGTTGTTAAATAATTCATGTTCTCCTCTCCCTCCCTCCCCCTTTACCAAATTTGTTTGATGTAATCTTTAATAGCCATTGGTGTGATTTGTGGCTGAATGATTGTTGTTTACAGATCTCCGGTCCATTGAATCAATCCCATGGGTTATACATTTGTGTGCAATTTCCAGAGATAAGATTAATAATAGTTTTACGGTGTTGTGTGTGTATATTGTTATAAACGGAAAATCATGAATTGTTGCCTCCAGTTTTGTACCACATGATTATCAGATGAAGTTAATCCTTTTCTGATATATATTTTATTTCCTGACTTCCACATGAAACTATGCGCTGCTATGATTGTTCTCAGACTCTAGCAATTTTTTCTTGTTTTGCTTACATGAATATTTGAACCTAAGATCTATCCCTCACCCCACCTCATCTTGTACCACTCAAGCTAGAAGCGGTACATTGAATTTGTAGCATGGGAGAGCACAATTCTCCCGTTCTGAAATCTTGGTAGCCTTTGGAAAAGAATCTGTTCTTCATTGTTGTAAATTTTGGACCTCTACATTGGTACTCGCAAGTAACATCTGATCATATCTATGACTGATGCAGGATTTCATTGTTTGGTGGTGCTCGCCCACGAGAACTGGTGAGTTTTTAATCTAAGTTTGACATTTCAGTTACTAATTTTTTTTGTTTATATTGTCGTTTCTCAGTCTCTTAAAAATTGTGGATTTTTTTATTTTTTATATCCCTATTGTTACCTTGTTCTTTTTTACTACTGGTGGTGCTTCATATCCCCTTCCTGAAACCTTTTCTGTTTGTATACTCAGGTTCTAAAGGAGCGAGGGGTTGACGATGTTGTGATTACCAACATCGACATGGTTCAGCATTCTGACAAGTATTGGCTTATTTTCCATCTCAAAGCTTTCTTATTTTATGAAGTTTTGTTGTTGTTATGTTTGAATGGAAATTTGGGTTTTTTGCTTACAACAAATCATTGTTGTTGTTTGAAGGGTTGAACATCAAGTTCCCAAGTCTGATAGAGTAACTGTGCATGCAAATCCTACTCGCCACAATGAGAAACCTGAGAATCATCCTTTTGATCAGAGGACTGGAAAGAAATTTGATAGGAGGGATAATCGGGTAGATGTTGAGAGAGTTGATGTGCAGAAGAGGAACTGGCGTAATGATGGTAAGAGGAACAATAGAGAGCCTGAGAGACAGCAGCAACAGTCAGAGAGGCCACCATCACCAGAGACCTGGCGGAAGCCTGAACAGCCAAAACTATCTTCTCCTGGTGCTGTTGGTGTGCACCACGGGAAAGCGGCTTCAGCTCTTGAGCTTGCCCAAGCATTTTCCAGATCAGTCTCAGATCCAAAATTAGCTGATCGATTTTCTGGTCAAAGGGGCATTCCTGGGCGGGCTCAAATGCCTTTTTCACGGCTGATGGGCCCAACCCCAAGGCCTCAGATAAATGGTTACTAAATGTCTGAGAGTTTCTTGCGGCGGTTTGGGCACCACTTGGTGCTATAGAGATTCATAGTTTTGCTGGTGATCTTGTTCATTTCAAGTAGCTGGATCCAAGAAGGCTGACAAAGCGCATTCACTTGTGAGTGCCTGCCTCCACCAGATTTTTCCAGTTTCTTCAGGATAATTACTGCCATACAAAATTGATTGCAATCTTCTAGCCCGAGTGGTGTCTTCCCTCTACGACCCTCATCTTATTGTGTTTTCTATTCCTTTTATTTTTCATGGTTCCCTTGGAACCATTGAAAACTGTATTTTCCTCACCTTTAAGTGGAAGAAGTGTTATGTTGCCAGTGTAGCAAGAATTTAATATAGATTCTTGATTTAAGGAGTGTTCTTTTATTATATTCTTCCCTCCCTTTTCCCTTAAAGGTGCGGAGAAGTGGTTTTTTTATTTTATATTTATAGCTATTTCTATTTGATAGATTTCAGAAAATGCTTCCAACGTTTTTCCATAATCCATTGAAATAAATACACATAGCATCTGTGTAGCGTGTGTGAGTTTAGTATTCTATCCTATATCTTAATAGGAAAAGTCCTCCACAAAAAAAAACACAAAAGGTAGATATACATAAAAAATTATTAAGTTGCAAAGTGGCTATGAAAAAGGACAATATGGTGGGCTTTTTTGTGGGTTTAGCCTTGCAAGATGTGCTTTAATTTCCAGGGAAGAGGTAATTCCAGTGTAAGTTAAAAATGTAATTATATCTAAAGCTCATCATCTGTTGCAGACCTGATTGCTGATCTTGAAGGTCAAACAATCATTTAGAACATCTTATTTGACCTAGGTTGCATCCCAATTCACCTTTCTGAATTCTTTTGGTGGGATCCAACATCCACTAAAAGGAGACTGCCATAGTCAAGCACTGAGAAAACTGGTGGCAGCTTAACTCCTTGCCTGCTAGAGAAAAATAAAACATGGAGACGGGGAGAGAGAATGAGGAAATTTGCTGCATGAGTAACGGAGAATAAAATATTCATTCAGATTTTGGGTTTATAATAAACTTTTACTGTTTCACTTACTTATGGTGTGCTACCCTACAACAGGTTCATAAAATATTCAATTTCTTTGAAGGTTTTTGGTCTGCCTCTTATTCCTTCCATTGTCTCTTCACCAGTAACAGACATTTGCCTCTCTCTCTCTCTCTCTCTCTCTCTCTCTCTCTCTCTATGCTTTTTCATGTCATGTACTGAGAAACACCAGTTTCAAAGCCAACACTTACAACTTTTTCTTATTCTCTCCTTGGTATCACTGTTTAACTCTTTTTCTCCTTTTTGGGTCAATCTTAAAAAGTTCATCTTTTCCAGACTCAAACTTTTGAGGTTGCCTGTATGTTATGCTTTGACTCGAGATTTTCATTTTTCCTGTGTTTCTGACAATGGAAGTATGCTGTGATCTTCAAGTAGATGTCAATGGCGAAGAGGTTTTCATGGTGGACAAGGTAGTTTATAAATGGTGCTCTGATTATTTACTCTGGTAATAATTCATATCTGTTAAGGGTTTTGACTGTTTTCCCACTGAAGAAACTTGAGCTTTAATATGTTCCATTTTTCCTTTTCTCTGCAACATGATGTTCTTAAATTTTCTCCACCTATTTATTGTTTTGGCTGCTTTAGTATTCATATGGGTCATGCATTCAGGCTTGTGCTACCTTCTTTCTATTGATCTTTATCCACTCCATCTACCAAGGCGGTCATGCAGGCCTCATGATTTTGTATATATTTCCCAAAACTGATATGTCTAATAATCCTTTCCTCCATTGAATTGTAGAGTAAATAGGACCACCCCACAATTTAATGTCAACAGTGACCTCTTGCGAAATGTTCCTCTATATTCCCTCACTTCGTTACTTACTGGGATATCTGACAAGGTTTCTCAATCAAATTAATTAATGCTTTTTGTTGGTTCTGTAGCAATTCACAAAGTATTCTTATCTTGTTCATTAATGACAACATGTTACCATGCATGCCTTTCTTGTTTTCCACCTAAATATTTGTCTAGAACCAGTCATCAGAATTCTACTTCTCAAGCTTGCAATTACTTGATATTTTTTAGAAAAAACTTTCTATGAACTCATGTATATTTGCAGAAAACGTTGGCGTCTTTCTCCGGTAGATTTAGCAAATTATTTGGTAAACTGAAGGGTACATCGAGGAGCCTAAAAGTGATATTCCACGACTTTCCTGGAGGTGCAGAGGGTTTTGAGCTCATGACAAGGTTTTGTTACAATAATGGCACAACTGAGATAACCCCTTCCAACATAGTCTTACTATACTGCATCGCGCATTTCATGGAGATGGATGGTGATGGCTCTGGAAGACTCAACATACTATCCCAAACAGAGAAATCTCTTGAAGGGATCAGCTTTTGGACATGGCCTAACCTTGTAGTAGCTCTAAAGCAATGCCAAGATTTACTTCCTGCCTCAAATTCTTCATCAATATTGGAGAAAGTCCTGGACTGCCTCATAGCCAAGCTTTTTTGCCCATTTGTTACAAGCACTTATGCGTCTTCATCAGAACATTTGAGTTTCCAGTTTTCAAGTGCAAGGAGCAGTCATAGTCTGAAAACCATTTGCTCTCAAACAACATGGTGGGTCGAAGACCTTATGTTCTTGAGTATCAATTTAATTGAGAAGGTGATAAGAAGGATGATGTTCCAGGAGCTTGATCATTCTACAATTTTCAAGTTTCTATTCCATTATCATCAATCAAAGTCTATGGGTGCCACCACACCAGGTGAGAAGCGCAAAATTACAGAGGTTGTTATTAGTCTGCTTTATTTGCTTGATAGAAGCTCTCTCGCTTGCAAACGCTTATTCAAGATATACCAACTGGCTTTAAGCCTGAAAATAAGCAAACTATACAAAAACAAGTTAGAGAATATGATAGGCTCACAGCTAGATCAAACAACGATTGATTATGTACTTGTTCCGTCTCCACGTGGGAAGAAGTACGTATATGATGTGAGTTTGGTTTTAAGATTTGTGAAATCATTTCTCCTTGAAAAGGGATGCCATGTATCTCAGAGCCACTTAAAAAGGGTCTCCAAGTTGATGGATTCATACCTTGCAGAAGTGGCACCAGATACCTATTTGAATCCTTCAAAGTTTGCAGCATTGGCGATGTCACTGCCAGATTCTGCACGAGAATCTCATGACAGACTTTACCAAGCAATTGGTGTATATTTTAAGGTATGCTACTTTGGTTTTAACATGGCAAAGAATAAAGTATGATCTGTGTCTTTTAAAATTTTATATCAGTAATGCTAGTACTGACTAAATGTTCTACAGCGTCACGCTGATTTATTCGAAGAAGAGAAGATGAGCATCTGTTGTGCACTGAACTATGATAAACTATCAGCACATTCTTTGAAGCACCTCACTCAAAATATAAAGTTTCCTCCAAGAAGAGCAGTTGAAGCTTTTACTACAGAGAAATCCAAACTGGGAAGTTTACTCCACAAAGCCTACAATCTCAAGACTTTGGACTCTCTGCTTATTCACACAGATAATGAAATTAAACATGAGAAACAGGACACTGAGCATATCATCCCTATTTATACTAAGAAGCTTGATCTCCCAACAGAGGCAGAGAAGCGAAGAGCAGATTTGCAAACCATGCATTGGAAGACATTGGAATTGGGAAACACTTGTGGGACAATGGAGATGCAGATGGCAGCTATAATGAAATCAAGATTGTCCTTTAGGGGTAGTATTCAATACTTGCCTAAACTCTTTCCATAATTCGAAGTTGGAAACTTGCCATGCATAGATTTAATATCTGGCAGAAAGGTTTTTTTTATTCAAAGAAAATTAATGTAAATTCTTCTTCTTCTCTCAGTGATGAACTCTACTCTATATTTTCTCCATAACATAAGTTCAAAGTTTAAATAATGAACCCATCAAACATCCCAAGATTCAAACTGTAATGGAAGTTTGAACATATCGAGACAAATGGGCATCTGTGTCATGGCCAACATCGAGAAGTAGTTTGGATGTTTCTAAAGAATATTTGAAGTGGTTTTCGAGTCTCCTCGCAGATTCACAGAGAACAGCTGACTGAGACAGCGAGCAATGCGGCAAAGGGCACACACATTGCGGGGCTCATTAATAAACCGACATCAATACACCATTTGAAATGTTATTGTGCAGACAGGACAGCTAGTTGAGGTTTGAAGAAACCAAAGCATTTTGTATCAACTCTAACTATTTGTTCCTGGAAAAGCCACTAGTTTACTGGGTAACTTTGGTTCAATGATTAATAATGTTCTACCCAGTCAACTGTGTGTGTGGATGGTAAAAATGAAAATGAAATGATGGGGGTGTGTGAGGCCATAAATGCTGGCATTGCAGCCAAGAAAAAGATCGATGTCGTTTTACTGCATGAACTCCAAGGAGACCAACATTTTTGAAATGACCACTAACTTAACAGAGCGAGAAACAAAAACATTTTTGATTATCGTGTTACTATTCTAGTCTTCCCACTTGTTGGAAGCAGTGAGCATTAATTGTCCTTTGAAATCTTTATTTTAATTTTTAAACTCTCTCTTCAAAAAAACATTTGAAATCACTCTAAGTTTTACTTCCATGGGAATACCACAACTCATGCTTGACATGATGACATATGCCACTCACAACATGTTGGGCTTTGGTTCCTCAGAATTACAGGACAGCCCAAATGAAGGGTCAAACAAAATCTACCATGGGCATCAAACTGTCAAACGACTGTGTTTTGATGCGTCTTCTAACCCAAACCCAAAATGAGTTCTTCTTCGTCGTCGTCATCAATCACTTAGATAAAAGTCCCAACTTTCTTTCCCTTTCCTGCTTTCCTTTCTTTCTTCTGGATACATCAAACCCATCGAATTATGAATTTTTTGAAGTACGAAAGCATAAGATCCGAAGGGGAAAAATAAAGCTGCAAATAAGAGAAATTCGTTTTATTCTTTATTTATTTAAATAAAGCTTTTGGCGTAGATTTGATTTGATTTTATTGATTGGGTGGAGCAAAGCAAAAAGATGTTGGAGAAGATCGGGTTGCCGGCAAAGCCATCACTGAGAGGGAATACTTGGGTGGTCGACGCCTCACACTGTCAGGGATGTACTTCTCAGTTCACCTTCATCAATCGCAAGGTTCATTTTTTTTCCCCTTCCCTCCATCTCCGATCCAATGGCCCATCTATGAGTTCTTGACAAGTTCTTTTGTTTCTTCATTACCCATGCCTCAAAATTTCTACTTTTTAAATTTTATATGTGAACTCAACCGTAATTCCGATACTACGATTCGTGGGTTTCCATTTTGAACGTTGTGGAAAGCATTTAGATTGTTTATTCTGTACAGGCCCATGATTATTTAGTTTAAGAATTTATTGGGGATTAATAGTTTGTGTTGTGCAAAGAAATGGGTTCTAATTATATAAAGGACTTGTTATCCAACTTAAGCTTATTTGAAGGTTATTCTAGGATTGAATGTGATATTTTTTCTAGTCTCTGGGTCTTTTTATGATTCTTGATTATATGCAATGTGGAATTTCAGCATCATTGCCGGAGGTGTGGGGGATTGTTTTGCAACAGCTGCACCCAGCAAAGAATGTTTTTACGCGGGCAAGGTGATTCACCTGTGCGTATTTGCGAGCCTTGTAAAAAGCTAGAAGAAGCAGCACGCTTTGAGAGACATGGGCACAAGACTAGAGCTGGGAGAGGTACCATCTCGATTTCTTCTAAGGTTGTTAGTTCATTTGTTGTTGTATTGAACATTTGTCTGTTCTGTAAGAAGTTGTGCTAGTTTTGTGCCACATGTTTTTTTGCTGAATTATGGTATAGATAGATTTTTTTGCACTTGCATCATTTAGTTGGCAGACAGAAAAAGATTGAATTACTCTACCCTTTGATGGTACCTTCTGTATCAAACCTCTAACTTTCTGTGCAGGCAGTTTGAAGTTGACATCAAAGCCTGAGGATGAAGTTCTGAACCAAATTCTCGGTAATGATAGGAAGGAATCAGGACAAGAGTCTAACAGTAATGTGGTTGCTAGTATGCAGAGGGCCAGTAGCAGTGCATCATGTTCAAATAGTCAAGAAGATTCCAGCCACAATGGGGTGGGAGAAATACATAGAAGTCTTTCTGTTGATGAGCCCAATCATTTACAGAGTGGTGATGGATCTGCTTCTCCTGAGGAGTTGCGTCAGCAAGCTTTGGATGAGAAGAAGAAGTATAAAATTCTGAAAGGAGAAGGGAAGTCTGCAGAAGCATTAAGAGCGTTTAAGAGAGGGAAGGAGCTTGAGAGGCAGGCTGATGCATTGGAAATACATTTGAGAAAAGAGCGTAAAAAGGTTTTACTCTCTGGCTATGTGGCTGAGAGCCAAACTAAAGATGGGCCTTCAGAATCTGGAAGAAGAAATAAGGTCACTCCTCCAGTGGGTAAATCAAAAGATGACCTTTCCGATGAGCTTAAAGAACTAGGATGGTCCGATATGGATCTTCGTGACGAAGAGAAAAAGCAAGCAAGTCTGAGTTTGGAGGGCGAACTTTCTTCTCTTCTTGGAGGAATCTCACAAAAGACCAATAAAAATAAGGGTAATAGCGCCATTGACAAGACCCAGGTTGTTGCACATAAAAAGAAGGCTCTCATGCTGAAGCGTGAGGGGAAACTTGCAGAAGCCAAGGAGGAACTAAAGAGAGCAAAAGTTTTAGAGAAGGAACTCGAAGAACAGGAATTCTTGGCTGAGGCTGAAGATTCTGATGATGAGCTATCTGCATTAATTCGCAGTATGGATGATGACAAACAACAAGAATTTTCAATTCAATATGAGCAGGAGAATGACCTTAATTTTGATCATCTTATTAGTGCTGCTGATGATCATATTTTGGATAGTAATTTTGAAGTGACAGATGAGGATATGGAAGACCCGGAAATAACTGCTGCTTTACAATCTTTAGGATGGTCTCAAGATTCTAAGAATCCTGAAACCCCTGCTACCCATATAGCTGCTGTTGACAGGGAAGCACTATTAAGTCAAATTCAATCCTTAAAACGAGAGGCTCTAAATCAGAAGCGGGCAGGTAATGTTACAGAAGCAATGGCACAGCTAAAACAGGCAAAACTGCTTGAAAGGGACCTCGAAAGCCTTGACTCTCCAGAGGGCAATGTTGCAAATGATCGCACAACAATTCATAACCAAACTGCTGATAAATCATCAAAGTCATTTATGGTGGGTGATGGAAATGTCAATACAATAGACATGAACTCCAAACCTGCAAGGAAGAGTAAATTAATGATTCAGAAAGAGCTTCTGGGCTTGAAAAAGAAAGCCCTGGCTCTGAGAAGGGAAGGACGATTAGATGAGGCTGAAGAAGAACTGAAGAAAGGCAGTATTCTTGAGCGTCAGCTTGAAGATATTGAAAATGGTTCTATGCTAAAGGCAATGCCTGGGACTGTTGGCATTAAGGTCCCAGATTTGTCACATGAGCATCCCAATCTGCCAGTTGCAGACGAGGAAGGAGACAATGTAACAGATCAAGATATGTATGATCCAACATATCTTTCTATCTTAAAGAATTTGGGTTGGGATGAAGATGATAATGAAGTTGCAAACTCATCATCCCGGCCTTCTAAGCAAATTGATAATCTTTCCACCAAGGTTGGTGAATCCTCTGTAACTCAAGCCCCGGCTAATGTACTGGCTGGAGGATCAAGGAGAAGTAAAGCTGAAATTCAGAGGGAACTCTTAGGCGTCAAAAGGAAAGCTCTTTCTCTGAGGCGCCAGGGAGGGACTGAGGAGGCAGAAGAACTGCTGAAAAAGGCGAAAGCATTAGAGGACCAGATGGTGGAGATGGAAGCACCCAAGAAAGAAGTTCAATCAGACTTTGGTAGGCACAAGGAAAATATCACTGAAACTACTCTTAACAGTGCTGAAGACGAAGGTGATGGAGGTAATGGAACAGAGATTAATATGCAGAACCCAGCATTTCTCTCAGAGGGAACCTCTTCTTCCAAAGTAGCTGTTTCTGCACCAAGAAGTAAGGGTGAAATCCAAAGGGAACTTTTGGATTTAAAAAGAAAGGCTCTTGCCTTTAGACGTAAGGGAGAAACCGAAGAAGCTGAGGAAGTACTGAGGATGGCTAAGGTGCTAGAGATTCAAATTGAAGAATTGGATGCCCCAAAGGATGTGCGTCTGCATGATGATCCAAAGGAAGAGAATCTCGAGAGTTTCGGATTACTAATAAACACTGAAAAGGAGGGGAATTTGAAGAATGATATGGAAGTGAGAAGGTCTACCCAGACAGCAGTGGGTCCAATTGACGAAGTAGTTAAGTTGTCAGTGGGGTCAGGAAGTGTAAGAAGTCATGCAGCTAATCCTCCTATAAGGAATCCTAATGTTTCCGTTCTCCCAACCTCACAGTTTGCTAAAGAAAACCAACGATTGCCAGTGGAATTGGGTGCTTCAGGTAAAACACGTTCTCCAGACAACCAGAGAATTGCCGGAGGCTTTAGTCAGATGCCCCCACCTGTCCAATCTGGGAACTTCGTTGATTTGTTGACAGGGGATGACTGGAGAAGTTCACAAAGACCCGTGGAAAAACAAGATGATAGCCTAAAATTTGACTCTGTTGGTTCCTTTGCTGCCAGCCCTCCCATCCAGTTGGGATCCCTGACATTTTCAAATGAAGATCCGGCTAGCCAAGATAATGCTAAAATTCATAAAGTGGAAGATACAGTTCTGGTCAATAAGAAGAGAGATGCTGATGAAGCAAATTCAGTTCAGGAACCTGCTTCCCAGAGCAACCAAACTGCCCTTCGGCAAGAAATCCTGGCTTTTAAGAGGAAGGCATTAGCTTTAAAGAGAGAAGGAAAACTGACAGAAGCTCGAGAGGAACTTCGGCAGGCAAAATTGTTGGAGAAGCATCTTGAGGATGATAGTCCTCAGTCCAAAACTACTTCAAGTGATGTTGTTTTGGGTTCAAGTGATAGTCCTCAGTCCAAAACTACTACAAGTGCTGGCCAAAAGGATCATGGTTCACCATCCTTGGACCCAAAACCACTGTCCAGTCGTGATCGCTTCAAGTTGCAACAGGAGTCTCTTGGTCACAAACGTCAGGCTATGAAGCTGCGGAGGGAGGGTCGGATGGAAGAAGCGGAAGCTGAGTTTGAATTGGCCAAGGCACTGGAAAATCAGTTGGAGTTGCCTTATCAGGATTCCACAACTGTTGACAAAGTAGAGCCACTTGATGATGTCTCTGTGGAGGGTCTTCTTGATCCTCAACTACTGTCTGCCTTGAAAGCGATTGGAATTGATGATGCTAGCATTTTATCTCAAGGCCCTGGAAGACCAGAGCCTTCCAAAGTTGATGCTGGTAAGAGTAATAACCCAACCCAAGATAGAAGTCAGCTGGAAGAACAGATCAAGGCAGAGAAGGTAAAGGCGGTAAATTTGAAACGTGCAGGAAAACAAGCTGAGGCCTTGGATGCTCTTCGGAAGGCCAAGTTGCTCGAAAAGAAGCTGAATTCCTCGCCTTCGAAGTGAAAAGTAAAGACGTCACCTTGTTAAGTTGGGAAGGTCCATTATTCGTTACAAGCTATGAAGCTCGATAGCTCAGTAAATTTTGTTGGTATGCAAAATTAGCCAGGAAACAGGATGATTGAGGATTTATGCAAGAATGGTTTTACTCATTGAATGGTAATAACGAAAATGTATCATCATAATGTAAAGCGGCATTTTCTGCCTGCACACTTGGAGATGTGTTTTTTGCTTCTTGCTTAAATTTTTTCTTTTTTATTTCTTTTTCCTTCTGTATTATCTGTGGATGTTGTAATAGCACGAGATGCGTGTATCAGCAGTAGCTTCAACTGATTCAGTGGCATTTGTTAGCATCAACCTCATTTCTCCTTTCAGTTTTTTGACTCCATATGGGACCAGAGGGTTATGCAAGGGAGAGTAACAGTTGCTATAGATAGAAGAAAATCTCGATTTTACTTGTGGGAATTGCCAATTTACCATCATGGGTAAATAGATAGGATGAGTAAAACCTGAATCTGTAACTCATGACATATACCATGTATGTGGCGAAAAATATACACGTGTATTTGTAACAACAAAAATGCAATATCAAGTAGGGAGTTTTAAGAGCAATTATTCATGCACCCAATGTTTCATTTATGGGAGCACCCAAGATTGTGTAATCGTATTCTATTATGCAAGCAGGTTCTTAAGCAGTGTCTAATCAGCACTTACATAATTCTCTCCGAACAGTACCAGAAACGTGAGAATTTGAGAATTTGGTTGTTCAGAAATCTGAGATTCCTCCGTTCAATAATAGAACGAAAGACGACGAATATATACAGTGTTGTTTGTAGTTGGTTGGGAAAGTCCTACGATGCCCTCCCGCGTCATACAAAATGATATCATCGTGCGTCTCCTACTACCTTGACGTCCGAGGGACATATCAGTCCTTTCAAGCGGACAATCACATGATGCGTTGTCGTTCTCATCAGCATAGTCCCAAATTTTGGGTTGGTACGACGACGTAATGGTATTTTTGTTACTTTCTTCGCACCTTCTTTTCCTTTTTCCCATGAACTTCGTGGCAACGACAAATTTGCACTCGTGAACTTCGTGAAAATTGAGTACTCTTTTTCGGCAATGAAGAATGACCGCTACCCACTAATTCCAAGATATCACAAAACCCCAGTTCATCAAAAAGATATCACAAAACAAAAAAAGGAGACCACCCAGAAATAAAAGGAGGAAAGAAATAAAAGACACTTCTAAACATGGAAGTGCTAGAAAATAGGAATTCGTGTACCAAAACAAGCTGTACACTTGTCAAATTTATTTTAGCTTAGGGTAAAAAAAAAGGAGAGATTCATTATTATACTCAATATAGATGCCCAAATTATAATATAAAAAAACCCCATGTGAAATGGAATTTAGAAATATACCCAAAGTCTAGTTACAACATAACAAAAATGCTTTGGACTTCCTATAAATTACAAAACTGCCATCGATTTCTTAAAACAGTCCAACCTCAAAATCTCATTTTATAAAAACTCAAAACACTTAATAGGATATCAAAATAATTTAATAATTAAAATTAAATTCAATAAGGCTAGCATTTTGGATACATTGTTACTTCTTTTTCTCCCACCAAATAAATGCGCGCGCAAAACGTTGTGTAGAATAATGGAGATGTCATTTGTCATCTCACCACTCAAGTCCGCAACGCGTTCTCATTGTTGTTGTGGTGTGGCCTATAAATTGGGGGGATGACTTCATTAATTTATTACAAGTATTCTAGTTCTCGTCCAAAATCAAACTGTTTCTTTGTTTTCTCCTTGCCCTACTCGGCATATTAACCACATGGCCTTTCTTCAAGCTCACTCTGCTTCCCCCAACTGTGTAAGCTCCCAAATAAGTTCACTGTCTACATTGATCCATGCTAATTTTTTTATTTTTGTTGGTTTCTTATTATGTCAATTTCCCCCCCTTTCATTAGGTTGATTTTCAAGTCCACCATGCTAAAAAATTGAAGGAATTGAAGGATGCACTGGCGAATGTTGGAGAAGATGAACTGCCGATTGCGGTTGATGCCATGCAGCACCTAGGCCTTGATCATCACTTCCGAGAGGAGATTGAAGCATTTCTGCAAAAGCAATATCATGCAAGAGCTTATGATAATTGCAATCATCAACTTCTTGAGGTTTCACTTCGTTTTCGACTCTTGAGACAACAAGGTTATCATGTAACCACAGGTTGTTCTCTTCTCTATCTTTTTGTCCTTCCTAACTAAACTGGACTTAAAAAGGACCCACCCAGTGAAGTAAACAAACAATAACAATTCTTTTCTTTTTAATTGGTTTGGAATTACAGATGTGTTTAACAAATTCAAGAACGTCGAAGACTTGACATCAGGACTACTAGACAAAGACATTGAGGGATTGGTGGGATTGTACGAAGCATCTCACTTGAGTTTCCAAGGAGAAGATGCACTTGATGAAGCCGGAAAGCTCAGCCACCAAATTCTTACTGCTTGGCTCCCAAACAATCTTGATGATCATCGAGCACCACTCGTATCACATTCATTAAAGCATCCTTATCACAAGAGCTTGACAAGATTCATGGCTAAAAACTTTTTGGACTATTTCCAAGGCACAGAGAAATGGGCCAGTGTTTTACAGGAGCTAGCAAAACTAGAGTTGAACTTGGTTGAATCTATAATCCGAAATGAAATCCTACAAATATCCAAGTGAGTTCAGATCAAAAGACTTCACTTTGGCTATATATATTCCTCCCCTTAACATTAAATTTTCATCTTAATAATCAGGTGGTGGAAAGATCTAGGCTTGACAAAGGAGTTGAATTTTGTGAGAGACCAGCCAATTAAATGGTATACGTGGCCCATGGCATGCTTCACAGATCCAAGCTTATCAGAGGAAAGGGTTGAACTTACAAAATCGATCTCTCTTGTCTACATAATAGATGACATTTTTGATGTGCATGGAACACTCGACGAGCTCGTCCTCTTCACAGCAGCAGTTGAGAGGTACGTTTGTGTGTAGGATAATAAATATACATCAACTACACCCTCATCCTGAAATGATGAACTTAATCAATGGTCTGTGAAATAATTTGCATGCAGATGGGATCTTGATGAGACTGATGAACTACCAGATTACATGAAGATAAGTTTTAAGGCTCTTTATAACATTACCAATGAAACCAGCGACAGGGCGTACAAAAGGCATGGGTGGAACCCTATAGAATCCCTAAAAAAATCGGTATGCATTAATAATTAATTTATTACCAAACTGTATTTCCAGTTCTCGGAGTACCGGTATTTGTACCATCTTAACTGATCGCGTTAATTATGTTACAGTGGGCAATATTGTGCAAGGCGTTCCTGTTAGAAGCACAATGGTTTAGGTGTGGGCATTTGCCAAACGCTGAAGACTACTTGAAGAATGGGGTTATCAGTACAGGGGTGCCTGCAGTTCTAACCCACGCCTTCTTCATATTGGGTCAAGGTATAACTCAGCAAGCCATAGATATTGTTGACAACATCAACACACCTGGCATCGTATCTTCAACGGCGACCATTCTACGGCTCTGGGATGACTTTGGAAGTGCCAAGGTACTTTACTTATTTCAATCCATAAAAGAACAATAAATAATCAAATAATTTAAAATACCTTTATTCAATAGTATCTAATTAAAAAGAAACAATCAAGTATTGTACTTTCTCATCTAATTAAACTTTATGACTAAACTCTAACGACCAAAGTGATAAAATCGAAAAACTACTGGGACGAAAAATGACTTTTTACTGAGTTTTATTGACCCCCATCCCAGAAAAAATAATAATAGTAACCTGTTCATGGCTCCATGAAGTGTCCTTCTCCTTCCCTAACATATATTAATTGATTTGTGTGTGCAGGATGAGAACCAAAATGGGTATGATGGTTCGTACATACAGTGTTACGTGAATGAACACGAAGGTTGCTCAGATGAAGATGCAAGGGCTTACGTTATCCAAAAGATTTCAGATGAATGGAAGAGACTCAACCAAGAATGCTTCTCTTCAAATCCATTTTCAGAGTCTTTTACAAAACTTGCTCTGAATGTTGCTAGAATGGTGCCGATGATGTATGATTACAATACCCAACATCGCCTTCCAAGCCTTGAGGAGAACATGAAGTCGTTGCTTTTTGATAGTTTTCTTGCACAAGGGTTTCAGTCCCCAGGCCAGACGATATAAATTGAGGTCTCAATTCTCAAAGGCCTCACTAAATTTGAGACAATAACAGACCACCAGATTGCCAACTGTGCTTAATATATATCCTCTCCTCTTTTTTTTTTTTTTTTTTTTTTTTTTTTTTTAAATAGGGGTAATAAACATTCGCTGTCTGTTAGTTTCGGAAGATAGGGTAGGGATGTTTTATTTTATTTTATGTATTACCCTGTTCTTGATAAGAATAACAAAAGAAGGATTTGAACAACAACTATAATACTTTATGGATCCGGATTCTGTGCTTGGATTTTCTCTGCCATGAATCATAATCAGCTTGATTTTTCTTATAAACATGGGCCACCTCATTTAAATTTCATCCAAGAGCCAAGAAAATGACACATCACACTTCAATAGTTAAAACCAATAGCCTCACTTAAAAAAAATGCAAAGAGTAACAAATACCTTCCTTCTTTGTTTATTTTTTCTGTTGTAGCATTTCCCTCCCACAAATTATCAATTATTTCTTCCATAAATTATCATTCATACTTTCAAATTGACACCAACAATCAAATACCTTTTCTTCTTGTTCTGCTGAATATTTTTCTTATTGTAACAAATGGAAGATATGAAGAAGATATATCATATATCCAATCCAACCATGGATTTTGGGTGGGTAAGCACCGAGACATGATCAAATCTCCAATCTTGGCCCCAAAAGAAATACAATTAAAAATTATCTAGCTTATTATATGGGAAACTAATGAAGATTACTTATGAACTTTATTAGGTTTTGATTATTTCATATGTGTTTTCTTGTAAAACCATCGTATCTTGTTCTTAGAATGGAGGAAGAAAATCTTGTGGGTATGGTGAGAAAGATATTGAAGCAAAAATTGAATTGAGTAACGAAGACCCTTTTATTCTTTAATCAGGTTGCAGTGTGAAATAGCTATGAGCTGCTGGTTCTTCTATGGTTTGGTTTGCTTTGGGAAGATGGAAGGAGGAGGCGATGGGAAGAGACCAACAATCTGTTTTAACGTTTCATAATGTTTTGGGTGTGAAGCAAAGTTTAAAAAATAAAAATAAAAATAAAAATATATGTTTGATGTGTCAATTTTTTGTCATTTGGAATGAAATTTAAACATGTTTATAAGTAAAATTAAGTAAATCGTGATAGAGAAAATTAAAAAGAAGGATTCACATGGATGCCGCTTTTTCCTTACCGCCACTCATTTTGATGTTTATATTACTTTATTGAATATTTGTTTTTGTTTTGTTTTGATGGAGGAATAATTGTTGTGGATGAGATTACAAATCAATAATCGGTGTTCAAGAAATCTTGACCAATAATGAATAACAACTATGTAGAAGGGCAGGAAAGAAAATTATAACACCAAAAAGAACAGGCAGCAGGCTGGTGGTGAGTCGTCTGAGTGGGAGGGATGAGTGGGTACAAACATTATTGCGGTTAGAGTGTCAAGTCACGAGTTGTTGCTTTCAAACATAAGTTTATGGGTCGTGGGCCCAAAGTCGGCAGTCAAGGCCCCACATATTTGTTGTTCATAACAAATGTGAAGGTACGTATTTTTCTTTACCGAAAAAAGGAGAAAGCCAAACACTTGATACCGTTTGTATTTGACATGACTCCAAACCAATGTGCAAACATGTGTTCTTCTGGGAGTGAGCGAAAGGAAAAAGGTGCATAACGTGGTTAATCCTGCACTGCATGAATGGTCACCAACCAAACGAAACGAAACGAAACTAAATCAAAGGGGAGGAGCCATGTTTGTTTGCTTTTGTTTTTTGATATGAAAGGCAGAGCCATGCTTAGGCTACAAGGAAGGGTCCCCCGGCCATGCCATGACCCCAATGTATTTCATATATTTTGTAGAGATCGTAAAGAACAATTGCCATAATAATAACGTGGTTTAGGGCATGGTCCCTCGTCATAAATGCAATAAGAACGGCGCAACTGCTACCAAAGAGGGGCCAAAATACAAATAGCAGCAATTCCTGTGACATCAAACAAATATTTAACTTATTGAGTTTGAATGGACTACGGAACGCCAGCGAGGAAAATCATCCACACACACAGGCACAGCCCGCGAGGGTCTCTTTCTTTCTCCAACAGAATAATGTATTTCAGACCCCAAAAACTAATAACGTATGCGGGCGCAAAGTAACGACAGGAGGAGTACCGGTCATAATGTCAGCGTCAGGTACTAAAATATCCATGATATTATCAGTTTTTTGAATCTAAGATATTTTGGAACATATTCATACACATATTATATAAGTATCGATAATATTGAAAAATATATAATTCGATAATTTCTCTCACACTTCAGCAATATTGGCCAAAATATCACTATAATATCATTGTAATACCGATAATATCGAGATAATGAAGACAATGAAAATTTTGACGAGTTATTTACACTAACACCCCTTGAGGTTTCTTGTGTTTTCATAAAACCCCCTCAGGTCTCAAAAATTACACAAACACCCCATGAAGTTTTAGTTTGTTTTCAAAAAAGTACTTTTCGTTGATTATTTGTCCAAAAATTTATGATTTCATTGAAATTTTTTTATGCAAATGACAAAATTAACCTCAATGAAATATATGCAATCTAATCTCAAATGCCAACTTTGTCATTTGGATAATTTTTTTTTGTATAAAATCAATAAAAATGAGTTTTGTGAAAACAATTTAAAACCTTAGGGGGTGTTCTTGTAATTTCTAAAATCTCAAGGAGTTTTGTCAAAAAGCCGAAAACCTCATGGGGTGTTAGTGTAAATAACTCAAATTTGAACCTTATAGGAAGTCTAAGTAGCACTAAGTCATTCATGTATCTTACCATGCAATGTATAAAGTGTAAAATATTGTAGTAAATCATTATAAATAAATGATTTTGATGTTTAATCTTCTTTAATTAATTACTACATATTTTCTACACTTGCAGTGTTTGCCAACTTACTATATAATCAACTTAAATCAGTTAAACTCATTATGCAATGCATTTCCTTCCAATTTTTTGTGATAAAGTAATAGATAATTGACTAAATAAACATCCTACAAAGTTTGAAAGGAAATTTTTCTTACAATTTCTGTGGTTTTTATTCAATTTTTATAGATATCAATAATTTCCTGATATTTCCATCTAAATTTCTGTGTTTTTGGAGTACTAATATTTCCGAAACCATCAATATTTTAGACCTTGGTCAGTATTTTGCCAAATTTGTATTGTGTGCTATGGTATCAACAAGAGGAGATTTAAGAATTAAACTTGAAATTTCTTTCGACATTAAAAATAAGGCACACCACATAACATCTATAGCCGGAAAACAATATAGAGGAAGCCTCCTTAGTATAAGCCGTTTATAGAACAGGGAAATATAGAAGCTTCCTTAGAGCATTTCCACCCATTTGCCATGGCAAAAGGCAAGGGGAGACAAAAGCTGTGACTATTCACATAAATAGTGTCTGTCCTTGTAATTTTTTTTGGTTGGTTTTCCACCCGTTGCCATGACAACCCAAGGGCAAACATTATTCACATGAGATATGAGGAGAGAAATTTGTATAGAGTTTTGGTGTGGGAAGTGAAGAATATGGGTAAGTATTTATTTTATTTTATAAAAAAACTTATGAAATTTTTGGTTTTTTTTTCCTTCCATTTTTTGTTATTTAAATTGGTTGTTGACGTCACAATGACGTCAGTATTAGGTCAGTTTGCTCAAGTAGCAGCTCAGACAAGTCTTGCCTTTGGACTTGCCCACTCCTTGCCCGGGTTGGCCTTCACTGCTAGACTTCGTTTTTGGAGCCTTGGGGGGCCTTCAATACATGACATTTTCTTCTCCACAATATATGTATACAGATGGAGATGGAGATTGGAGCAATGGCTTCTATTATAAATACAAATTTGATTCTTTCTTGGATTCCTTGTATAAATATACTGGTGGTTGTGAGCCATATAAATCCTTCGAATTAAACACAACAAAAAAAAATGTAGGAGCTGTTGTTCCAAAAATAGAACACTATTCACTAATATAGTACATTTGAAAGTGACAGCACCACACCCTCTCTCAATTATTATAATGCGTCAAACACGTTTCTTTTGCTTTTAGTTTGGCAGATGATGTGAAGGAGTTTTCACAATTCACGCAGTGCAAATCTTCCTCTTTATAATGAGAACCCCAGAGTCACTGACACTCTCAAATTAAGCAATAGAAACAAACTGAGAAAAAAACAAGATCTTGCTGCCATTGCTCAAGTAAAAATGGCTTTGTTTTCTAAGGCCATCTCTGCTGTCTATAATGCTCCAAAAAATATCCCACATATTCAGCTTACACCTAAGCCCTCTTCTCAAAAATGGAGCACTGCCCAAGATCATGGCTTGCTTTCAACTCCCTTGCACCTATTAACCGACTCCAAAACTAACTATGCTAATACAATTACTAGGGTACGTAACACTTGCTCTTTGCCTTTTATGCATTTTCCTTCATGCCTAAAATAATTCTTTGCTTTTCTTGCAAGCAGGAGGATGATGACATTTGTTTCCTACATGCACTAAAGCTGGACGTGTTCAGGCATGTACTGAGAAAACTAGGAGAAGAAGCAGTTGAGGGTTTGAACATGATCGATGCTGTTCAACGGCTGGGTATTGATCACCACTTTCAAGAAGAGATTGACCAAATTCTTCAACAACAGCATTTGATCATCACCTCCGGCAGTGCTCATGGAGCTGATCATCACAGTGATCTTCATGAGGTGGCAGTTCGCTTTCGACTGCTCAGACAACAGGGTTACTTCGTGCCTGATGGTAGGTATCATACGTATATTGGTACTCAGTACTAGCCAATCATTCGGCTGCTCACCATATGTATATTTTTTGTTAAATAGATGTGTTCAAAAAATTCAAAGAAAGCGATGGAAGCTTCAAGCAAATGTTGAGTGAAGACATTAAGGGATTGATGAGTTTATACGAAGCTTCACAGCTAAGTATAGAAGGAGAAGATACACTTGACGAAGCTGGAAAATTTAGTTGGCATCTCCTAAATACATCCCTGTCACATCTTGATCATCACCAAGCTAGAGTTGTTGGAAACACATTGTCCAATCCCCATCACAAAAGTTTGGCCACATTCATGGCCAAGAACTTTTTCTCTACTAATTCCCGAGGCACGAATAATCGATGGTTAAATATCTTACAGGAAGTGGCCAAAACAGAATTTAGTATGGTCCGGTCCCTACACCAGAAGGAAATTGTTCAAATTTCCAAGTAAGTTAATTGACAATATAATTGATGAGGACGTACGTAGATTATATATAATTGGACCCCTCTAGCTAATTAATCAATGTGTCTATTTGAATTATGTTATCTCAATTAGGTGGTGGAAAGAGCTGGGATTGGCTAAGGAATTGAAGTTTGCCAGAGACCAACCAGTTAAATGGTACATATGGTCCATGGCATGCCTAGCAGATCCAAACTTGTCAGAGGAGAGGGTTGAGCTCACAAAACCCATATCATTCATCTATTTGATTGATGACATTTTTGATGTTTACGGGACGCTTGACGAGCTCATTCTCTTCACAGAGGCTGTCAAAAGGTATATTTCATAAACATGCCTCAACAATTAAATTTAATTAATTTCACAAGTTTTGCCCATTGACTGATCAATAAATTGTTGGATGCTTCTGCAGATGGGAAATTGGTGATATAGAGCACCTACCCGACTACATGAAAATATGCTTCAAGGCTCTTCACGATATGACGAATGAAATCAGCAGCAAGGTCTATCAGAAGCACGGCTGGAACCCGTTACACTCTCTAAGAAAAACGGTATATATACCAACTGTGTGATGATTGGCTGATTATCAATTACCAGTATAATTAACTAAAGATTAGTTAATTATTCAATTCTATATTTCATGCAGTGGGGGAGTCTGTGCACTGCATTTTTAGTAGAAGCAAAATGGTTTAAGTCTGGGCATTTGCCCAAAGCAGAAGACTACTTAAAGAATGGGATTGTTTCTTCTGGGGTGAATGTGGTGATGGTCCACATTTTCTTTCTCTTGGGTCAAGGCATAACCAAACAAAGTGTGGAGCTGTTGGATGAAACTCCAGCTATCATATCTTCTGCAGCAGCAATTCTTCGGCTCTGGGACGACTTGGGAAGTGCAGAGGTAAGCTTATATTCATATCAAGCACGCTGTAAACATGTCTTGTTCATATCTCTAGCTGTAAATGTGCTTATGTAACTATATTGATTGTAGGATGAGAATCAAGATGGGCACGACGGCTCATACATACGGTGCTACTTAAACGATCACCAGGGCTGTTCGATTGAGGACGCACAAGAAATTACTACTAATTTGATTTCAGAAGAATGGAAGCGCCTGAACAAAGAATTGGTGTCTCCTAATCCGTTTCCAGTCGCATTCACCAACGCTTCCCTTAATCTTGCAAGAATGGTGCCATTGATGTATAGCTACGATCAAAACCAACGTCTTCCCTCGCTTGAGGAGTATATGAGATCGATGCTGTGTGAAACTGAATCTGTGTAATATATATTATTCTTCGTTTCTGGTCAGCTGTGTAATTTATATAAAGAAAATAAAATGTTTATGCATCGCACAAATATGTCTAGTAAATTGCAGAAGGATAATAGAACAATATTAAAGGTATTTTCAGGTGAAAACTAGGCTAATTCAGAAAACAAAATCGATCAAACTTCCACTTCAAAAGAGTTCCACATTTCCTTACCATTTTGTGCTTTGAATCATATAATTTGCAAAACAGAACAAACATCAAAAGAAATACATTATTCCTCTGTAGGCAACTTGAGATTATAACGCCGGTAACTATTTGACTTCCCAAGTTTCACAAGCTTATTTGCCTCCTCAATCCTAGAGGCCTTAACCAGCGCATCTACCACAATCTGCAACAACGCTGCATCCACGAGAAGGCGCCTTTTGAAAATTTCCTCCCCGAGCTCAATGGCAAAGTCCAAATCACCCTTCTCACAAACAAAGGGAAGGAGCGTCTGGAAAGTCCATTTCTGCGGAGCACAATTGCTCCGGCCCATTTCATGGTACCACTTCGTAGCTTCTTCCAATTTCCCCTCATCAACAAATCCCTTGATCAAGGCATTGAAGCTAAACGTATCAGGTTTTATTCCCTTGTTCTTCAATTCCTCAAATAACTCAACCCCTTCTTCAGTTCTCTTCTCTGCAGCCAACCCCAGCAACTTGGCATTGTAAGACCTAACATCAGGAACAACATTCTTCTCCACCATTCGACCCCATAGCTTCTCAGCATCCAAAAACCGACTATTTGCATATAAACCATTCAAAATCGTGTTGTACGTGATGGCATCCGGTTTCATGCCCTTCTTCTCCATCTCACCCAGCATCGAAACAGCGGAATCCAACGAACCCATCTCACAAAACGCCTTGATCATAGTATTATACGACACCACATCTGGTTCAATTGACAACTTCTGCGAGACCCCTTTAAAAACCTCATCAACCTTGTCCAATTTTTTGGAGTTAATGCAAGCCGCCAAGAGGGCGTTAAAGGACAACACCGTGCGCTCGCAGTTTTTATCAGGCATTTCGTCGAACACCTTCTGGGCATTTTCAAGCATACCGGCTTTACCGTAAAGAGAAACTAGTCGGACAGCGAAGCCCTCATGGGAGAAGTCCGGGTACTTCTTCAGGTCCTCTAGGATCTCTTCGATCCACTTGAAACGTTTTGCGGCGGCGAGGCGGCGAACGGCATCCTCGTAAATGGGGGTTTTGGTTCGGAAGCGATAGAGCTCAGAGGACTTCTTGAACTTCTCGACGAGGCGTTTGAGGTTGCGCTCTTTGTAGAGGTCGGTGGAGATGGCCTTAATGCTCTGTCTGGTAGTGGGGTTGGGTTGGGTGCTGGTACAGAAAGCCCGCTGGAGGATGCGAGAGAACGACATCGTTCGCCAGTGGTGGTGGCTGACTGTGGGGTTTTGGGTTTTGGCCCTTTTGTGGGTTACCGATGGTAAGGTAAGTAAGAGAATGAAAAACAATTTTAACCGAGTTTCTAACTGTCAGTAGATTTTCTTACTTTTTTTCATCTCTTTGTTTTCAGGATCCATCGGCCCCAAAACAAACTTGTTGGGCTGAAATAAAATTGGACTTGGTTGAGCTGGGTCGAAGAAGGTTAAGAGAGGCCTAGTTTCTAGCAGTCCAACAAGTTTGTGCGGGGGTGTAATGCTGTAGCCTGTACCAGAAAAGAAAATAAAAGGTGTAGTCTATATGTCTGGTGCTCTAACAAACTTCATTCGTTTGTACTTTTTCCAGTCAACAAGGACCAACAGGCATGACATGAACATTCAACAGAAAACACAAAAACCAGATTTTTTTAATTTTTTTTGTTCCTCATTCAACATGTGAATGAATGCTAGCTGTTGTTGAGGCTTCTACTTCACTTCTTAGCTCAAATCCACTATGAAAAATGAACCCTCTTATCATTCAAATCTTTAAACCTATCCATTGATTAATTTAACGCTCCAGATTATTGCAGAAAACATACAACTGTAGAAACTACTGATTAAACCAGAGCCTACCCAACCCAATTGCAATAACACAACTGAATGGTCTATAAGACTATAACTCTCTCTCTCTCTCTCTCTCTCTCTCTCTCTCAAGTTTAGTTAGTTTGGACTATAAGGAACTGTGCTTCTTGTGAAACTCATAACTGAAGCAACTTGGTTGCTCCTCTCTCACACAAAATGAAATGATTCCCTTGTGAGGAACAGTTATATAATTCATAGCCAACATTAGTCTCTCTCTCTCTCTCTCCTCTCTCTCTCTCTCTCACTTATCAAACTTAAGTTTCATCAATATCTCCAGAACATGGAGTTTGTAGCCTCTTCCTTGGATGAATTATGCATAACTGAACAAGGTAAAAGAGGGGGTAGGATGGGTCATCGGAGTCACAACAATGATGACGAATACAAGTCCAAGAACCTCCACGCCGAGAGGAGGAGACGGCAGAAACTCAGTGAACGCCTCCTCACCCTACGTGCATTGGTCCCAAACATTACAAATGCAAGTATTCTATTCATTTCATATCAAGTTTCATAATTAAGGCCAATACTTTTTTCTTTTTTTTTTATTCAAAGGTGGAGAGAGTAAAAATCTAATTCTTGTTTCTTGTCCTGTCTCAGATGAACAAAGCAACTATTGTTGAGGATGCCATCACTTATATCCACGAGCTGCAGAAGACTGTGAACATACTCAAAGACCAGCTTTTCGATATGGAAGCATCAGAAGAAGAGGCACCGGAGCAGAAGAAAGAAGAAATTCAGGCTGCAGAAGAGATGAAGAAATTTGGGATTCAGGTTTGGACAAACAGCTAACAACTCTGCACATTTGTCTCTTTGAAACATGGGAGTTCTTCTACTTATATTTTAAACGTTGGTTGCTGCTGGTGTTGGCAGGCAGAGGTCAATGTGACTCAGATAGATGGGAACAAACTTTGGGTGAAGGCAATCCTTGAGAAGAAAAGAGGTGGGTTCACTAAACTGATGGAGGCCATGACTGCCTTTGGCTTTGAACTCACTGATACCAGTGTCACTACCTCCAATGGAGCAATGCTTGTTTCATCTTGTGTCATGGTAAGTCACCGCATATCAGTTCCAAGAAACTCACAACACAAATGAATATACTTTGATACAAAAGCACCACTTTACTGAATTGAGCACATGAAATTAATATCAATTCTAATGATTTTCAGGGATCCTACTGCGAAACGCTTGAAGTAGAGCAAACCAAGGAATTGATGCTAGAGATCATCAATAGCACATAGAGAAAATGGAAGCATAAGATATTCTAGTCTATTTACCCTGGAAATTAACAGAGTTTTCTGTTTTTTGTTTTCATGACTTGTTGATTTCAAGTCAGAGGTCAGATTGGAATTATTTACTATTTAGTCAATGTGTTTGGTAGCAAATGGTAATCCAGGACATCATTTATGCTTCATCTTCATATATATTGTACTGATTAAAGAAATGGCAAACTGCTGGCCTTGAGACAGTTGGTTAGGAACCAACAGAAGGGACAGAATGATCCCACTAAGGTGGTCAACAATCTGGTTGAGACATAAACTCAAAAGCAAATACCACAAAACAGCTTACCAATATTACAGGCTTAGTGACCAAGTAACTACTGAGACAATATAAAACCCCAAAATTTCCAATCCTCATCACTTTTTCCTTGAGGGAAATCCCAAAACTTTGTCATTTAAAATTCCAAAACTTACACTCCCCTTTTTTTTTTTTTTTTTTTTTTTTTTTTTTTTTTTTTTTCTTAACAGCTTCTATGAACATGACACCTTTTTTTTCAAAATTGAAAAGCACAAAAACCAAAAACAAAAGAGGAGAAAATTATCTGTCAACTGAAAAGATCAATCCTTCATCTCTGGGCCTGAAATCCAATCTTCCTCCCACCATCCTTCTTTGAGAAAATTCCTGCATTCCATGTTTGAATGTTTCAAATGTTAATTTTTTTGACCCCTTAATGCCAGAAAATTCCAAGAATGGATGGATTTAATCAAATAGCCAATTGGCCTCTGTTTGGCTGCCAATAAAAGACTAAAAGGAGGGGAAAATTGAAAATTGACAGCTTTACAATTTCATCTCAAAGATCAGTACCAATCTATTTGAAACTGTAGAAAGAAGAGAGAGAAAAAGATGGAATTTTTTAGTACCTTGAGCTTCAGGCTTACAGACAGGAGGGTCTTCAAAGAGAGACAGAGAAAGCTGCTTATGGGCAACACCAATGTCAAACAAAATTAGACCAGAAGATGGATCACTCACTGAAATTCCCTTCACTGGAAGCCAGAGAAAAAGCTCTTCTTGGATCAGACCCTCCAAGCCTCTTAGACCACCATAGCTGAGATTAGCTCTGACTATGTTCTCAAAGTAGACCCTGGTCTCAAACTTGGTCATGCATGAACAGTCTAGATGAACCTCCAGGCGACCCATCGGGTCAAGATTGTAAGACTTTACATTGTCTGGGAAGAGCCCAGCTGGAAGGCCTTGGCTTTGGAGGAGGTTGTGGAGGGATGAGGTGGCTGTGAGAGGAAGAAGAAGGAGGAGAGAGAGAGTGAGCAAAGATACGGGTGTCAGAGACATGGTGTGAAGGAAGGAAGGGACTTTCGAAGGACAGACAAAAGCTGAATGTCTGAGGTTTCAACAAGGGTTTTTAATTTAAGGTTTCGTTTTGGGAAAGCTACTACGATGCTATCATAAAATAATTGATAATTAATATTATAATACAGGATTCCCAAAATACGTACAATATTTATTTAATTTCCTCAAATATCTAATGGTCGACCTCACCTGATGTTGAATAATGTATATGAATCAAAAAACGGGTCAACTATTGGAACGAACTTAATTCCCTCAATAGACCATCTTGGGTCGGGCTACGATCCAAGCCTGGAGGGCTGGACCAATCTTAATAGTTAATACAAGGTCAGCCCAACCTATAAGATTGGGTTGGTTCAGTGTTTCGAAAGAATGCCAGTTGGTTAAGGTAGCGTCTGCCCTTTATATTCGAGTTCAATTCCTCTTCCGATACATTAGAACATTAGAGTAACATTTAGAATTTTTGTTTTCATAGCCATCATGCTTTTAGATTATAAAATACAAAACAGAGTAACCCTTAAAGCTTATGGATTTATGAGTAAATTGGTAAAAAAAACCTACCAAATAACAATATGTTCATCTGCTAGACTGCTTGCATAATGATACTTTGGTGCATAAATTTCATTATTCTGGATCATATATTTAAGGAAGAAGATGTCGATGCATCAGGCGGCATAATCAAGTCCTAACCATCAAATCTAATGTATGCTTTCCTTAATGGATAATTATCATTGTAACTTCACGCACACATGCTTTCATTTGATCCATGCTAAGCTAATGGCACTCTCCTAAGTTTGCCTGCTGCTGATGATGCCTTAACTGCTGTCATTATCGCCTTAACAACAATATAATCCAAGGCATTAAGAAAAAGAAAGAGCCATTTAGAAAATTTTGTCCAACATAATTATTCATCCTTACAAACCAAGACTCTGTGACAGAGAAAAGAAAACATGTGTGCCCAAAAAGTTGCCAAAAGCTCTTACAATTTTCAAAACAACTTGAATTTATGCAACAATAATGAATCTTCCTCCTCATGCTCTCAACCCTGCCTATTCTGAGGCTGTTCTAGATAATGTCTTTCATAGGCATAAACAGATCCCCCATAGTAACTCTCTTCATCTCTTCTTTCTCCATATGGATTTGAGCTTCCAAAAAGATAATCTGCAGTTCCTTCCCATGGGTTGCCGTATCTTCCCTCCCCAGAAAACCCTTGACCAGTATCATTCCCTCTCTTAAAATCACGAGACAGGCAAGGCCAGTAGCCAAATAAACTCTCACAAATGTCCATGGCTTCCAATCCATAACCACTAGGAATTTGATGAGCTTGCTTCTCATATCCATGGCTTACAGACCCAAGATTGTGTTCATGGTCACTTCCCTTACTTTCTTCAACTTCCTCAACTTGATGATCAGGCTTTCCCTGGTCAGTGCTCTCTTGAATTGGCTGATCTTCCCTGCTCTCTTGGTGCTGCTTCTGCTCTTCTTCAATAGCCTGGATTGGTTGGCTTCCATTGATGGGTTTTGCTGCTTGCTCATTAATTTGCTCTTTATTACCACCCAATGGTGTGACAGACACAGATCCACCATTCAAAGGATAACAAGTTTCATCTGAAGGTGAAAGGGGCTTGCCATACACTTGAGCAAGATCAAAGCCACCATCATAAGGTGTAGGATCATATTCTTCAAAACCAGGCTCATTAAACTCAGATACAGAGTAAGAGATCAAGAATTGAGTATCATAACTCTGCTCATAAAACTTTGGGTTGTATTCAATGGATATTGGCTTGCTACAAGAAGGAGAGGCAGAGTACGAATGAAAAGCATGAAAATATGGGGTTGGATTATACTCAAGGAAGTTTTGAAAGCTTGGTTCATAGCTAGAATAAGATATTGTTGGCCCTTGATCTGGTTGAAGTGGAGCAGAAAGATCATCAGCATAAGGGGTTAAATAATACTCACCATGATCATCAGTCTCGTAGTAGCTGGAGCTGTAGAATGCCATTAAGATTTGGCAAATACTTGTGGAATGAGAGAAAGGAAACTACACTGAGAATTCAACAAAATTTCTGCATAATAAGTGAACCCAGAACTGTATCTTTCTATCTTGTTATTATATTCACACACACAAATCTTATCCAATTGGGAATAAAATGTGTGCGCAAGCAATTCATGTGCAAGAAAAAGGGAAAGGTGGGTGCACTAATTATTGTCAATAAGCATTAAGAAACTGGGAGATATCAGCATTTAGATCATGGTTCCATGGCCATATGATTAGAGAAGATTACCTTTAGCCAGAAAGTGATTGAGATGTGACTGAACAAGGAATCTTGAGAAATTTCGCTTGAAAGAGATGACATCTCTATTTCTTTTTTCTTTCACTTTTGTAATTTTTGGTTGCACAGTTTTTCTTTGTTTTGCTTGGGAAGATGGCAAGTGCACATGTCTTGTTGTTGGCTTGTCAATATCATGGTCCCACTAAAAGAAATGTGGCACATCCCATCATCACTTTCGACCCTTGGATCATGCCATAATTTCCAGAACAGTTAAGAAGGGAATGACTTTTGATTCAGTTTTTAGTTTTAGCGCCATTCCAAATTAGATGATGACTTAAAACACCATGTGTCTTGAGGGTTACAGTATCATTCGTGTTATTAATTCGAAAGATACAATATAGATGAACGATAAGATTAATGTCAAAATCATACTGAAGTATTTTTCGTTGTCTAATCATAAAATTAATTATTTTTTTTTAAAATTACTACAGAGTGTTACCATTTGATACACCGCGAGAAGAATGCACAAAGGTTTTTTTTTTACTGAAATGGATGGACTCTAATTAACCTCATATTATGAGTTTGAATTTCTTGATTAAGAAGTAACACACGTATTTATCGCACTAATTACAGGTACAACATGGCCTAGACCAAAGGCCCAATCTTAAAAAGAATTAAGAAAACTTAATTTAAATCACATGACCATACAGTGACAGATGGCCCAATGAAAAATATCAAAAGGCCCAGCTCATTTTAACAATTGGATCAGAAAGTAAAGGAAAAGATAACCAGAAAAGGCCCAACTCATTTTTGGGTTGAGAGAATCTGGAACGTGACCTAAAGCCTTGAAGAAGGTTTTCACATATGGTTTCTTCTCCAAGTAAGAAGCGTTGACTTAATAATAAAATCTGAGAGGATCTTTTGTGAAGGAAACAAGGTAAGAAGTATCAATCAAATCAAGCATGGCAGGCGGCTGCCCTTTACGTATTTGCTACTTCATTTTCTGAGTACTTACAAGATTATTAGGTGCGTATTACATCACTGAAATTGTCGAATCCCAGTTGAAGAAAATGAAGAAAAGGTCTAATAACTGGAGTATCTTTAACTAAACAAAATCTGAGTGAGACTAAAGGGTCATGTGTATATGATATTGCGAAAACAAGCCCTCTTATTTTATGATTAATACTTGACCAAATCTTATAAACAATAGCAGTTCAACAAACAACTCGTTTATTTTATATGCCAGGAGACGTCTGGACACAGGGAGGTAACACGTAGCTAAACCTTTGTTTATACGTTTGCGCTGTTTCATTTTCTTCCTAATTAATATATGTGTATTAGAGGGGGATTCGAACACACATGACCTCGGGTGTAAAGGGAACTGCTCTTAACCACTTGAGCTACAAGCCCCTTATAACTTTGATGTGCCTTTGGAGTTCAATTCTTGGACGAAAGCATTATTGACTTAATTAAAGTGGCAACATAAATGACAATATTGTCTCATCTTGCTTCCCATGGTTACAAAAAGCTGTTGTATGTGACCTTCCTTGTCCTTGATATATATGCAGGGACAGGGAGGGCAAGTTACTTACCATTCAACTTGTTCCTCCTCACCAGCTACAGAAGCTGCAACACTTTAGAGTAAACCTAATCTTGAAGAACTCATGACCGTCCTGTGATGTGGGTTAAGCAATTTATTATACCCTAAAACACAAACTTAGATTTGAGAAGCAGCCAAAATGACCTCAGATAAGGGACAAGAAACAGGAGAGAAGAACAAGTATATGTTTTTGTTTTTTTCTGGAGAAATTTATAGTCGATAAATTGTGTCAAAATATTTTGTTTAGTAATTATGAGATTAGAGAAAGAAACAGAAAGAGTAGGTCCAACCCATCTCTCAACTCCATTTTAGCATCATCAAATCAAACCCCTACCAAATTACTTCCTCTCTTTAAGTCCAAGTCCTTTGATCAATTACAGTTAACTTGACTAATTGTATTCAGAGAAAGTGTTTCTCTGTGTGATGTACATGTGTGATATCATACGCGGGACCCACATTTTCTTACCAGCTCTGTGAATTTAGCATGATTATTTAGTTTGGTGAATTTTAATAATTACTTTGATATTTGGGGATGTGTGTAATTAAATGCATATATATATATATATATATATGTATATATATTGTGATTAGAGAAACCTAGGACACATTATGTAAAATGATAGCTCTACTCTACATTTACATTATACCTAAAACTAATTAAAGATAAGCCAACTCTAAATGCTTTTAATACAAAGAAATTAAATAATTAAGGGCCCTAATTAAAGACAAAGAGCATGATGAATAAAAGATACCGAAGGATTTGCGTGAAGAGCATGAGACAAGGGCATGACCCATATATTCAATTGATGTTCCTAAACGTTAACCCACATTTTAATTAAGATGTTTTTTTTTCCTTTTTCATAATTAAATAGAAAGGGTTTATGAGATGTGGGGCCCAATGATGGATGACTAAAGGAATGTTTTCATCTAACATGGGACAATCATCCATGTCAAGATGTCAAGTTGTCAACCTCACACACACACACACACACACACCAAGGAGAGGGGCCAAGGGGGGAAGACCAATTTGGTGACGTTTCATATTTAGGTCAACAAAGCCAATGATTATTGACTTGTCGTTCTTTGGAATTTAGGAGAGCCTATTCTCTTTGGTGGAAAATGCATTAGAAATTAATTGAATTAGACTCTGGAAGTCAATCTCGCTTTAAAAGAGAGAGATGGCCATGGAGGGCGGGAACAAAACCTCATTTAGAATAGGATCACATTTTGGATAATGCATGTGTGTGTGTGTGTAAGAGAGAGAGAGAGAGAGAGAGAGAGAGAGAGTAGGTGAGGACTAATTAAAAAGATTAATTAATTAAACAGCTACTCAATCCAGATGATAAAATAACAAGTAGGAGGACTGCACGAAAAAAGCAAGGTTTAGAGCTTTTATTTTGCACTTTAATCATTCTTCCATTGAACATGCCTTATCCCCACATCTTCAATACAATATTGCTTACTAAGAATACCATATATAATTAATGTATCGTGTTTGTGTTGTGCCTGCCTCCAAACCACTAGTCGCTGCCTTTTCTTTTCGTTTCATATATCCGGATGTCCACACATTATTATCGTGTGGATGCTATTCTAAATAATCAAAAAAGCATAAAGAGATAATACAAAATATATATGTAATTGAATTATTATTAGAATATTAGACGGCTCTCATCTAAATATGGTGCGTGTTTTAGTTATTAGTTTGGGGTGGTTGACTAAGGATAGATAGCCAAGCAAACACGTTTGATTTACAAAACAAATGGTCCACTCCCTTAGATTGGACTCAAATTACTTCACTTATGGTCAACTGGTAGCCACAAAAACTCGTTTTCTTTTCTTCTTTCAATTTCTCATTTTTCCCATCTTCTTCTTGTGTTTTTTCCTCCATGTTTTTCATTGGGCACACCACGTGATCCCATGGTACTATTCTAGAGTCTCTACACATGTGATTTTTATTTATTTATATATATATATAAATTTTACTTTTAATTTTCATGCACACCTCAAGATGAGCTCAGCATGACAACTTCGTATAATTGCCTATATGAAATAATAATTGATCATATAATTGTATGTGTATATAAGAATTGGGCAAGGATTAAGGGCGTATTATGATTTATAATAAACATATAAAACAGATGAATAAGTGCTAATGGACCATATACAATAAGTGCTTTGGTTTTTTTTTAAATCTTTAAGATAACCCTAAAAATGCACTAACTAATATTAATCTATTATAATTAAGAACAAACCATTTGGGGTGTGGTAGAGACTAGAGACTAGAGAGAGAGAGAGAGAGTCGCAGGGCATGACATGAGCATGAGGGTCCAAAGTGGTCATTTTCTAGAGGAAGGGAAGGAACATTTCTGAATGCAAAAGAATACAAGAAGAAAATCCAAGAGTTGGAATTGGATGGCTGTGACCTAATTTCCCTTTCTTTATCATTTAGTGGAACGTGTCTTCCCCTCAACTGCAAGCTGACTCTCTTCTCTTTCTTAACCTATTAAGCCGATTCTCTAAAACTAAAAACTGAAATCTATTTGAAATTTCTTTTACTTTCAAGTTTTTGTTTTCACTTTTGTTATTCATTCATCTAATTTTCACTCGCGTTTTCCTCTATACTCTAGCAAAAAAATAAAATGATTATCAAACGATTGCAAGTAAGAAAACTAATTAAAAAAATAACTATAGAAAAATAGATTTTGAAATTAGAGATGCATAAAAATATGAAGTCTGCAAGCAGCATTACCAGTTGAATATATGATTTAAAAAAATAGTTTAATTTATTCTGTGGCTGGCTGAGATTAATTTTTTCCTGGGTACAAAAATGTGAAGGAATACCGCGTTTCGGATTTGAATTACACAACTTGTCTTTTTATTATTTCTTTTAAAAAGTGTATACCGCCCATGTCAGAATCTGGCTCCCACAAGGCCGTGGGTGCGGATTCGCTGTGGAAAACCGCACGATTTGGTTATTAAAATAGACGGCTGTGATTGGATGGCGGGTGGTGGAGATGGCTACGTGTCAGCCACCCGAAATGATTTGTAGGAAAACCCCTTCTCCCATTGTCGTTCTCGATCTCAAGTCTCACCCTTTGACTCTCTTTGTAGAAGCTCAGCCAGCCAAGCTCTACAGAGGCCCCACTTGACCACGCACGCGCGCCTGCTCGCCTGGGTCCCAGGTTGACCCATCTTAGCTTGCCAAATCATGATGCGTAACCAGTTAATTAATTACTAATTATATAAATCAAGCTGCCAGGTTCTTTATAAAAGAACAAGCCGGATAGTTAATTTGTTTTAAATCTTGCACTTCTTTTTGTTTATCCCATATTCTAAGTACACCTTAACTTCTAATTTAAATTTTCACAATTTCTAAGAAAACGTCATTATCTTCACGAACTAAATACACACCCATCAGAAAAATAAAAATAAGAAACTCATTAACCTCACACCCGACACCCGACAGCCCGCTATTTGCTCATCATCACTCTAAGTTCACCTTAATCTCACATTACTTGAAGAGATAAAAACATTGTTGTCAAATGTGTTTGTGAAGAGTAAATAATCCAAACCACTACATTGGGTCCTTTACTTTTCCGAATGATTTAAAAATGTAGTTATTATTTATTTTGCGAGAAGGTTGAGTTGAAATAGAACCAATTACATCAAATATTGACGATTTTAGTAGTCAACACAGATTTTTGATGGAATTAGAAGTCAATATTAGGTAGTGGTCCATTGTATTAAAATGTACCATCGAATTGCAAAAGAATAAAAATAAAATAAGAATTAGGCTGTGGTCCATTATAAAATGTAATTTTTTTTAAATTTTTTTAAAAAAACAGTGAAGCCATCTTATCTGTATACACAAGTTTGTATGATTAATTTTACACGTTTGTCGACGCTGACAAAGTTGTTAGGAAGGAACAAGGATCAGCAGAATGAATCACTGTCAAAATAGATTTGCTTCTTTACATTACTATACTAAGGAAAGCAGCTGCAGAAACTCATGGATCTGACCTAACATCCCTTTTGAATTTTAATTCAATATAATAAAGTCAACCATTTTCTTAATGTTTTCGTGCAGAAATTTGAGATGGTACATATCCGACGATGTCCACAGCTTTTTGAGCAAGTTGTGACTAGCGAGCAAATGTTCAAGATATATGGGCCGTAAAAGCTTGTGTTTTTGGTTAGTTGAGAATGATATCCAAATTGAAGCAACCGAGATCGTACCTGCAACTTTGCACTAATAATTGACCGACACCGGGAATATTCATTCTGTGTGGTCCTTATGAGTTTTTCTTCTTTAATTACTAGAAAATGTGGGGATTCGAACTTGAATGCAATGAGTCGGACATAGTGTTCTGCACCGACACTCATGAGTTTAAGGTAAGCGCTTGCTTCTACTTGATGCTCTGCTGCAAGTTAAGGGGATCCAAATTCGGAAATATCGATCAGACTTTGTTGTGGAAAAATTGAGCAGCAGATTAATCAATTCATTGTCAAGTCAACTGCGCATTCCCACAACTTGCTGACTTCACTGAAAGATGAGCTTAGAGCCATCTTCTTCCTCCCAAACTTGTTGGGTGGGGTTGAAATTCTTATCCTTTTTGATATTTGTGGTGATCAGATATTTTTTTTTCCTTCTTCTGACTCAACTCAAGTGTTTGAACATATTGGTTTGGATGTGTCAATTACAAAGGTGAAATGGCAATTAGAAAATGAAGATGATAGTGAGGTGGGGGGATATCAGAAAATTTCAGAAGACACAAGCGTAACCCATAATCATCATATACGTGGTCCATGTAGTCCCCCCATGGCCATGGGTCCGAAAATCTGAAGATTTATTCTGGGGATTGGACTTATGAATTATTATAATTCTAAAACTCACAACAAGTTTCAGCCGTCGGATTTCAACAAATACAATGAAGAAGTTGCAAATTATTCGTCCAAAACAGTGAGGTGTCAGTCAGATCAAACACCATCATCATCATCCCTTTATTCGTAAGTAAGAAGAATTTTTCCACACAGACATCATAAACAATAGAATAAAATAACTATATAAACCGAAAAGCAAGAGAGAAGGCATAAAAATATGGATAAACCAAGAATAATAATAATAATACAAAAACAAAATACTAAGCAATTTCAAAGCTAAAAGAAAATTCGATTCAGAATGCTCTCTCTCATTTGTCCAATCATCTCCCTTCAACAAAAAAAGAAAAAGAAAAAGAAATGTCAACTGGATTCCCGTAAATAATTTCCAACTTCTGTCCGTACCCCTAACCGTTTGATATATAAATTGCAACTCTGCAAAGCTCACAACAAAACCATAATATATTTCATATTTGCTAATAGCCATAGCCATAGCCTCTCTCTCTCTCTCTCTCTCTCTCTCATGATATATAAAACAGAGTGCTCCTACGTGAGAGTCAAAAATACTCAAGGAAGCAAGTTAAGTTAAAGATATATAATATAACTTTTGAGCTTAATAATATCATGGCGGAGGAGTTTCAGGCCGGGATTTGTGGCAGCAGCTGGTGGAACACATCGAGACACGCGCTGGTGGCGTCGCCATGTTCTGTGGGGTTTAATGATCATATGGGGAGCTTTGGCTGCCCAAACGACATGGTGGACATCAAGGCATCAAGGTCTTCTTGTGGTGAGATTAATAACTCGGTTTCTGATCATCATGATGATCATCAGCATACTGATTCTGGTAGTGTTCTGATTGATTCCACCTTGCAAATGATAGGTTTTGATCATTCATCTTCCTCGTCGTCAACACCCTCAGATTTGAACCAAGCTTTGCTCCTGTAAGTTCAATTTCAATTCTCTAGCTAAACATCCACTCCTCCTATAGTTAAAACTCATGCATGAAGATTCAACACCCTTAATTAATTTGTTGTGTTCATTACTTCAGAAAATGGAGTCAATATGTTGAACTCTAATGATATTGGGAAAGTGAATTAATATGAATTAGGTTTTTGTTTTTTTCTTGCAGAAGTCGTAGTGGTGGTGGAAGAGCTGAGAGCAATTTTCATAATTCTATGCTCCAAGAAGGTGTAGGTGTTGATGAAGATTCGTCATCTCTAATAGATGGTTTCAAGCCCATGAGTCAAGATTTTTCTTTGGACCAATTAGGCTCATCATCTTCTTCTGGCTTTCCCATAACTTCATCATCCTCAGCCGCTAATTCCTATGGCTTCCCCTCAACATTTTTGCAAAGTATATTTGATTCTGAAGTATCCCAACCTCAACCCCAACAATCACTTTTCAACAATAATCACTTTTCAAATGACTTATTGTTACCTCCTTCTCCTACTAGTTCTTGTTGGCCACCCAGATACTCTCCTAGCAGCTGCCTAAGGCCCTCAGCAGTATCACTGCCAAAGCAATTACAACCTGGTGGTGGTGGTGGTGGTGGCGGCGGCTTGCACTTTCCCAATAATATTAACACACCCTTCTGGAACACCCCAGCTGCCACCGCTCTAAATCATGGCAATGGAATTCGATCTAGTAATGGCCTTTTTTCCTCCTCACAATCACAATTTACAGCACCTGCCTCTTCAGCACTAGTTCATGAACACAAACCTAATTCCCACAACTTTACTACCAAGGTAATTAATTAAATTTTTAGTATTTATTATATGTATATATGTATATAGCTAGGTAGGTTATGATTTAAGGGTAATGATTTGGATGTTGAAATTTCAGGGCAACACTAATGAGGATGTTCAAGACTCAAACTCAGTTGTAAAGAAAAGTGGGAGCAGCATGAGCAGCTGTGAACCTGTATTCAAAAGAGCTCGAATTGAAACACCTTCACCCTTACCGACTTTTAAGGTACGACACATCCAATCAAGCTTTTGGCAGCAGCCATCGAACGAGGAGCTTGCTTTCTCTTTGCCAAAGTGATTTTTGATGTTTCCTTTTTAATTTAATTAAAGGTTCTTTTTTTCTTTTCCTGTTGATTAGGTTCGGAAAGAGAAGCTCGGGGACCGGATTACTGCTCTCCAGCAATTGGTTTCGCCTTTCGGAAAGGTGAAGTTTTGGAGTTTTGTTTCTCTACTTTTTCAACAACAAACTTTACTAATTTGTAAAATATCAAAGGAATTATTCAAACTTACCTTCATTCCTTTTTGTTGTCTTTTTTCTTTTCCAGACTGATACAGCTTCTGTCCTTCACGAAGCTATTGAGTACATCAAATTCCTCCACGAACAAGTCAGTGTATGTTCCTTTAGTATCTTCCTCTTTTTTTTTCCCTTTCCTTTTTTGTAAACCCTAGTTTTGGAGGCTGATCTTAATTACGATTGCTAGCTAGTCGTTGAACGTTTTGTTTAATTCATGTAATTTCAGGTTTTAAGCACTCCATATATGAAAAATGGAGCCCCCATGCAACACCAACAGGGTAGCGATCATAAAATGAAGGAGGCAGAAGGAGCAAAACACGATCTAAAAAGCCGAGGACTGTGCTTGGTTCCAATTTCAAGCACCTTCCCGGTTGCTAATGAGACGACTGATTTTTGGACACCGACATTTGGAGCAACTTTCAGGTGATCAATCCATCCATCCATCACAAGAGAAGAGGGAGAGCCAAGCTTAGGCCCAAGGGTGCCTAAGTTATCTACCAATAATATTTTAATGGAACTGGTTTTCTACAAGCCAGAGCTAATGATCCATGTAGGCTAGCAAGTGATTAATTAGTGACCATTAATGAAATTATTATGTAAAAACCCAATATTACTATTAATTATTAGTTAGAGAGGGGGGTTGGGAACAGGAACAGGTGCTAAATTTAGCGGAAGTCGACATTAGTTTAGGAAGAGTTGTTATTTGTTGTTGTTGTTGTTGTTGACAATAGCTGAATTTAGCAGATGAGGGGATAAAGAGCTGCCTTTTGTTCCTGTTTATGTAATGCTGTCAGGGGTGGCACCACCCAACTACCACCTTTTATCATCTCAGAGAAGAAAAAACAGATAAATAAAAGCGATTTTACATTGTATTTGATTTGTTTATATAATTTATGTTGTTCAAGAATCAAGAACAGAAGAGAAAGATGAGTGAGTGGAGCTTATTTCATTGGCGTTTTAACTTTTTTCATTTGTTTATTATATGTTTGGAATGTAGTAGTGGGAAGTCAGAGGGCGGCCCACTGTTCCTGCTTTTAGGGTTTCTGGTCATGACTCATGTGAGAGATAGCGAGAGAGACAGAAACAGATGTGCATGCGCGAGTGCATGTATTTGCGCGTGTAAAACCATCAACAATTAACTATAATATATATAGAGCTTCAGTTGCGAGATAGAAAGAGCCGACCGGCCACACTCATGCTGCTTGTGAGCGACCGGCTCTATCTCTCGCATATGTATTATTTTTTCCTAAAGAATGACCTCATAATTCTAATTAAAGTGCATCTGAATAAGAGTAGTACGTAGCTCTATGTGCTTATTAATTTCAAGGCAATAGACTCAATTCATGGATGTATGTATATATTTGTGATGAGAAAAATATTAATCTCCCATCAATAAGATGCGAATCAGAGTCATTTATCAAGTTGATTGTTGAATAAATGTGTTGCCAAGATTTACTATCTAACAATATGTCACTTGGGATTGCATCTCCCATCTTCGAAGGAGACTATGTTGTGGTGGTTGCAGTCGTAAAGCGAGTAGGACAGGATTATTCAAACGTTGGTACCATTGTTGAAGATGTAAAGCATCTTTAGAAACAGATTCCTAGCTATCTTTTTCAATTTACTCATAGGAAAGCAAATGGTGTTGCACGCCGACTTACTCGATTCAGTATGTAGACAGCTTTATTTGGTTTGTGGGTGCCCCGTGATCTTATTTAGGACACCCTATTATGTGATTTGTTGAGTCGGGGTCAAGCGTGTTGTCCTTTCCGTTGTAATTCTTCGTTTTATCAATAAAGTTTATCTCGTTTCTTTGAGGGTCCCTCAAAAAATAAAAAAATTGTCTGACAACATAATCAAATTATGAGAAATAAAAGAACATTCACTTATATTTTGTGATGATTATCTCCAACTTCTACGACTCCACAATCAATATTATCCTTGGTGACAACTCGAACCAGCTCAGTTTGATAACTCATTTTGCTTTTTTGTGTTTATAATTACATGGAACTTCTGTCAAAGCATGGCTGCATGGGGGTGAAAGCTTTCCCCACTTTTCCCAACATAAACAGTGCGCAGCAGATGTATCATCATATATATATATATATATATATGTATTGTTACTTTCAGAATCATTGCTGATTTAGATTGCAAGTATATATAGCAGAAACAAATTTCCTCCATTAATACTTGGGCTGTCTAATAAGCATAAATTTTAGTCTAATCATATATCCATATACATGAGGTTAATCTGGAAATACCAAAACAAGGTTTATTGAAAGTTGCTTTGAACAAATTCTTGATCTTACTAATATGCGTGTGTGTGTGTATATATATATATATATAGAGAGAGAGAGAGAGAGAGAGAGAGAGAGAGAGAGAGAGAGAGATTAATTAAGGTGGCAATTTATGAAGAGGCTAATCAAGTAATACGCAAAGCCCAAGAAGCTTAAAATTGAAGAATCCCTATAAAAGATGACTAATCATGAGAGGGAAAAAAAAGAAAGGTACTTTAATGGTTAAAATCTATTGCAGATATTGGTATCTCTTGGCGCCCACTTTATTTTTATCTTTTTGTGACCTGTGAATTGATCGGCAGAAGGCTGTGATACCATACTTTGAAGCAAGCATCGGGATCAGTACCATTTGTTCCTCTCTCTCTCTCTCTCTCTCTCTCTCTCTCTCTCTCCCCCCTCTGGAGAAGTCGATGGAATTGAATTCTTTCTAGAGTATTTTTCTTAAGAGCTTTGGCGTATGTATGGAATGGTACTCTCTCGTCTCAAGTCATGGTTACTTATTTAAAAGAAGAAACATAGAAGGAATACTTAAAAGGAAAGCATCTTAGCATCATTGTGCTGTTAAGAAAGTGAATGTATGACTTCCCAGCAATTATACAATCTTTGCTTTAATGGAATTATACTTCTTTTTCGTGTTTTGGCTAATCAATGCCAAGCTCTATTTTCGTCTTCTGCTTGACGTTTTCCAGCTTAGAAAGGCTCATTTCTTTCTGCAACTTTGAATCTTTTTTTCCACCCATTCATTCTCACATCACATATATATCAAACATAAAGCTTAAATTAATTAAACTCTTAATCAAGTTTAAAGATCCAAGATTCAATTGGATTTATGGGCCACCCAACCATTCGGCCCACCCAAATCTTTTGGATATCGGGCTAACTGTGTCATTTGGGCTCACCTATTTTGCATAAAATGGGATTTATGTAAGTATAAAATAGAATGATCACAACTGGAATGTCCTTAATTATATGATCAGATCACAAGGACCACTCATCATGTATATATTCCACAACATTTTCCCATCAAGATGCATGAAGATGAAGCTATATGGGCAGCCACTCGTGCCTTTGATGATTTGGGCAAAGTGTATACAAACTTTGATCTTTAGTAATAGCCACTGTTTTAGTCGACATAAAACGCATTACAACAAACGTATTTGACAAAGTACATATTATTTTTTACGAAAACATGAGGTTGCAAAGTGAAATCTGGAATGGGAATTAAGAAAATAAAAAATGCAGAATAGAATGCTGAACAGAAATTGTGTACTCGATCATAATCAGACAGTTGAGCCCTTAAGCTTTTTCGCAATGCCCGCAAAGTACTTTCCCTGGTGGAAAGCTTGTTGTAGTTCTAGTTCAGAAGGCTGTCTTGTGCCATCCCCAGCATAAGTTCCTGCACCATAGGGGCTGCCACCCTTGATCTGCTCCATCTCGAACATGCCAGCTCCAAATGAGTACCCAATAGGCACAAAGACCATTCCATGGTGAACAAGCTGAGTAATTGCTGTCAAGCTGCACAGTTTCAAGTACAACAAAAAACAGGACAAGGAAAGTCACATTACTGCAACAAAGTAGGGAAAGAATGAGAAGGAAAAAAAATTAAGAAATCCGTCTCTTTCCTTTTCTTTTGTTATGGATGAAGCACTTAACAGAAAGCAAGACTTGTTACAGAAAACTTACGCAGTAGTCTCTTGTCCACCCCCTTGAGATCCAGTGCTGTAGAAAATTCCTGCAGGCTTGCCTGCAAGTGCTTGGGTTCTCCATAAGCCTCCAGTTGAATCGAAAAATGCTTTAAATTGTGCAGCCATCATTCCAAATCTGGTAGGGAAACCGAAAAGTAACCCATCAGCCTCAGAAAGGTCATTGGGTGAAATTATAGGGACTTCACTCTTTGGTGGTGCACCCATCTTTCCAAGAACATCATCTTGCAGTGTTTCTGCTACCTGTCAAGGGGCCAAATACATTGAATCAGGCAATCACTTTTTGTTTGTTTGTTTTTTTCCGGAGAGAAAATGATGTCCCTTTTAAAGATAAAGTCCCAATTCACTATGAAGCTGAAGATCCCAGTAAAAGAATTCCTAATATTAAGCCATTTTGATTACAAATTCAAGTCAGCTTAGCCTCAAAGCCACATGATAACGACTCTGCACAAGTATGTATTCTAGAAGCTTAGTTTCTAAACATCAAGGATCATACTAGACATTTTGAAAGAACAAGTAAATTTGGAATTAACCACAATCAGTAATGTCAGCGTCATGGCTGTGTGTCAAAATCAGTAAGGGGCGTCCATGTTTATCGAAGGGGTAAAGACGGCAAACAATTTCCCAGGATAACTTCACTATACTTTCAAACTGATATGACTTCATTGGAAAACTACATTTCAAAAGTCGTCTTCTGGCTAACAGATGCTTTCTGTAGCTTTGGTAATTTAAGGTGTCAATTCCATGAAATAAAATGAACATATCATACCTGCCATAGTTTGGCTTCTACTCCTTCCACAGATGCAGCTCCTTTTAGTATCTCTTCGGCCAGCTTCTCAACATGTCCATACATAGAATAGTAACTGTAAAATGCATAGGAGGGCTCTTAAAAATTTACTCAAATATCTACTAGTAGATAACATTTGAAAACCGTTATTTTATTGTAATAATTGGCTTGAGAAGAAAAAAAAAAAAAAAAAAAAAAAAAAAAAAAACAAACTTATTTTGTGCCTGAAATTTTTTTATCACATTCTTTCGGTACATGATATATAATGGAAGGACAAAGAAAGCTCTGCTGTGAAATGGTTTACATTTTTGGGTAAAAATGCAATTTCTGTAGTACCACAACAGAAAATGTTTATCATTCAATTTTGCCTGATTCCAGGATATAGTGGTAACTGGACAATATCAATACATCAATAAGTGCACAGTGGGGGATACACAATGACCAAAAAGAGACTTAGCTTTTAATTAACTTTCCATGACAAAACATAACAGTGGTTTAAGTGTTTCACAAGAGTGTAAAATAGAAGAAATGGAGAACAGTTCAGAAGCAAATCTGCCCATTCATAAGCATACGTCTGATTATTTTGGTAGGAACTAATGTGCATATCAATTTGGACAGAGAAGCAATATCAACAATGATGCATTCTGGGACCACATAAAGCAGAAAAGCAGAGGCCTGGCATCTCTCTCTTGGTTATGATTTCAAAAGGTAGGTCAGGTATCACAATCACTTTCCAGTTGTTGCTGGTTAACAGCACAATGTCTCCTTCTACCTTAAGCCTTTCAATTTTTTTCAATTACTAATCACTTCTTTTCAAGATATTGACGAAAAACACACGGTAACGTAAAGTTTAGACACTTGCATGCATCAATCATGAAAATCAAAGAAAGACAGGCCTCTGTCTCCCCCTCTCCTCACCCCACTCCAGGCCCCCAAAAACAAGATTTAAAAAAAACTAAATTTAAAAATACCCAGAAGAATGCAAGCTAGACGCGCTTTAGGCTAGTAACTGCAACCTCACTTGTATTTGAGAGCAGATAAAAATTCAATCTTTGAACCTTTATTTCTCCCCTAATCTCTATAGGGGATGATGAACTGAAAGCAATTGGTAGATAAGAAAACTGCAACACTTTCTACCCTAAACAGTAGTGAAACTTAGCTAATGACATCTCAATCCCACAATACAACCAAAAAGAAAAGGACTTATATGAGAGATTAAGGAAACAAATTAACACTTTCTTGTAAATTAACACTCAATAACTGGAACCTTGGCAGCTATTTACATCCAAAAGACAGAGCCTTTTAGAAGTAAAAGATCATTTACAGCTAAATGGTCCATGGATAGTTCTTCCCAATAACAAGTTAATACAAAATGCCCAGTGCAAATTTCCACACACCAACTCCAACAAAATGCCAATATTTTCAATTACTTCAGTCACAACAACTCATCCCATCGCCTCCCAAGAAGCAAACTGGATCAACCCAGAAATGATTTCACTTTTATTCATCAAAGATCATATCTTCACTTAAGCTCATGAAAGAAACAAAACCCAGAAAGCAGGAACAACTAAAAACAAGGTCCACCCAGAGAGAGAGAGAGAAGACTTACACAATGTAGACTTTGGTGGCCATTGATGGAAGAGTTTGCGTCTGTGTGTTTGTTGTGTATGCGCTTTGTGCTTTGTGCGTGTTGTGAGTGAATGAAGAGTTGACAGGAGTGCACCAAGAAGGGGACCCCTATTTATAAACGCAACATAAGCCTCAAGCTTTGTATATTTTCTAAACACTTCCTTTGATTGAATTGATTAGTCTTTGTTAATTGGAGAGCTTATTCCATCATTAGTGGATGGTGTTTTTTGACGCGTAATATATTCGGTATTGTTGATGTCATGGATTACTCTCCAAGACGTATTTCCTTGTACATATAATTATTTTTCGATATTTTATTTTATTTTATTAGAGCATTTCATTACAAAATTTGATTTACTTTGTGTAAATATTTCAGCCGGCATTTCTGTATTTTCAAAACTCTCTCAACATTGTGATAAACAATGATAATTATCACATTTTTGTAATTAATGTACAAACAAAATTAAGATGTCCTCAACCTCAAGTCATCTTTCTTATATGGTAATTTGGTTAACGTTGGTGTTTATTTTGGTGAAAATTTGGCCCCTATTTTTAATCACGAAATTCTGTAATTTTATAATTTTCTTTATAAGTTAATATGGTGCACCAAGCCCTTTATTAAAATTTTTGCTAGTAGATTATCAAAGGTTTTTAATTTTAAAAAAGAAAAAGAAGTTGAGTTTGACCAGATGAAGCATCATAGCACAAAGCCATAGTCATGGGTGATGCATATGGTATGCATGTCACTATTGATTGTTGTGTGTGTGTATTGAATATAGATTTAAAGAAGAGAAGTGTGATGCATTGATTTATTATAATTTGCAGGCATCTCATGAGAGACATTTGACTTTGTAGATGCCAGTGCCACTAGTAGCAGAAGAAGAAGAAACAATTAATACTTTGCAATGAGAAGCCCAGAAGAAGATTCTTCTTCTGTTATAGATAGTTTGTATTGGAGCATTATTTATGTATGACATGCTGCTGTGCTGTGTGTACTATATTCTATACGATAAAAAAATTGCTTATAAAGGTCAAGCCTCAGCCTGGACCTTGGACTTGGAGGGTTTTCTTTTCTAGTTAAAAAAAAAGCTTGAAGCTTTCTTCCTTTGATTGAATTGATTAGTCTTTGTAAATAAATGAAATGATTTTGGCATGAAAATGCAAGGAACAGAATGATGAGTCTTTGGCTTTGCTGTAAAACTTGCTCTCTCCATCTCTTTGGAGGAAACACCTGAAAAGGGCATCAATGGCTCTTGTCTTGAAGCGTGCTTTTTCTTCTTAATACCTATCAATCAATCATCCGATTCCAGGGGCTGCACTCCTTTCCTCCCTCATCCAGTTTATTACGCATTTAGAAAAACACTGCCATTATTATAATTTATAACCCACCAAAATTATAATCATACATACAAGTCAGAGTAACTTACCCTTACGGTACCTAATATAATTGTCCAAGATATGCGCTAGCCAACAACCAAAGGAAGGAAGGAAGGAAGGAACCCCACACCAGACAGACATGAGTAGGAGAATTGAAAAATGGCTTTTGCTACTCCACAAATGGCATGCTGGACCCCCACCCCCTCCCATCATATTCATATATAATATGAGATACATGATCCATCCAAGAGAGACACAGAGAGAGAGAGAGAGAGAGAGGACAGAGGAGACCAAATGTCTCATCCCATCTTTTTCATTAATTACTCAATTCATTATGAAAAACTCCATTGTACTGGAGAAGTGCCACCTGAATCTTCTACTCCATAATTATTATGGCTTTGGCTTTTTGTTGGTGTTTGTTTCTTCGTCCTTTTCCCTGTTCAGTGCTTGCTGGGGTGGTTCACTGTTTTCACTATTCACAAGTCACAAGTCACAACCACACCATCTTTTTCTTTTTTTCTTTTTTGCGTTAGGAAGAAGTTAGCTACCTGCAATAATGCAATCATTCCTTTGGTTTGGTCAACCACCAACACTGCCCCCTTAAGTCAAATGGTTCATGTGTTTGTTTGAGAATTGGCATCCAAATTGAAGAAGCAGCAAACAAATCAAGTGACCAAAAAAGTTCTGGGCTGAAAATTCATATCCAACAGAAGCTCAGAATGTGATTCTAGGTATGCGGGCCAAAAGTCCAATGCAGGCCGGAGAGTTGTTTCATTTTCCCTAAGTGCTGCTAGATCCAACATGTCCGCTAGACTTGTGCTCAAATCTCATATAAATGACATTTACTATAGTAAGTAAAACTAACCTAAACAAGAACACAGCACGGCATGGCATTATACGTAAATCTCCAACACAAACATACATTTCGTGTTAATTACATACTAAGCAAGTTCTGCATCATGCGTGTCATGTTGTTGTTTACAAAATTACAAACACTCCGCAAAAAGCAAGCTAGTTCTACATGTAACAATTAATTATATCTATCCATTACATACATTTATTATGAATGAATGAACGAAAGAGGCCGGCAGCGACTGCTCCACCAAAGACATATCTGTCATTCATTATATGTTCAGCGGGCCCTGGACAAAAATATAAAACAAGGTCAACTTTGAGTAGTAGAGGCGGATGTCCATGAAATTACAATTATTTAACAAGCTCCTATGCTCTGCTTCAAATGGAAGAAGAAGAAACATTTATCCCTGAAAGAAAATACATACAAGAATCAACTTTAAATAACCTACCAGGTACCAACCAAACAGGGGCTGACCAAAGAGCCTTGTATTGTATCAGATAAAACCAACATCACTAGCAGAGTATCCGAATCTGAAGCAACCCCACAACTCAATACTTGATTGATCTCCTCATTCCGGAACAGTATTGGGGAAGAAGATTAAATAAAGTGGAAGGCATCCATACCTTGCACATGGATGATATTTTACATATAAAACCAATCAATTCCTCACTTTCCATTTAAGCATGCCTCAATCTGTGCTGAAGACCGGATATGCAAAAAGAGCCTCCATTATTGCATATGTTGGAAGTTTCCATGACATGTTTCTTCCGAGGGAAAGATCACAAAATGCTGCACTCAATTCAAATATCGACGTTTAACTGGCTATCTATTCACATAAAAGATATGCAGCTGATTTCAGCACACAGCATATTAGATTAAAGCTCTAGCATGCTGAGTCACCAATCTTCAATATTGCAAGGCAACAGTATACAAGGACATTAGGTGAGCAAAAACATCAAAAACATTCAAAATTCATGGCAGCAAGTAGTCTGGGATGTTAATTACTTGAGCAACCACTTCTCATTCAACGTCATAGCAGAAGCCATAAAAAATACACATAAGAGGCCATTACAGAGAAGTTCATTGTTTGTGCCTTAAGAACCCAACAAGTCTGGCACAATAACACTCACATGCTAAAGAGACTGCAATTACATTAAATTAAAGGACCAAATACAAAATATCTCACTAAAGAGACCCTTGAATTCAGGAGAAAAAGCAGTGGATGGAATTCCTAAAATTCAGGAAGCTCTTACTCTTCACAATATACACCCCAAAACTTCTAAGTGAAATTTTCCCTTAGCATTTCAAACAGCCTCCCTATTACCACGAGTTAGGAAGATATATTATGGCTTAAGCTTACAGCAGGTCAATTTACATCATACCTCATATTTTTTCGGGAACAAAGTTTAAAAGAAATAAGTATTACAAAGACACAATCCATTAATAGTTCTATTCCTTCAAAAACTGTTTTCACAAACAATGAAATTAGTGACAGATTGTACAACATAAAATTATGTTCATATGTGCACCAGATCGAGAGTTAGCCTGTAACCCCTCAGCGCATATTGCAATGTTAATCACATGACATATGAACCATAACTTAAAAAAAGAAAAGGCAACGAGTGGTATATGAGAGCAATACTTTATGATAGATTCCTAAGCTCCATTGCATACTCACTATATCCATACAAGAAGTGAACAAAAATAACTAAGGAGAATCCAATGAAACTCCTACAAATTTATTTGTCCAATAAAAATTCAACTTCTTGCTCTTGTTTTACGATTCATAATCAAAATATCCAAAACATAAGAATCATGTGAGACGTGAAGCATTCAAGGACTCGTCTCTTAAGTTTTTTCATTTATGCATGCATAAGAAGCTAGGATTACATCATGTATAAGTAATTACTCTCTAAACTGAAACTGTGTTTAAGTAATAAGCATCCTAAGAAATCTTGGCCATTTATGCTCTTCAGGAATAAAGGCATGAGAATCAGAAGGACCTCTGATTGGAAATGTGAAAGCATTCCTATGTACACACATGAAAAACATTGAGAGTTCCTGATCACCACAACCACTGACAATATATATACCCACGAAGGTTGCATGGGAAAACTTGTAAAGTACTTTCCTCGCGTAACCCTTCCTAGATCTCATCATTTCTAAAAGAATGCCATTGACCAAACTTTCCTTACTTTCTACAATCTAATCATAAACCGTTTAGGAAAATCCAATAGTAGAGATTCATCATTCATCTCCCATACGAACACTTTTTGTAACTGTTGATTTACTTGGTTCACTTTTAACACTAGCGTTTACATATGTGAATCACTGCTGGATCTAGTCGTATGGGATAAGATTTCCTACTATAAATGAACTCTCGAGTTATAAGTTCGTACAACAAAAAACATATAAGTTAGTCAATCAAGGTATTCGAAAACTAGAGTTGGCATGGAAGTATCTAAGATAGTACAGAGGATTCATTTATGTGAAACCAATAAAATTCTATAAGCTGAGGCAAATTACAATTCGGATACCCATTTTGAAACGGTCATAATACAAACTTCAACAACAGAAAGCTAGCTCATCTGTGTAACCTTATTTAGAATGTACAAGAAACAAAGAACCATATCCCAACAAAAATCTAAATCATTTTTTTTTGTACATTAACTATCCCAACAAAAGGAGAAACAATAAACCAAAAACCCAACTCACCTCCACTGATGACAACAGTTATAACCGCAAAATCGACCACTTCTCAGATTTCCACTGGCAATTCACCTCATGGAATGGTTACCACTAAGAACCTGAACCAAATTTGAAGCATTTTTTCTAATCCTTTCATTATCGTCTTCAACCAAACCCACACAAATAGCCAAAGCCCCTTCATTTCTAGCTTCCACACACATTGGTTCACTAAAAGAACACAGTGAATTCAAAGTAAGGAGCGCATATTGAACCCCCCTAGAGCTCCCATTCTCCAAAACCCTCACTAATATCCCCACACACCCATTAAACCTCTCCATCTCTTCCCTACCTTCCCTGCACTTAGCCAATAGACCCAGAACTTCGACCGCCCGTTCCAGGCCCGATTCGGCAATTCGGATCAAAATCGACACCGCCCCACATTCCACGGCCCGGCGCCGATTATCCGGGAACAAACAGATGGTGTAAAGCGCCGTAGCCGCCTCTTTCTTCTCTCGACTTTTTCCGTCCCTAAGAAGCGAAACCAGCGCCCGAATTGCATAAGGGTATGCCCCAATTGTGGCCTTATTGACCTCCACAACGGCTAAGCTCGTCAACATGGTTGCCGCCACGGCTCGGCTATTGGGGGACCCACCTTGCAGCACCGTTACGATTCGAGCGATGGCTCCCTCGGCTACAAGACCCACTTTGTTATCGTCGTCCAAACTGACATTGAGCAGCAAAGTTAGGGCCTTTTCTTGGAGGCGTGGCTCGTCCGAGTCGACACACTTGAGGACGGCAGAGACGGCGCCTGACTCGGTGAGTTTGGCGCGAAAGGCGGAGTCGCGCTTGGAGAGGCGAGCGAGCTGGTCGAGCGAGTCGAGCTTGGACTCGAGGGTTGAAGCTCGGGAAGTGAGAGATGAGATTAGGGTTGGGGGTTGGTAGTGGCGTTGCTGGTGGTGGTGGTGGTATTGGTGGTGGTGTTGATGTTGGTGTTGTAATTTGGCAGGGGAGAGAAGGGTATAACTGGAAATCAGGCTGCGGAGGGCGTGGTTGGGGATGAGGGAAGGGTGGTCGGGAAGGGGCAATTTGGTAATAGGGCAGGTGCGGTGGCCGGCGTCAAGCCAGCGTTGGATGGAGGGCCGATCAAAGGTGTGACCCGAAGAGAGTATAACCGGGTCGGACATTATTTCGAGCGAAATCGGGCACTTGAAATCGTCCGGGAACTGAGTCGCCATTTCTCAACTCGCTCGCGTCACTCGTGAAAAATCAATGAGAAAGAAAAGGGTTTACGAGGTTTTCGTGTGCTACAGGTTGGGTGTGTTTTTGAGACTTCCAGCCTTTGGGAGAGAGAAGAGGAGAGAGAGAAGAGAAGAGAGAGACAAACAGCGACTTTCACCACCAAATCCTAATTCTCTGAATTCTAAATACACACTTGCAGTCCAAAAAAAGAAAAAACAATTGTAATAAACTTTGTCAATTACCGTTATACCCTTCCAAAGCTTTTTTTTCTATTCTCCTTCGGCCAAGAACGAGTTTTCACCTCATTGGCCAGCAAAAAATAAGGGTTTCCACTCTCAATTGTCGAAGATTCAAGTTAGCTGAGTTTAGTCATGATAGTGTCTCCGTTTCATTGTATTTAAGTTCGAGTCTTCTTCTCTGTAAATCATATTAGTTATAGTGACTTAGACTATCGATTATATATATAGCAATTGACACGATATTTTATGAGAAATGACTATAATGCCCTAATAACATAAGTTACTCTTTTTTTTTCTAATTTGGAAATTTATGAAGAACATGAGCTGGTGTCGGTTACTTACCAAAGAGTGTCGCGTGCCTTCTTTTCAAATTTTCAAAGGGAGGAAAGTCATCATTCCCTCTCTGCTTTTTTTACTGAATGACCCAAAAAGGTCATGTCTTTAGCAGATGCCGCAGAGGGGTGATTTGGGAAAATCAGATTTCTGCTTCGTTTCTAACGGTTCTCTAGTTTTAATCACCGTCACGGGAAACCTCTACAGTAACCCTGGTCCGGAATAATGGAATCAATCACCAACCTTTACTTTTAACGGAATGACTTAAATGCCCCTGTTAGAGTCAATCTTGCGGGCCAAAAAATATTGCCTACTTGGAAAACACGTGTTTCCTTCTGATTATGTCACGTGAGTGAACAGCCCTCACCGGTTTCACACCAGAGATCAAGACACAGAAGCACACGGTGACTTTAACAAATCACAAATTAAGTTTGACTAATCCTCCAATTAAGTTTGACTAATCCTCCAATAGATCAATTTGAGCAAGACGTGCTAAGCAATCATACCAATTTATTTTGTTTAAAAATCCAGTAAAAATAAATAAACCTCAAATTCCCCGTCCATATGAACATAACTATAAAAAAAAATGTGAACACTAGTAAGTCTAAACATAATTATTTAGTAATTTAATTAATAATTTGGTTATATCGTCACGATTGTCAGAAAAAAAAAAGATACATTTCTAAGTTGAATGAGACGTAATTCGTGCTTAATTATATGTTCTTTTAAATTTTGTCATCAAGATGATCTTTGAGCTTTTTTATAAGTTTTCCTTCCATATTCTAATGCGAGGTGTGCCTCGTACAAGTTATCTCACCGTTATTAAATCATCAATTGCTTAACTGCGACATTTAATTAGATTAGATTAGGGACGTCATGAGGAAAGCGACGTGCATGCATAATTAAATATTGTGCCTTGAAGATTAACCCAAACAAACTATGGATGATGCTGACTGTACAGGACACATAAGATAAAAGCCTAATTAAATTTCCATTCAAGGGTAACGACAAAAATCGGTCATAATTATCAAAGCACTCATTCAAGAATCTGTTTATGTTCACAGCCAACTCTAATCCATTGAATTTTAATCAAGAGGGGGAAGAAATTTGAATGTCTCGTTGTTTTTCTTAACTTCAATATTTGATTGATCAAGTATAGAAAAACAAATCTCAACCTCCTTCCTTTTCGAATACTTTTTATTTATTTATTTATAACTTCTTTGCTTTCATTTCTCAAAGTTTAAATTTATGGTATGAATAATACTAGTCTTACCACATTTATACACCACAATTTTATACCACATGATATGGCAATTTATATGTTATATGTACATACCACATCAGCTAATTAATATGATTAACATTTTTTATTATTATTAAAATATACTTCATTGATTTAATTAATGTAACATATGATATGGACATACATCATGTGGTATAGAAATGTGGAATAAAAATGTGGTAAGTGTATCATTACTTTTTATAGTATAACTCGTCTCTACGTAACCAAAGTGGATAAAATAATTACGGTAGAAGTAGAACCATGCATGCACCGCCCTTTTGAATACTTTAGTTTGGTGGTGTGTAAAAAAAAAGTTCCCCCTCGTATAATAAAAGCTCTCATAGTCTCGAGAAATATTCTTTACTTTTGTTGCATTGTTTCGTTCTATTTATGTTTTTATGTCACTTATCAAAGAAGGAGAGAGATAGGAAGAATGAGACAATGCAACATGAGTACTCTTTCTCATGTCAGTTATCAAAGAAAGAGAGATAGAAAGAATGAGACAATACAACACGAATGTGGAAGTTTTTCTCCAAAATCTCAGTCAAACAAAACAGAAAAGAGAAAAAAAGAAAATCTATTATTTAAGACCGTTATAGAACTTTACCCAAAAAAAAGCGTTATAGAAACTCATCTTTAATAATAGAAAAAAATAAATAATAATAAGTTTAAATCCTAACAAATAATATTATGCATAGCCCCAAAAGTTAAAAATAACATAATATAATCCCATTTAAAGTTTTTAACACAAAAAATTAAGAAGGTTATTGCAAAACAAAAAAAGAAAGAGGATGCGAAAATGACATGCTGAACAAGTAGAAAGTGATGGCATGGATTATTTAGATCATCTAACATATAAATTAAGGGAGAAAGTGAGCGATGGATGGACCTCGAAAAGTTCTCAGCAAAAGGAAAAAAAAAAAAAACAACAGCAAAAAAAATTAAGAGATAAAACGTGATCCATGAGTTAAACTACATTCAATCATACTAATCACAGCTTAATTACAAATACTAATTAATAAGCTTCAAGCTAATATTGTAGTGCACATTACTACTTGTACTAATTAGCTTATAACATACAACATTTTGCAGCCTATGCCCTTCATTAGCGAGCTTCTATTTTTGTACATGTTACATCGTTTACAGAGTAAGCTCCTTCAGTGCTGGCTAATGGATCTCCACTAGTATGATAACTTCTCTTAACCAAAAATCCAGGTTGCCTTGGTGAAGGAACTGTTGCATTATTTCCCAGCATGGACACAACCCCTGACATTGTCGGACGATTAGTCGCGTGCTCCTGAACGCACAAGAGCGCGATTTGAATGCATCTTACAACTTCATCGACAGGGTATGATTTGCCCAAAGTTGAGTCAATGATTTCCGAGGCTCTACCTTCTTTCCACAAGTCCCAGACCTGAACGTACACAGCTTACAAATTAATCAAGTTTGGGGAATAAGTAGAGAGTAGTTAGGCTTTCAAATAGCTAGACTTGTATGCTTGCTTACATGTCCAACCAAATTTGAGTCTGGATTGTCATGGTAGTATCGGGTATTCTTTCTGCCACTGACGATTTCTAGCAGTAAAACGCCGAAGCTATATACATCACTCTTTACTGAAAACAATCCTTGCATTGCGTACTCTGGTGACATATAACCACTGCAGCAAAAACACAACATAATTTTGTACTCCTTCAGTTTGTGGCATTGTGACATAAAGTTGACATTATAACAAATAGGGGTACAAGAAATTGGTAAGATATCTTTTATTGTGAAGGAAACTTACTATGTCCCAACCACACGATTTGTATTTGCTTCGATTTGTTCTGCTCCAAATATTCTAGCTATGCCAAAATCTGAAATCTTAGGATTCATAGCAGAATCCAGTAGAACATTGCTGGCCTTTAGATCTCTATGGATGATTCTTAATCTCGAATCGTGATGAAGGTATAAGATCCCTCTGGCAATCCCATAGATAATCTCAAGGCGTTTTGGCCAATCTAAAAATGCCCTTTTTGCTTCATCTGATAAAAAAGTCGGAAATTAGACAACATTCATGCCTGATTTAACTTTTAAAGAGGCAGTGAAAGATGTAGTAGCGAAAAGAAGACGTACTAAAAATGAAAGAGTCTAGACTTTTGTTAGGCAAGTATTCATAGATTAGCATCTTCTCTTCATCTTGAACGCAGCAACCTAATATCCTGACAAGGTTCCGGTGCTGGAGTTTTGCAATAAGCATAACTTCATTCTTAAACTCTTCAATTCCTTGGCCTGAATTCTTGGCTAGTCTTTTCACTGCTATTTCCTTCCCATTGTAAAGCACACCCTGATCACATCATAATCCAAATTTAACTCATTGTGCAGATATCCTATCCCTCAAAATGCACTTGCATTGTACATTCAAAAAGAGTAAAATCGATGCATGCACATTCATCACGTGAGGGAAAATCAAAATACCTTATAGACAGAGCCGAAACCGCCTTTTCCAAGCTTGTTATTGGAAGAGAAATTGTTTGTTGCTGCAGCTATGGTACGCAGTTCAAAGATTGGCAAGTATGAGTTTATTCTGCTTTCCCCAAGATTTGTTCTAACATGAGAATCTTCCAAGTAGGTTGATGCTGTGGTCAGACTGAAGGAAAGTTTATCTTGTCTTCGCTTACCTGCCATCAAATACAGAAACAAATAATCTTAACATAGTTTGTGAAGCTCCAGTCATTTCCAAAAATGAAAATAAAGACCCCAAGAATTTCAGACAATCTGAATGCAGTACGTTATGTTGATTATAGCTTTTTTCTTATTAACAAACAATAATTAGAATTAGTGAAAGTAAATTAGTTTACCTTTTCTCTTCCTCTTTGCCAACCAAAACACAATGCAGAACAAGAGAAAGAACACTAGACCAGATGCTAGTGAAACTGCCAGCTTCTCCTTATGGCCAAGAGAACCATTTGACTTCATTGCATATTGAGCTGCAGAGATACGAAGGGACCAATGAGAGAAAATTGAAATTAAAATAAAACCCAATTAACTCAATTTTTGGTGTTTATGGAAAATCCCAAAAATTCTATAGAAAATTGGCATTAGTTTTTATTTTTTGTTTTTGTACAAGCGATGTTGAAAGAGGGGGGGATTCGAAATGAGAACCCTAAGTGCGAGAATAATTATTAAGTAATTACTCTTAACCACTTGAGCTACAAATTTATTGAGAAATTTGGTACTTGTTTGTTAAACAAAGAAAGAAGATAAATTGATGAAGGAACCATACCTAAAACAGTTGCATTAACTCGAACGTATAAATCTTGACCCAAATTCGAATAAGTCCTCGTGTCCACCAAGTCCCCATGCCATGTCACGCACCCAATCCCTCCCTTTCTTTCATCTGCACTTGAGTACGCCATGCAAGAACAATTCCTCAAGCACTCCGCTTTGCACGCTTCCAGACCCATACTCAAGTTCACACGTGCTGCCGACGAGTCAGGCGCCTTTACACGTGGCACCTTCACGAACCCTTCCCCGTTTCGACAAAGGGACGCTCTTTTTGTACTCACGCACCCACCCGACCCGTCTCGCAAAATACCATTCGTGGAGCAGCTTGGGTTCGAAACCGGGTAGGCACGTGCACTCGAACTTATCCACATTGTACGGGTCACAATTGCTATTTGCACCGCACCTTCCATATTCGTCACACTGCTCTTGCGGGGCCGACCAAAACTTGACCCACTGGTGTACCTGATTATACCACGTGGACCGTTCAACGATTCCTGATTCATCAAGCACCAGCCGCGAGAAAATTGATTCATCTGTGATAGTAAACACGATAGATAGCTCATCTTGATTGTTCACAAAAGTGACGTTGAATATGAAACTATTTGTCATTTCGGGCACACCACTCCATCTCTCCTTGATCCATGCCCTGCCCCGCCAGTGCGGGGCTTGACCCTTGTATAAAAACAGCTGCGGAAACCCACTCGGGTCAATCCCATACGAACAGGTACCAGTTCCCGGGTCATCTTTGGACTTCCAGGATGTGAGAAACCGGTTCAGCTTGGATTGCCGGTCCAGCCCAAGTTTCATAAATGGGAGCATTGTGTTAGAGGGATAATCAAAGCCTTGCCAGAGAGGACTTTGGCTACCGTTTTCAAGCAAAACAAGGTTCCCTGTATCCAAGAGCTTGGCTTTGGAGTTGTTTGGTGAAGAGACTGTGACATTAGCGGACCAAAGTGGACTGCTTTGGTTCTTCCAGTAGATTACAAGGCCGCCATGGCTGTTAATGGCTAGGAGGCCAGAGGTATCAGTGACAGGATTGTCTCTGTTTGCAACCCAGACGATGGTTTGCTCTGGAACTTTGTTGTACCAAACTCCAACAAAGCGTTTCTGAGAATTGCCGGGACTGAAGAACCCAAGTGCAAAGATTTTCTTGGTAGACACCAAAACGTCGCCATCTCTGAGGGGTTGGTTTGGCGTAATGGTGTCGAGGGAAAAAATGCAAGTAGGGAGAAGAACAAGGAAGATAAGCAATATGTGGGTGATCATGTCCGTGGTTGGTTTTCTCAATGATGATTTTGATTGCAATGGGAAATAAAGATGAGTTTTTAATTTTTAATTTTAATTTTTTTATTTATTAAGGCTGAAATTGATACGCTAGAGGTAGAGGGTAGCTGAGATTTTACACACACAGAGGTCCACCTGGGAGTGGTTGTAGAAAGAGAGCATGACATAGACACTCAAGCTGTTTAGTTATTGGGTGGAGTTTCTCTAAGTGTTGAAAGGTGATGAACTACAAAGTTGACTTTATTTATCAGATTGGGTTCTTATGTCCAAGTTCGTAGCGTATACGAAGGAAAATCTTGCTCACAGATTAGACTTGAGACTTTTCAAGTCTTTATGTTCAGCAATTGATCAACGAAAATAATTCTAACTTGCCCCCACGTCAACTGATAAAGAAAATTGAAAATTGTTGTTTTAAACAAACTTTTTTATATATATTTTTAATTTTAAAAATATGATACTTTTGCAAGCTTAGGGAGTAGCATTTGCATCAACAAACCAATTTGGGTTGGCCCTTTCATGTAGCAACAAATTATATTATGTGGTAAATAATCTTTTGCAAGCTGCTGTAGGTACCATTTTCAAATCCGGACTGTGCCAAAACCGCCTTTTCCAAGCTTGTTTGCGACAGAGAAATTGTTGGTGGCTGCTGATATGGTTGCTAGATACAAAAAAGGTAAATCTGAGTTTATTCTAGTTTCATCAACATCTGCAGTAGAGTCTTCCAAGTGAAAATTTATAGTCTCTTTGTTTACATGCAAGTAAATGCAGAACAAGTAATCTTATAGCCTTCTAGTCATGAACAATGTGAGAACTGAGTAAAATCTATCTGCCCTAAACTTATATGAATCTTAAATATAGCTTGTAGCAAACGACGACGTATTTGAACAAGAATACCCTACCAGTCAGCATGCCAGTGCCACATTAGTAGGAAGACAATCGTGCAATCCAAAGATCCTTTCTTCCTCCTTGCCACGCAATACCAAAAGAAAACTACAATAAGGAGCTCTAGAGCAGCCACTACTGAAATTGCTATCTTCCCCCTTTTGCTAAGAGATCCATTCTTTGAATATTCACCTAAATTCAAATAAAAGCCAATCAGCTTATGATTACGCATCCAACATTAACCCAAGAATAAAAATAGGCCATCAACAATTTCGGCAACTATGGAATCTGATTTATGATTTTTATATTTTAATTGTTTTTTTTTTGGTCGGAATTTTTATTTTAATTGTTGGAAGTCCTTCATGCGACTCTGCATTTATTATCATTAGGCTCCTGAAAGATTTTTAAATAAGTTGATCTTTGAGTATAATTTTTTTTTAAACAAACGAAAAAAAATTATGCTATGATGAGTAGTTCACGCTTCTATTGGTCATAATTACAAGAAAAATAAGGGAAAATGATACCTAATGTAATTGCATCAACTCGTATGTATAAATCTTGACCCATATCCAAATATGTCCTTGTGTCCATCAAATCTCCATGCCATGATTCCACCCTTCGCCTTCTCATCCTCACTCGTGTACGCTATGCAAGAACAATTCCTCATGCATTCCTTCTCACATACTTTCAAGCTCAAACTCATGTTCGCACGTGCAGTGGACGAGTCTGGTATCTTCACACGTGCCAACTTCACGAACCCTTCCCCGTTTCGACACGTGGATGTTCCCTTTTTTTTCATGCACCCAACCAACTTGTTGGAGTACTTCCACTCATAGTCCGACTTGGTAAATTAAGAGATAAAACGTGATCCATGAGTTAAATTACATTCAATCATACTAATCACAGCTTAATTGCAATTACTAATTAATAAGCTTCAAGCTAATATTGTAGTGTACATTACTACTTGTACTAATTAGCTTATAACGTACAACATTTTGCAGCCTAGGCCCTTCATTAGCGAGCTTCTATTTCTGTACATGTTACATCATTTACAGAGTAAGCTCCTTCAGTGCTGGCTGATGGGTCTCCACTAGTATGATAACTTCTCTTAACCAAAAATCCAGGTTGTCTTGGTGAAGGAGCTAATGCATTATTTCCTAGCATGCACACAACCTCTGACATTGTTGGACGATTAGTCGCGTGCTCTTGCACGCACAAAAGTGCAATTTGAATGCATCTTACAACTTCATCGACAGGGTACAATTCGCCCAAAGTTGAGTCAATGATTTCCGAGGCTCTACCTTCTTTCCACAAGTCCCAAACCTGAACGTACACAGCTTACAAATTAATCAAGTTTGGGGGCAATAAGTAGAGAGTAGTTAGGACTTGCAAATAGCTAGACTTGTATGCTTGCTTACATGTCCAACCAAATTTGAGTCCGGATTATCATGGTAGTAACCAGTATTCTTTCTGCCACTGACGATTTCTAGCAGTAAAACGCCGAAGCTATATACATCACTCTTTACCGAAAATAGTCCTTCCATAGCGTACTCTGGTGACATATAACCACTGCAGCAAAAACGCAACATAATTTTGTACTCCTTCAGTTTGTGGCATTGTGACATAGGATTGACATTATAACAAATAAGGGTACTGGAAATTGGTAAGATATCTTTTATTGTAAAGGAAACTTACTATGTCCCAACCACACGATTTGTATTTGCTTCGATTTGCTCTGCTCCAAATATTCTAGCCATGCCAAAATCTGAAATCTTAGGATTCATAGCAGAATCCAGTAGAACATTGCTGGCCTTTAGATCTCTATGGATGATTCTTAATCTCGAATCTTGATGAAGGTATAAGATCCCTCTGGCAATCCCATAAATAATCTCAAGGCGTTTTGGCCAATCTAAAAATGCCCTTTTTGCTTCATCTAATAAAAAAGTTGAAAATTAGACAACATTCATGCCTGATTCAAGTTTTAAAGAGGCAGTGAAAGATGCAGTAGCGAAAAGAAGACGTACCGAAAATGAAAGAGTCCAGACTTTTGTTAGGCAAGTATTCATAGATTAGCATCTTCTCTTCATCTTGAACGCAGCAACCTAAAATCCTGACAAGGTTCCGGTGCTGGAGTTTTGCAATAAGCACAACTTCATTCTTAAACTCTTTAATTCCTTGGCCTGAATTCTTGGCTAGTCTTTTCACTGCTATTTCCTTCCCATTGTAAAGCACACCCTGATCATATCATAATCCAAATTTAACTCGTTGTGCAGATATCTTGTCCCTCAAAATGCACTTGCATTGTACATTCAAAAAGAGTAAATCGATGCATGCAATACATCATGTGAGGGAAAATCAAAATACCTTATAGACAGAGCCGAAACCACCTTCTCCAAGCTTGTTATTGGAAGAGAAATTGTTTGTTGCTGCAGCTATGGTACGCAGTTCAAAGATTGGTAAGTCTGAGTTTATTCTGCTTTCCCCAAGATCTGTTCTAGCAGGAGAATCTTCCAAGTAGGTTGATGCTGTGGTCAGACTGAACGAAAATTTATCTTGTCTTCGCTTGCCTGCCATCAAATACAGAAACAGATAATCTTAACATGGTTTGTGATTGTGAAGCTCCAATCATTTCCAGAAAATGAAAATAAAGACCCCAAGAATTTCAGACAATCTGAATGCAGTATGTTAAGTTGGTTATAGCTTTTTCTCATTAACAAACAATAATTAGAATTAGTGAAAGTAAATTAGTCTACCTTTTCTCTTCCTCTTTGCCAACCAAAACACAATGCAGAACAAGAGAAAGAACACTAGACCAGATGCTAGTGAAATTGCCAGCTTCTCCTTAAGGCCAAGAGAACCATTTGACTTCATTGCATATTGTGCTGCAGAGATACGAAAGGACCAATGAGAGAAAATTGAAATTAAAATAAAACCCAATTAACTTAAGATTTGGAACTCAATTTTTGGTGCTTATGGAAAATCCCCAAAATTCTATAGAAATTTGGCATTAGTTTTTATTTTTGTTTTTACACAAGCGATATTAAAAGAGGAGCGATTCGAACTCAAAACTTTGAATGCGAGAGTAATTACTCTTAACCACTTGAGCTACAAACTTGTTGAGAAATTTAGTACTTGTTTGTTGAATAGAAAAAGAAGATAAATTGATAAAGGAAGCATACCTAAAACAGTTGCATTAACTCGAACATATAAATCTTGACCCACATTCGAATAAGTCCTCGTGTCCACCAAGTCCCCGTGCCATGTCACGCACCCAATCCCTCCATTTCTTTCATCTGCATTTGAGTATGCCATGCAAGAACAATTCCTCAAGCACTCTGCTTCACACGCTTCTAGACCCATACTCAAGTTCATACGTGCTGCCGACGAGTTAGGCGCCTTTACACGTGGCACCTTCACGAACCCTTCCCCGTTTTGACAAAGGGACGCTCCTTTTGTATTCACACACCCACCCGACCCGTCTCGCAAAAACCATTCACGGTGCAGCTTGGGTTCGAAACCGGGTAGGCACGTGCACTCGAACTTATCCTTATTGGACGGGTCACAATTTCCATTTGCACCGCACTTTCCATATTCGTCACACTGCTCTTCCGGGGCCGACCAAAACTTGACCCATTGGTGCACCTGATTATGCCACGTGGACCGTTCAACAATTCCTGATTCATCAAGCACCATCCGCGAGAAAATTGATTCATCTGTCATAGTAAACACGACAGATAGCTCATCTGGATTGTTCACAAAAGTGACGTTGAAAATGAAATTCTTTGTCATTTCGGGCACACCGCTCCACCTCTCCCCGATCCATGCCCCGCCTCGCCAGCGGGGAGCTTGACCCTTGTATAAAAACAGCTGCGGAAACCCACTCGGGTCAATCCCATACGAACAGGTACCAGTTCCCGGATCATCTTTGGACTTCCAGGATGTGAGAAACCGGTTCAGCTTGGATTGCCGGTCCAGCCCAAGTTTCATAAATGGGAGCAGTGTGTTAGAGGGATGATCAAAGCCTTGCCAGAGAGGACTTTGGCTACCGTTTTCAAGCAAAACAAGGTTCCCTGTATCCAAGAGCTTGGCTGTGGAGTTGTTTGGTGAAGAGACTGTGACATTAGCGGACCAAAGAGGGCTGCTTTGGTTCTTCCGGTAGATGACAAGGCCGCCATGGCTGTTAATGGCTAGGAGGCCAGAGGTATCAGTGACAGGGTTGTCTCTGTTTGCAACCCAGACGATGGTTTGCTCTGGAACTTTGTTGTACCAAACTCCAACATAGCGTTTCTGAGAATTGCCGGGACTGAAGAACCCAAGTGCAAAGATTTTCTTGGTAGACACCAAAACGTCGCCGTCTCTGAGGGGTTGGTTTGGCGTAATGGTGTCAAGGGAAGAAATGCAAGAAGGGAGAAGAACAAGGAAGATAAGCAATATATGGGTGATCATAGTCATACACCATTTTGTAAAGTCCATGGTTGGTTTTCTCAATGATGATTTTGATTGCAATGGGAAATAGAGATGAGATTTTTATTTTTATTTTTAAAATTTTTTATTTAATAAAGCTGAAATTGATACGCTAGAGGTAGAGGTAGAGGTAGCTGAGATTTTTAACACACAGAGGTCCACCCAGCTGGGAGTGGTTGAAAAAAGAGAGCATGGCATAGACACTACGCAACCAGAATCTTAACTAGCTGTGTAGTTATTGGGTGGGGTTTTCTTCCTTTGGCAACTTAGAGAAATTTGAAAGCTTTTTTTAACAGAGAACGCGTGAATACTGCGAAGAAGCATCTTCAGAAGAAAAGGTGAAATGAACTTCAAAGTTGACTTTATTTATCAGATTGGGTTATTATGCCCAAGTTTGTAGCTTATACAAAGGAAAATCTTGCTCACAGATTGCACTTGAGACTTTTCAAATCTTTATGTTCAGCAATTTGATCAATGGTTGCAAATATATCGTGAGACCAATAATTCTAACTTGCCCCACACGTCAACTGATAAAGAAAATTGAAAATTGTTGTTTTAAACAAACTTTTTTACTATATATATTTTCACTTTTTTATTATATCTCGAGACCAATGATTCTCGTACCACTCCCATTGAGATTGGGAAGATTGGATTGTTGGTAATTTCGTACATAAACGATGTCTCATCTTGGTTGTTCTTGAAACTAAAATTGAACATACCCTGTAAGGTAAGGATGTGATTTCCGGGATACCGATCCACTTTTGGCCGGTCCAAGATCTGACCCGCCATTCTAGGGCTTGATCCTTGTACAACATCAACTGTGGCAAACTACTTGGGTCAATTCTGCATGAGTAGTTTCCGGTTCCCAGGTCGTCTTGGGACTTCAAAGATGTTAAGAACGAATTTAGCAGACCCATTTGTGACTTGGGTTAATTCGATAAGAATAATTCTCGATTCTGAGTCATCTTGGGCTTTCCAAGATGTTAAGAACATATTTGACCTGGACCATCGATCCAGCCCAAGTTTCATAAATGAAAGCATTGTATTTGCAGGATAATGAAAGCCTTGCCTTGCCAGAGAACCCTTTGGCTTCCATTTTCAATCAAAACCAGATTTTATGTATCCAAAAGCTTGGTTGTGATATTGTTTGGTGATGAGAGAGTAACATTGGGGACCAAAGAGGGGTAATGTTAACGTTAATGTTGACACAAGTGCAGTGCAGATGGTTGCTTATGTGTTGCAACTTGCAAGGACTCTGTACTTTCGTATACTTCTAAGGATGTCAATTTGTTCCTCAGCTTTGCACATATCTTCTTTATGAGTCAAAACAGTATGCAAATTTTTTGTTTTTCAGTTCAAATCAATATACGTTCTTTCGACCACAGAAGAAGTCCTCAAGATGTTTTGTACTAAAACAGGATAACAGGGGAATCAAATATCTTACCAAACAATTACAACCAAGATTTTAGTTGGAAGATTTACTAAATATTGTCTTAAGTTAGATAACAAAAAACAATAAATAAGACCTAACTGTAATATACATGACTAGGATGTATGTACAACATATAACTCATTAGCGTGCTTCGAGCATAGTTATCGTTACGTCATTTAGAGAAGGAGTTGATCTTTTTGATGCTGTTGAGTTTGGATTGCTGGATTGTAATATAAATGCAGGTTTCTTGGGAGAGGGAAGAGTTGTTTCATTACCCAACATAAAAATAACTTCCGACATGGTTGGCCTATCTGATGCACTTTCTTGCACGCAAAGTAGCCCAATCTGGATGCATCTTGAAACCTCATGAGCAGGATATGACTCCCCCAAGGATGGATCAACCATACCTAATGCCTGCTCCTCTGTCCACATATCCCAAATCTGATGCAATTCAGAAGATCAGTTTAGCATAAAGATTCGAAAGTAAAAATTCGTAAGTCATTGCATATGTATTTTAGAAATAGTTTGAATTGCCTACTTGTCCAATCAAATTTGGGGAGGGAGTTTGGTTATCATAACTAGTGTTCCTTTTGCCACTAATGATCTCTAGCAGTAACACACCGAAACTAAAAACATCTGATTTTTCTGAATATCGCCCTTCCATTGCATATTCTGGTGACATGTAGCCACTGCAGTCAGGCAAAAGTGAGATAAACCCTTGAGCTAGTACAATGTTTCATAATCACCATATGCTTCTAAGTTCGTGCACTTTGAAATACTTACTATGTTCCAACCACTCGGTTGGTTTTTGCTTGCATTTGGTCTTCGCCAAACATTTTAGCCAGTCCAAAATCTGAGATCTTTGGGTTCATAGTAGAATCCAAGAGGACATTGCTAGCTTTTAAATCCCTGTGGATAATTTTTAGTCTCGAGTCTTGATGAAGATATAAGACACCTCGAGCGATTCCAAATATAATTTCAAAACGTGTTTTCCAGTCTAACAACGAGCTTCTCCTTTTATCTGACCCAAAACATGAAACCTCCAGTCAGTATGCAGAGTTGGGAAATTAAGCACAAGCTAACATGTACAAGTTCTGTTGTGATAATTTATAGTTTAGTTCATCTAAGTTATGAGAAGCATTGTTTATCAAATTACAACAGTGGCTACTCGTGAATTGAAAAGTATACCAAATATGAAGAAGTCCAAGCTTTTGTTTGTCAAGTACTCATAAATCAACATCTTCTCTTTTGTATGAATGCAGCAACCAAAAAGCCTCACCAGGTTCCTGTGCTGAAGTTTTGCTATCAACATAACCTCATTCTTAAATTGCTCTAGACCTTGCCCTGAATTCTTTGATAGTCTTTTCACAGCCACCTCTTGTCCATTAGCTAATAGACCCTGAAATTGTCATCCAGACTTTAGTTTAGTGATTTAAAACAGTAATGAAAACATGAAATAAGCAATTCAGAGATCAAATTTAATTACAGAGCTATCATGTTTCACATACCTTATAGACTGGGCCAAATCCACCTTCGCCGAGCTTGTTAGCAGCAGAGAAATTGTTTGTAGCAGCAACTATGCTTTTTAGGTTAAAAAGTGATAGGTCTTGATGTGTTCTACTGTCATCATCATTCTTCCTTTCCCAGGGATATTCTTTAAAATAGAATTACTTTAATTTTTTGTCTAGAAAACAAAACAGAAAGGAAAAATGCATACTGGGTAACCGCAATTACTATATAAAGATTAAGAGTTAAGTTAATTCACATTTTAGTCTCAACTCAACCTATATTAGTTCATGTGTGTATTCTTTGCAGCACTTATTCTACACCAAATTCTATGATGCTGGCAGTGAAACCATGCATGTCATTTGAATCACTTGATATTAAAAGAAAACGAGTAGGAAGTTTGCTTACTTTTTCTCTTCCTCTTTGAACACCAACATCCAAAGCAAATGAAGAAGGATATCATAGCAATAGACACAACCAAAATTGGCAGCATCCCTTTTTTGGCAAGAAAACCCTTGGACTTCTTTGTGTACTCAGCTAATGTGGAAAACAAAAAGAAGAAGAAAAGCCTCAAATATTGACTATGCATGAGAAATAAAGGATGTGCAATGTTAGTACATAAAAAGGTTTTCTTCTGCTTTGACTCAGGAGAGGAGAACGGTAAGGAATCAAACTGTGTTTTAGAAATGTTAAGAGAAGTTTTCAATAAAAAAGAATACCTAACTCAAGTGCATCTACACGTAGGTATAAGTCTTGATCCCCATCTGCAAAATTCTTTGTATCTACTAACTTCCCATACCATGTCATGCACCCTATTATAGGTGCATTGCTGCTGATGGTGTATGCCAAGCAAGAGCAATCCCTCAAGCACTGCTGCTCACATGCTTTCCAACTCAAATTCATATCCACCCGTGCCCATGATGTATCAGGGACCTTCACTTTTACTAACTTGATGAAACCTTCCCCGTTCTTGCACGATTCGAGCCTCCTCACGCAGCCACTAGATGCATTTCTCATGTTCCATTCGTCTGGCAACTTGGGTTGGAACCCTGGTAGGCATCTGCATTCAAACATGCTGATACTGTCCGAGTCACAGTAACCAAACGCTCCACATCTGCCATAATAATCACATCTGTCCATGGGGCCAGACCAGATTTGATTCCATCCAAGGTCTTGTTCATACCAGTTAAATTGTTGGATCGTTCCAGAATAGTCTACCACAATTCTTGTGGAGATGGATGAGTTGAGAAGACCCCAAGTAACAGTAACCTCATCTTGATTGTTCAAAAAGCTAGAATTGGAGAAAGAAGTAGTTAGCACCACCGGTATGTCACTCCACCACCACCTACCAGTCCTCCAGTATCGAAGATTACCATTGTACAAGACCATCTGAGGAGCTCCATTTGGGTCAATCTTATAGGTGTAACTCCCGGTTCCCGGGTCATCTTCGGATTTCCAGGAAGTTAGGAACCAGTTGAATCCTGTCCGCTTGTTTATTCCAAGTTTCATGAATGGAATCACTGTATGAGTGAGATAATCGAAGCTTTGCCATGTTACCTTTTGGCTGTCTTGTTCAACCAAAACAAGGTTTCCAGTATCTAAGAGCTGAGCTTTGTATTTAGGATCAGGGGTGGATGATGATGAGATTGAAACATTGGATTTGGTGGACCAGAGAGTAATGTTGCTTTGGTTCCTGGCGTAGAGGATGAGGTTTCCATGTGCACCAATTGATAGGACCCCTGAGGTTTCATTGATAGGATTGTCTCTGTTTGCAACCCATACAACTGTTTTTTCTTTATCTCTCTTGTACCAGATTCCAACATACCGGTTGGTGGATTTTCCAGGGCTGAAGAAACCAAGCTCAAACACTTCTCCATTAGAGACTAGAACTTCACCATCTCTGATGGCTTGATCAGTTGTTATGCTATCTATCGAATTACAGCATCGGATAAGAAGAACGAATTGAACAAGTGCTGTAACGATTAAACCTTTCGTAAAATTCATGAACATATTTTGTAATGAAATGCGACTGAGCCCCAGGGAAGAAGTATGGTCCATTAAGAAACTTCAACAACTATCATGTGGTCAGAATTTGCTAACTCTAAGATCTTTCAATAATTTTTCGAATCTACTCTCGGATTGACTGACTATATAAGAAGACTAGGAAGTCCACTATGGCAGCTTTACACTCATTCTTCTTTCTTTTTTTCTTTTTTTTGTTGCTGTTTGACATTTATAGTATTTTCTAGCTCAATATTGCTACCGAATATCACAAGCAATACTTTGTTATACAAATCAGCTTTGCACATGTCTTCATGGAATCATGAGTCAACCAAACGGTGTTGTAGTAACTCCGGAGTCTCTAAGGCATTCTCACACTGCAATGGTTTTAAAAAATTTCAATGTGATTGGCAGAGTCTATATTATTATTGCAGGAAAGTTAAGTCCACTATGCCAGCTTTACAATATTGTCAACGTTCATGTTGACAGTTCTTAAATACTCTGTTCCAAGACAGGGGAGCTGGGGTGAACTTTTGTATACAAATCAAAATGTCAATTTGTTCCTCAGATTTGCGCGTCTTCTTCACGAGTCAAACCAATATGCAATTTTTATTATTATTATCATTATTTTCACTTCAAACCAATATAAATTTCGACCTTAGAACAAGTCTTCAATATGTTTTGTACTAAAACTGGATAACCACAGGGGAAGCAACATATTCTACTAAACAATTACAACCAAGACTTTTGTTGGAACAATTACAAAATATTGTCTTAAGTTTGATAACAAATGGCAATACATAAGACTTAACTGTAAGACAATAAAAAAATGAATATGATGTAGAACATATATGTCATTAGCGTGCTTTGAGCACCGTTATTGTTACATCATTTAGAGAAGGAGTTGATCCTTTTGATGCTGCTGAGTTTAGTTTGCTGGATGATTGTAATATAAATGCAGGTTTCTTGGGATAGGGAAGAGTTGTTTCATTACCCAACATGAAAATAACTTCCAACATGGTTGGCCTATCTGATGCACTTTCTTGCACGCAAAGTAGCCCAATCTGGATGCATCTTGAAACCTCATGAGCAGGATATGACTCCCCCAAGGATGGATCAACCATACCTAATGCCTGCTCCTCTGTCCACATATCCCAAATCTGATGCAATTCAGAAGATCAGTTTAGCATAAAGATTCGAAAGTAAAAATTTGTAAGTCATTGCATATGTATTTTAGAAATAGTTTGAATTGCCTACTTGTCCAATCAAATTTGGGGAAGGATCATAACTAGTGTTCCTTTTGCCACTAATGATCTCTAGCAGTAAAACACCGAAGCTGAAAACATCAGATTTTTCTGAATACCGCCCTTCCATTGCATATTCTGGTGACATGTAGCCACTGCATTCAGGGAAAATTGAGATAAACTAGTGAGCTAGTTCAGTGTTTCATAATAATCTCCATATGCTTCTAAGTGTATGTACTCTGTGAAATACTTACTATGTTCCAACCACTCTGTTTGTATTTGCTTGGATTTGGTCTTCCCCAAACATTTTAGCCATTCCAAAATCTGAGATCTTTGGGTTCATAGTAGAATCCAAGAGGACATTGCTAGCTTTTAAATCCCTATGGATAATTTTTAGTCTTGAGTCTTGATGTAGATATAAGACCCCTCGAGCTATTCCCAATATAATCTCAAAACGCTTTTTCCAGTCCAACAATGAGCTTCTGCTTTTATCTGGTCCAAAACATGAAACATCCAATCTCAGCATGCAGCTTGGGGAAAGCAAACGCTAACATTTACAAGTTCTGCTGTAACTGATTCTTCATATATGCTTTAGTTCATTTAATCTATGAAAAGACGTACCAAATATGAAGAAGTCCAAGCTTTTGTTTGCCAAACATTCATATATCAACATCTTTTCTTCGGCATCAATGCAGCAACCAAAGATCCTCACCAGGTTCCTGTGCTGAAGTTTTGCTATCAACATAACCTCATTCTTAAATTGTTCTAAACCTTGCCCTGAATTCTTTGATAGTCTTTTCACAGCCACCTCTTGTCCATTAGCTAAAAGTCCCTGAAATTGCCATTCTGACTTTAGTTTAGTGATTCAAATTTAAAAACAGTATTGGAAATGTCATGAGCAATTGTGAGATACGTTTAATTAGGAAATTATCATGCTTCACATACCTTGTAGACTGGGCCAAATCCACCTTCGCCGAGCTTGTTAGCAGTAGAGAAATTGTTTGTAGCAGCAACTATGCTCTCTAGGTCAAAAATTGTCAGGTCTTGATGTGTTCTTCTACTATCATCATTCTTCATTTCCCTTGGATATTCTTCAAAACAGAATTAAATTACTTTAATTTTGTTGCCTAGAAACTGAACTATACAACTGAAAGAAAAAATGCTTACTATATAAGGATTAGGGTTAAGTCTCGGCCTTTTTTAATTCATCTGTGTATTCTTTGCAGCATTTATTCAACACCAAATTTCATTATGTTGGCAGTGAAATGATACATGTCAGATGACTCACATGATGTTAAAAGAAAAAGTGTAGGAAGTTTGCATACCTTTTCTCTTCCTCTTCGCAAACCAACATCCAAAGCAAATGAAGAAGAATACCATAGCAATAGACACTACCAAAATCGGCACCATCCCTTTTTTGGCAAGAAACCCCTTGGACTTCTTTGTGTATTCAGCTAATGTGGGAAACAAAAAAAGAAGAAGAAAAACCCTCAAATATTTTCTATGGATGAGAAACAAAAGATATGCAATGTTAAGAATCCAACCATGTTTTGATTCGGGGGAGGAGAATGATAAGAATTATTCTAGAAATGTTAGAGAAGTTGTCAATAAAAAAGAATACCTAACTCAACTGCATCCACACGTATGTACAAGTCTTGACCCCCATCTGCAGAATCCCTTGTATCTACTAAATTCCCATACCATGCCATGCACCCTATCATATTTGCATTGCTGTTGATGGCGTATGCTGAGCAAGAGCAGTCCCTTAAGCACTGCTGCTCACATGCTTTCCAACTCAAATTCCTATCTATCCATGCCCACGATGTATCAGGAATCTTCACTTGTTCTAACTTGACGAAACCTTCCCCATTCCTGCATGCCTCGAGCTTCCTCACGCAGCCACTCGATGCATTTCTCATGTTCCATTCATCTGGCAACTTGGGTTGGAACCCTGGTAGGCATTTGCACTCAAACGCACGGAGACTCTCCGAGTCACAGTAACCAAACTCTCCACACCTGCCATAAATATCACATCTGTCCCTGGGGCCAGACCATATATTATTCCATCTGAGGTCTTGTTCATACCAGTTAAATTGTTCGATCAATCCCAAATGGGCTGCCACGATTCTTGTGGAGATGGATGAGTTGAGGACACCCCAAGTAACGATGATCTCATCTTGATTGTTCACATAGCTGGCATTGAAGATATTAGTATCTAGCACTACCGGTATGTCACCCCACCACCACCTAATCCCATTCCAGTTACCAGTCCTCCAGTATCGAACATTACCATTGTAGAAGATAATCTGAGGAGCTCCATTTGGGTCAATCGCATAGGTGTAATTCCCCGTTCCCGGGTCATCCTCGGATTTCCAGGAGGTCAGGAACCAGCGGAATCCTGTTCGCTTGTCAAGGCCAAGTTTCATATGCGGAAGGATTGTATCCGTGGGGTAGTCAAAGCTTTGCCATGTTACCTTTTGGCTGTCTTGTTCAACCAAAACAAGGTTTCCAGTATCTAAGAGCTGAGCTTTGTATTTAGGATCAGGTGTGGATGATGATGAGATTGAAACATTGGATTTGGTGGACCAGACAGGAATGTTGGTTTGGTTTCTGGCGTAGAGGATGAGGTTTCCATGTGCATCAATTGATAGGACCCCTGAGGTGTCATTAATAGGATTGTCTCTGTTTGCAACCCATACAACTGTTTTTTCTACATCTTTCTTGTACCAAATCCCAACATAGTGGTTGGTGGACTTTCCGGGTCTGAAGAACCCAAGCTCAAACACTTCACCATTAGAGACTAGAACTTCACCATCTCTGATGGCTCGATCAGTTGTTATGCTATCTATCGAATTGGAGCACCGGATAAGAAGAACAAATTGAACAAGTGCTGTAATGGTTAAACCTTTTGTACACTTCATGAGCATATTTTGTCATGAACATTTATCTCTTTAACTCGATAGTATTCAAAGAACTTTTTCTTTCACAAAAAAAATATGTGAGCCCCAGGGAAGAAGTGCAATCTATTAAAGGAACTTCAACACCTATGACCTGGTTAGAATCAGCCTGGCTCTAAGATTTTTCAACACCTCGTCGATTTGTCCATTCTTTTCGGGGATTGGCTGGTAGGAAGTCCACTATGGCAGCTTTACGCTCTTTCTTTAATGTTTGTGTTATATGAGTTGGGACATTTGTTTACTTTTTCTAGCTCAATATTGTACACCTGAAGATATATTGACGCTAAGGTCCGCTGCTGCTTTAGCTTATGTTTTTAAATGTATATAGATTTGACTGCAATGACACTTGTTATATTTTTTATACCAAGGCAGGGGAAAAACAAGGGAACTGGGATGGGATGCTACAAAATATCACAGCCAAGACTTTTATATACAACTCAGCTTTGCACATGTCTTCATGGAATCATGCATGACTCAACCAAACGACCAACTTTGAAACATTTAGGTGATTTTAAATCTATTTTCATAGAAATTACTGATTTATATACATATATATTAATCTGCCATTTCTGGAAAACTTTTCATGGTGAGCATGGTTGGTTTTAATAAATCTTTGGTGATGCATGGTCAATTTGGAGTGTAGTGTTTTCTGGAAATACAGGAAGATCTGTTTGGAAATACAATGAGCCTCCCTCATATCTTTCATGTACAAAGAATTCTCGATTTGAATACAAAAGTTTAAAAGTAATAGAAAAGTCTACAAATTTAACGAGCTTCAATAACTGTGACTGTTACATCATTTACAGAAGAAGCTCCTCTAGATGTTGAAGAATCCTGGCCACTATTTTTGAAACTAAATGCTGCCTTTTTAGGAGGTGGAAGACTAGTTTCATTCCCCAGCATAAATACAACATCTAACATGGTTGGCCTATCTGTTGCATATTCTTGCACACACAAGAGTCCAATTTGAATGCATCTCATAACTTCATGAGTAGAATATGACCTACTCAACAACGGATCAACCGTGTCCAAGCCTTTTCCTTCAATCCACAAGTCCCAGATCTGAAAACATTTTGAGCATAATCTTTAGGTTAACTATTCAAAAAGTAAATTCATCATCTGAAAAAAAGAAAGAAAGGATATCTGTTTACTTACTTGTCCAACCAAATTCAGAGAGGAATTTTCAAAATGGAAATTGTTCTTCCTGCCACTAATGATCTCTAGTGCTAAGACTCCAAAGCTAAAGACATCAGATTTTGTGGAATATAGCCCATCCATAGCATACTCAGGTGACATGTAACCACTGCAATGACACAATATCAGTACCTAAAAAGATATGGATACCATTGGAGTTTCATTTTGTAAATCGGTTGTGCATGTTTCGGATTGAGAGCAGAGAGTGAGAGTTTTACTATGTGCCAACAACTCTGTTTGTGTTTGCTTCAATCTGGTCATCTCTGAACATTCTTGCCATGCCGAAATCTGATATTTTTGGGTTCATTGAGGCATCCAGTAAAACATTGCTTGCTTTCAAATCCCTATGGATAATTTTTAGTCTTGAATCTTGATGAAGATATAGGACGCCCCGAGCAATTCCGATGATAATTTGAAACCGCTTTCTCCAATCCAACAATGACCTTCTGCTTTTATCTAAACCAGTACATAAAAGCTTGTATCAGATACAAGTTTAGGATTGCATAATTTTAGAGTTAGCTGGGTGTAGAGATGACATACCAAAAATGCACAAGTCCAGGCTGCGGTTTGGCATGTACTCGTAGATTAGCATCCTCTCTTCTTTATCTATGCAGCAACCCAAAAGCCTCACAAGATTTCTATGCTGGAGTTTTGCTATAAGCATTACTTCATTCTTGAATTCTTCGACGCCTTGTCCTGAATTTCTTGATAATCTTTTGACAGCTATTTCCTGTCCATCAGCTAGACATCCCTAAAATAGTAAAACAGATTCAAAAATTATAATCACAACTTCAGATCAATGTAATGTTTGCATTAATGTGTTGGTACATTTGCAGCAAAGTAAACTGATAACACATACATATTTCACATTTTTTACGAGTCATAAGGTACTGAGATACTCAAAATGTTCTAAAGAAAATACCTTATACACCATGCCAAAGCCACCATGTCCAAGCAAGTTAGCAGAAGAGAAGTTGTCCGTGGCTGCAACTATGGTGCTTAGATCAAAGAAAGGTAAATCCGTTTTTCCTCTGTGTTCATCAACCTCATTTTTCTTCAGTAGAACTTCATGGCTTCTTGAACCAGCAATGGCATCATTCAGCAATTCGGGTTGTCCTCCTCTCCCTGTTTCAATTCCATTACGATTTCAGGAATAACGATTTCAAATTTTAACTATCCAAAATTTGCTTTTTGTTACTTTATTAGCAACCAAACAGAATTCTAGATATCTAAGATCCTTATGAATTTACAAGATGAATAAATGGGAAGTTTTTGCATACCCTTCCTGCTCCTTTTCCTAAACCAACATAAAGCAGCGATGATAAGCAATGATGTAACAGCAATAGACACTCCTAATATAATAGCCAGTCTCCTATCTTTGGCAGAGAACCCTCCTCCTGACTTCTTTGTATACTGAGCTGAAAAAAAAGAACAAAAAGAAAAAGCTTTTCATTAATGCCATGAGTGATATATTAGATTTAACAATAACCAAGAAACTAAAATTCCAACTTCCATGAAAATTCAGAGAGCAAAAATGAAAAGCTTGCCCCCCTAACACTTAAGTTGAAAACTCAGGTACCTAACACAAGCGCATCGGCACGAATGTACAAATCTTGCCCCCCTTCTGTGAACTGCTTAGTATCCATTAAATCTCCAAACCATGCCATGCATCCACTCCCTCCATTCCTCACATCTGCACTGGCATAAGCCAAGCAAGAGCAGTTTCTCAAGCACTCTTCCCCACATGCTTCCAAACTCAAACTCCTGTTCAATTTTATTGTGGAAGTATCTGGAACCTTAACATTTTCCATCTTCACAAACCCTTCACCATTCCTACACATGGATGGTGACCCCTGAGGCCTCTTGCACCCACCCGTCCCATCTCTCAAATCCCAATCTTGTGGCGAGTTAGGTTCATAGCCAGGGTAGCATGTGCAGTTGAACCCACTGTTAGTGTAAGGATTGCAATCACCAAATTGACCACACTTGCCATAGCTGTCACAAGCATCCAATGGTGCTGACCAAAGGGTAACCCACTGGTGCTGCTGCCCCTGCCATGATAGCTGGTTGAGTGATCCTGTCCCATCTATGGTTATCACTGAGTAAATTGAAGGGTCAAGAACAGACCATTGAACAGCAATTTCATCTTGGTTGTTCACAAAATTGATCTTAAACACATTGTTGCTGCTCTCAGCCGGTATGCCACCCCATTGAATCCCATTCCATTGACCTGACCTCCACCACTTAGCTTGATTCCTGTACAAGATCAACTGTGGTGAGCCATTTGTGTCCATTCGTAATGAACAATTCCCAGTTCCAGGATCATTGTTCGAGTTCCAAGATGTGAGGAACCGGTTGATACCGCTTTTTTTGTCCAATCCAAGTTTCATACTTGAGAGAAGAGCATGTGTAGGATGATCAGAGCTTTGCCATAAAACATTCTGGTTGTCTTGTTGAACCAAAACAAAATTTCCTGAATCCAGGAGCTGTGCTACAATATTGTTGTTACCTGATGATGAGACAGAGACATTTGTTGACCACAGAGGAAGGCCTTGACTGCTATTACCATGAGCTAGTATGAGATTTCCATCAGTGTTGATTGAGAGAACTCCAGAGGTATCATTGAGAGGGTTGTCTCTGTTAGCTACCCACAAAACCTTGTCCTCTGAGAACTTGTACCAAATTCCAACATAGCGGTTGCTAGATGTGCCAGGACTGAAGAAACCAAGCACAAAGGTCTCATTCTTAGACACCAGGAAATCACCATCTCTGATAGATTGATTAAAGCTGATGGTGTCCAAAGAAGAGCAGAGCTGCAGAAGAAGGAGCTGAAGCACTAATGCTATTAGAAGACCTTTTACAAATTGCATTATTGCAGAGCAATTGCAGAACAAGGTTGACAAAGCACTGATTGCTAGCTAATGTAATGTTGAGCAAGTTATCTTGTTATTATTATTATTTTGTTTCATTTTTCGTACTTTATTTAAGAAGAGAAATTTGGCCCACCACAAAGGACTTCATGGAAGAAAACTTTAATTCAGACAATCCATTTAGAATGCAACGCCTTTGGACTTTGAACAGTTGGTGGGATATAGCGTCGCCAAGTCAAAAACATATGTTTTAACTTATATTATTAGAGCATATGAAATGATTATGATCAATGCAATTTTATTACATGAAATTGAACTAAAACAGTAAAATCTCACTTGCAATGGAGTAAGAACTCTCAATTGAATTGCAATAAGTTAACCATGAGACCCTCATGCCAATAAATTGAAGCTATTAAACTGTATCATTACAAGTAAAACTGCAGTTCAATTCAATTAAATTGCAGTTATATTGAACTATTGAACACAACACGAGGATTGACCATTTCAATTCAAGAAAGCCAAAATTTTGAGGAAATTGACACACCAACGGTTGCCATGGCCCCATCACTCACACATGAGGGCTAATGTTTTAACAGCCTTAAATCCACTTTGGAATTTTCCAAAAAGCAATAGATGTTTCAACCACTCGCCCAATAAGTAGACCATTGCTAAAATATATATTATCTCAGTCATGGTGGGCGTGCGTCTTATAAAATAAGATGAGGACAACAAAGTCTAGATGCAAAGTCAGAGGGTGTGTTCTCCCTTTCACACTTCCTTCCAGGTTCCAAAAATGAACTATGTGGAGCAGATGGCTATATCATTCAAATTTAATTTAATTTAATTTTATCATCAGTTTACAAGAAGATAGCAGCAGCCAGGGCTCATTTGCTGTGTGGTTTGTGGTTATAATTTGCTTAAATGGTGGCTGAATCAAAGGATAGTCAACCCCCAGAGTAGGTGTCTGGAGACAAGTGCTGTGTTGTGTTGTGTTGTCTGTGGGTAGCTGTTAACTAAAAGAAACTTTTTCCAAATGGATTCCAGTTTCTGGGAAAGTCAAGGTTTAGAGTGAGTTGATGTGCATTTTGATGTATACTAGTATGAACCTTTCTAATAACTAACCTCTCCTCACGCGCTTCCGCGCCTGTGATAGGTTATTTATTTTATTTATATTTATAATTTTTTTAAATTTAAATTTATTTTAGAATTAAAAAAGATAATGGGTAGTTGTGTTCCATAAAAATATGATTAATTATCTTATTTTTCTTTAATTTTAATTTTTTTAATATAAAAAAGTGTGAATTTATCATATTATCCTCATTTAATTAATATTTCAATTCTTAATGTTTGCATTGACCAATGACATTTTCTGGTATTTTGAATGTTTTACTATTCTTGCATTTTACTTTATATATAGATAAATAGGGCATTAATATACTTCATACGTGCTCTGTATGTATGGTTGTGACTTGTGACTTGTCACATGACTCATATCTATAATAGGAACCTTTTTCCGTTTTATTTTTATTAATTGGAAACGGGGCATTTGAATTTGGAGCATCTTCTAACATTTAAAAGTGAAGTACAACTAGACTAAGAAGACCAAATAGGAGCTTTACAATAAAAATCCATGTATCACTTCTCATACAATAAAAATCCATGTATCTAGATGCTAATTAATTTTTATAAGAATAATCTTATAGTCCTAAAGACTAATGCAATATTAGGAAATGTAATTGAAAAAATAGTCAATTTTTTGGTGAAGTGGAAGCCTGAGGCCCAAGCAACCTTTAAGCACAAACAAATCTGGGCCAAGTAACACCCACACCCACACCCACACCAACATGAACATGGCCCTCAAACAGGGCTCCGCCAATTTGGGTTTGGGTAAGGTCGTATCGGGCAACACATTCCTAAATTTGGCCCATGTCTACTTTGCGGAAACATTCCAAGTGTTTTGGGTTTCTTTTTTTATTTTAATTTTGTTTATTTTGTGCAAGCAAGAACAACTTCATTATAATAAGTCAGAAGTACCTAGCAGTAGCCGCCTCACTAAAATCTTGCCATAAAAAAAACCCGAAAGAATGAGTATCTATCAGTGAATTTCAATTTAAGCAATAATCACCTCATGACTATCGATAAATAGGAAGTCAATAATGATGATTGGAAAAGTCGGTAACTGACCAATACCAATAGTCAACTACCAATGTGTGTGAATGTTATTGTCCTGTAACCTGTTGTACCGCTGACAAAAAAGAAACATCAATGAAGCACCACCAGATTCATCATACATGCAAAATCCCAAATTCCCGGAAAAACAAAAATGTTTCTCGAAGCTTTGCTTGTGTTCTTCCTCCTCCTCTTTACCTTTTGCTCATCCATTGACACCATAGCACTGAACCAACTTGTGAAAGATGGTGACTTCATAGTGTCCAAAGAAAACAAATTTGAATTAGGCTTCTTCAGCCCCGACAACTCGAGCTCTCGCTATGTTGGGATTTGGTATGCAAATAAGTCTGAAAAGGCAGTGGTTTGGGTTGCAAACAGAAACAACCCCATCAATGATACCTCTGGTGTTCTCACAATCAACAGGTACGGAAAATTGGTTCTTTATGCTCACAATATTGACGACGTTTCTATTTGGTCAACAAATGTGTCGGTCGAAACCACAAGCACTTGTGTAGCTCAGCTTTTAGACACAGGAAATTTAGTGCTTTTCCCGGATAGTATTAGTAAAAGTGAAAGCTTTATATGGCAGAGTTTTGATTACCCTACAGATACTCTACTTTCCGGAATGAAAGTTGGGTTGAATTGGAAAACTGGGATGGAATGGATCTTAACATCTTGGAAGTCCCAAAATGACCCTGGAACGGGGAACTATAGCTTGAGGCTCAATTCCAATCAGACTGCTACGCCTGAATATTTTTGTACAAGGGTTCGACCAAATATTGGAGAATGGATCCAGGGCCAAGGCCCTTTTTGTGACGGATAATGAAGAAATGTACTATTCCCCATTTTGTCTGATAACACCTCAGTAATTAGATCGGTGGTGACGGATTATGGGGTTTATCAACAACTGCTATGGAGTGAGGCTACTAATAAATGGGAGGAGCTCTGGGCTGCACCAAAATACCGGTGTGACCCATATGGCCGCTGTGGTGCCAACAGCAAATGTAGCCCTGACAATATTAATAGGTTTGAGTGTGAGTGCCTACCAGGGTATGAACCAAAATCTCAAAATGCTTGGAATGGGAGAGATGGGTCAGATGGGTGTGTGAGTAAGCGAATGGGGGTGTCAAAGTGTGGGAATGGGGAAGGGTTTGTGAAGGTGGCACGGGTGAAAGAGCCAGACACATTGGAAGCAGCACGATTGTTAGCAAGTACCAGTGCCAATGAGTGTGAGCAGGTGTGCTTACGCAATTGTTCCTGCACGGCATATATACACATAGAATGGGACGGTCGCAATGATTGCTTGGTATGGTACGGTGAGTTGCTGGACATTTTAGTCCGCTCAGAGCTAGGACAAGATCTATATGTTCGGGTGGACAAAATGGAATTAGGTACTACTTGGCTTGCCAAGGAAAATTTCAGTTATAAATTTTCAGAATCTGTGAAACTTACTAGACTGGTTTTGGTGTCCATATGAGTTCTCTTTTCCATGGTTCTAATCCTTTGTCCCACTCTTATGTGTAGCTGATAATACCAGAAAATCGAAAGGTTTTCTCAAAAGGAGGGGTTTGCTGGCTATTGCAATAGTGGCTGTGCTTCTCACATTCGTACTAATCATTGTGTTTGTGTACTGGTGGCTGAAGAGAAAGAGGACGATAAAAGGTATGAGAAGTACTTATCTGTGTTGAATTGTTTAACTGTTTCATCTAAATAAAACAGCAATGTGCTCATGGAAGTATGGAAGTACGGAATTGGTTGTTAAAAGTTCCATTTTCTAGTCATTTTGTCAATGCAAATGGAACACTGAGGAGAAAAGGAACACTAATTTTGTTTTTGTGATTGCAAAGACTTTGTGGAGGCGGATGAACTTGAGGAAACTAGGAGACACCCAGAGCTGCAATTTTTCCATCTGAGCACAATAATAGTAGCCACAGACAACTTCTCTCCTGTCAATAAACTTGGCCAAGGTGGTTTTGGCACTGTTTATAAGGTAAGGTCCCATTTCAAAGTCCTAACATTTCATAATCGAATGATTTCTTCTGAGCAGTAGAAAATACTCTTCTTCTCAAAGCTTTATAATGGTGTTGAACCATAACTTCAGGGTCTGTTAGCAAATGATCAGAAGATTGCTGTAAAAAGATTGTCCAAAACTTCAGGACAAGGAATTGAAGAATTCAAAAATGAAGTTGCTCTGATAGCTAGACTTCAACACAGAAATCTTGTGAAACTTTTAGGCTGTTGTATAAAGGGAGAAGAAAGGATGTTAGTTCTGGAACACTTGCCAAACAAAAGCTTGGACTCCATTCTTTTTGGTATGTCTAGAGGAAAGATTCATTTGTACATGCCATTTATAAAATGATGAAGAATATTCTTGAAGCTTCCTACTGAACTTTATAACATTTATTTACTCGAAAGCCAAATATCTTGATGCAGATCACGCTAAAAGATCCTTGTTGGATTGGAAAAAGCGGTTTGAAATTATCAATGGGGTTGCTCGTGGGATTCTTTATCTCCACCAGGACTCAAGACTTAGGATAATCCATAGGGATCTAAAAACCAGCAATGTTCTTCTAGATGCTGAGATGAACCCAAAAGTTTCAGATTTTGGCATGGCAAGAATATTCCATGGGGACAAACTGCAGGATAAGACCAATAGAGTTGTTGGAACATAGTAAGAATCATATTTGCACTCACAAATTCTTGGAATAAATCACCATATACTGAACTTTCATATTCATTTTACTGTTCTTTGGCTGTAATGCTGTTTGATTTTGTTCATATGCATAATGCAGTGGCTATATGTCACCAGAGTATGCAGTGTTCGGGAGATATTCAACGAAATCAGATGTCTTTAGTTTTGGGATCATATTGTTAGAGGTTGTAAGCGGCAAGAAAAACAGCGGTTCTTATCAGCAGGATGAATCGCTAAACTTGGTAGGACATGTAAGTAACACAAGTTTTGCTAACAATCTACTCTTTGCACTTAATTCTTATGCATCCCTTTTCAAAACGTTACTGTCAACAACTACAGGTTTGGCAGCTGTGGAGAGAAGATAGAGCCTTAGAAATTGTGGATTCGTCAGTAGCGTCATATGTGCCTGATGAAGTCATGAGATGCATTCAAGTCGGTCTCTTGTGTGTGCAAGAAGATCCAAAGGACCGACCAAGCATGTCAACTGTTGTCTTCATGTTGAGTGGTGAAGCATCTCCTCCATCTCCTAAGCAGCCTGCATTTGTCTTCAGAAAAAGTTCCGGCAATGATGCTGCTGATCCATCAATTCCAGAAGGATCAGATTCGTCTATAAACGACTTGACAATAACTAAACTTGAATCTCGATAATGATACATGCTCTTGCTGTCATAATTATCAAAGTGCTATTCTATTTGGCTTCCTTCTTATCAATTTACCGCTTTGCTAGACTCTTGGAATGGCACTAGTATATATTGGTCATAATTTAAACAAGACAAACTTTCTCGTTTATGTGACATACTTGTATTAGCAAACAATGTAAACTATTTAGTACGTTTTTGGTGAAACGGAGGCCCAAGTTCCAAGAACTTTAAGCATGGGAGGGGGCCTAAGTTGAAGTTGTGTGTTGAGGGGTTTAAGAGCATCTACAATCATGCTTCATGTGTGCTCTGTATTGTGAGTATAGTTGTGACTTGTGATTTGTCACATAACTCACATCTATAATAGGAACTTTTTTTCGTTTTATTTTTATTAATTCGAAACGGAGCATCTTCTAACATTTGAAAGTGAAATACAACTAGACTAAGAACTAGTTGGTTGTAGTTTTACAATAAAAATAGTCTTATACAGTTCTAAAGACTAATGCAATATTATATATAAACATTAGGAAATGTAATTGAAAAAATAGTAAATTTTTCGGTGAAGTGGATGCTTGAGGCCCAAGCAACCTTTAGGCACACACGAATCTGGGCCGAGTAACACCAACACCAACACAAACATGAACAAGGTGCTCAAACAGACAGGGCTCCACTAATTTGGGTTTGGGGAAGGTCAAGTATCGGGCAACACAGTCATAAATTTGGCCCATGTCTACTTTGCGGAAACATTCCAAGTGTTTTGGGTTTCAAATTTTTTTTTTTTATGCAAGCAAGAACAACTTCATTATAAAAGAAGTTTGAAAAAAATCAATCAATTAATAATAGAAAACAGGTACCTATCAGTAGCCGCCTCACTAAAATCTTTCCATAAAAAAACCCGAAAGAGAGTATCTATCAGTGAATTTCAAATTTAATCAATGATCACCTCATGACTATCAATAAAAAGAAACTCAATAATCATTTTATACAGATGGTTGGAAAAATCGGTAACTGACCAACCTCAAAGACTTTGAGTTGAGCCAAGAATGGCGCCTATATATAATCGGGTATAGATATTAGGCGTGATTGAATGTCGTTGTCCTGTCCTACCGCTGACCAAACCGAAAGTCCCATGCTGCTGGGTAGTGTTCGTGACAAACAAGTAGCAGCCATTTTCATCAAACATTGTCAATGATTAGAAAGTAGCATGCAAACTCCAAAAATTCCCCGAAAACAAAATGCTTTTCAAAGCTTTGCTTGTGTTCTTCCTCCTCCTCTTCCCATTTTGCACATCCATTGACACCATAGCACTGAACCAGCATGTGAAAGATGGTGACTTTATAGTGTCCAAAGAAAACAAATTTGAATTAGGCTTCTTCAGCCCCGGCAATTCGAGCTCTCGCTATGTTGGAATTTGGTATGCTAATAAGTCTGACAAGGCAGTGGTTTGGGTTGCAAACAGAAACAACCCCATCAATGATACCTCTGGCGTCCTCACCATCAACAGGTATGGAAAATTGGTTCTTTATGCTCACAATACTGAGAATCTTTCTATTTGGTCCACAAATGTGTCGGTCCAAACCACAAGCAGTTGTGTAGCTCAGCTTTTAGATACAGGAAATTTAGTGCTTTTCCCGGATAGTATTAGTAAAAGTGAAAGCTTTATATGGCAGAGTTTTGATTACCCTACAGATACTCTACTTTCCGGAATGAAAGTTGGTTTGAATTGGAAAACTGGGATGGAATGGATCTTAACATCTTGGAAGTCCCAAAATGACCCTGGAACGGGGAACTATAGCTTAAGGCTCAATTCCAATCAGACTGCTACGCCTGAATATTTTTTGTACAAGGGTTTGACCAAATATTGGAGAATGGATCCAGGGCCAAGGCCCATTTTTGTGACGGATAATGAAGAAATGTACTATTCCCCATTTTTGTCTGATAACACCTCAGTAATTAGATCGGTGGTGACGGATTATGGGGTTTATCAACAACTGCTATGGAGTGAGGCTACTAATAAATGGGAGGAGCTCTGGGCTGCACCAAAATACCGGTGTGACCCATATGGCCGCTGTGGTGCCAACAGCAAATGTAGCCCTGACAATATTAATAGGTTTGAGTGTGAGTGCCTACCAGGGTATGAACCAAATCTCAAAATGCTTGGAATGGGAGAGATGGGTCAGATGGGTGTGTGAGTAAGCGAATGGGGGTGTCAAAGTGTGGGAATGGGGAAGGGTTTGTGAAGGTGGCACGGGTGAAAGAGCCAGACACATCGGAAGCAACACGATTGTTAGCAAGTATCAGTGCCAATGATTGTGAGCAGGTGTGCTTACGCAATTGTTCCTGCACGGCATATATACACACAGAATGGGACGGTCGCAATGATTGCTTGGTATGGTACGGTGAGTTGCTGGACATTTTAGTCCGCTCAGAGCTAGGACAAGATCTATATGTTCGGGTGGACAAAATGGAATTAGGTACTACTTGGCTTGCCAAGGAAAATTTCAGTTATAAATTTTCAGAATCTGTGAAACTTACTAGACTGGTTTTGGTGTCCATATGAGTTCTCTTTTTCATGGTTCTAATCCTTTGTCCCATTCTTATGTGTAGCTGATAATACCAGAAAATCGAAAGGTTTTCTCAAAAGGAGGGGTTTGCTGGCTATTGCAATAGTGGCTGTGCTTCTCGCATTTGTACTAATCATTGTGTTTGTGTACTGGTGGCTGAAGAGAAAGAGGACAATAAAAGGTATGAGAAGTACTTATCTGTGTTGAATTGTATAACTGTTTCATCTAAATAAAACAGCAATGTGCTCATGGAAGTATGGAATTGGTTGTTAAAAGTTCCATTTTCTAGTTATTCACCGAGGAGAAAAGGAACACTAATTTTGTTTTTGTGATTGCAAAGACTTTGTGGAGGCGGATGAACTTGAGGAAACTAGGAGACACCCAGAGCTGCAATTTTTCCATCTGAACGCAATAATAGTAGCCACAGACAACTTCTCTCCTGTCAATAAACTTGGCCAAGGTGGTTTTGGCACTGTTTATAAGGTAAGGTCCCATTTCAAAGTCCTAACATTTCATAATCGAATGATTTCTTCTGAGCAGTAGAAAATACTCTCCTTCTCAAAGCTTTATAATGGTGTTGAACCATAACTTCAGGGTCTGTTAGCAAATGATCAGAAGATTGCTGTAAAAAGATTGTCCAAAACTTCAGGACAAGGAATTGAAGAATTCAAAAATGAAGTTGCTCTGATAGCCAGACTTCAACACAGAAATCTTGTGAAACTTTTAGGCTGTTGTATAAAGGGAGAAGAAAGGATGTTAGTTCTGGAACACTTGCCAAACAAAAGCTTGGACTCCATTCTTTTTGGTATGTCTAGAGGAAAGATTCATTTGTACATGCCATTTCTAAAATGATGAAGAATATTCTTGAAGCTTCCTACTAAACTTTATAACATTTATTTACTCGAAAGCCAAATATCTTGATGCAGATCACGCTAAAAGATCCTTGTTGGATTGGAAAAAGCGGTTTGAAATTATCAATGGGGTTGCTCGTGGGATTCTTTATCTCCACCAGGACTCAAGACTTAGGATAATCCATAGGGATCTAAAAACCAGCAATGTTCTTCTAGATGCTGAGATGAACCCAAAAGTTTCAGATTTTGGCATGGCAAGAATATTCCATGGGGACAAACTGCAGGATAAGACCAATAGAGTTGTTGGAACATAGTAAGAATCATATTTGCACTCACAAATTCTTGGAATAAATCACCATATACTGAACTTTCATATTCATTTTACTGTTCTTTGGCTGTAATGCTGTTTGATTTTGTTCATATGCATAATGCAGTGGCTATATGTCACCAGAGTATGCAGTGTTCGGGAGATATTCAACGAAATCAGATGTCTTTAGTTTTGGGATCATATTGTTAGAGATTGTAAGCGGCAAGAAAAACAGCGGATCTTATCAGCAGGATGAATCGCTAAACTTGATAGGACATGTAAGTAACACAAGTTTTGCTAACAATCTACTCTTTGCACTTAATTCTTATTCATCCCTTTTCAAAACGTTACTTTCAAAAACTACAGGTTTGGCAGCTGTGGAGAGAAGATAGAGCCTTAGAAATTGTGGATTCATCACTAGAGTCATATCATTCTGATGAAGTCATGAGATGCATTCAAGTCGGGCTCTTGTGCGTGCAAGAAGACGCAGAGGACCGACCAACCATGTCAGCCGTTGTATTTATGTTGAGTGGTGAAGCATCTCTACCATCTCCTCAGCAGCCTGCATTTGTCTTCAGAAAAAGTTCCGGCAATGATGCTGCTGATCCATCAATTCCAAAAGGATCAGATTCGTCTATTAACGACTTGACAATAACTAAACTTGAATCTCGATAATGATACATGCTCTAGCTGTCATAATTATCAAAGTGCAATTCTTTTTGGCTTCCTTGCTTCTTATCAATTTACCGCTTTGCTAGGCTCTTGGAATGGTCTTTTTACAAAACAAAAAACTCTTGGAATGGCATTACTTGTATATATTGGTCATAATTTAAACAAATTTTCTTGTTTTTGTGACATACTTGTATTAGCAAACAATGTAAACTATTTAGTACGTTTTTGGTGAACCGGAGGCCCGAGTTCCAAGAACGTTTTTGGTTATAGATATTATGCGTCATTGAATGTTATTGTTCTGTTCTACCGCTGACCAAACCGAAAGTCCCATGCTGCTGGGTCGTGCTGCACGTGATAGGACTTCAAAAATGTAGCAGCCATTTTCATCAAACATTGTCAATGATTAGAAAGTAGCAGAAACACCAACCGATTCATTGTACATGCAAACCCCAAAAATTCCCCGAAAACAAAATGCTTTTCGAAGCTTTGCTTGTGTTCTTCATCGTCCTCTTCCCATTTTGCACATCCATTGACACCATAGCAGTGAACCAGCATGTGAAAGATGGTGACTTTATAGTGTCCAAAGAAAACAACTTTGAATTAGGCTTCTTCAGCCCCGGCAACTCAGGCTCTCGCTATGTCGGAATTTGGTATGCTAATTTGTCTGACAAGGCAGTGGTTTGGGTTGCAAACAGAAACAACCCCATCAATGATACCTCTGGCGTCCTCGCCATCAACAGGTATGGAAAATTGGTTTGCTCACAATACTGAGAATCTTTCTATTTGGTCCACAAATGTGTCAGTCCAAACCACAAGCACTTGTGTAGCTCAGCTTTTAGATACAGGAAATTTAGTGCATTTCCGGGATAGTAAAAGTGAAGGCTTTATATGGCAAAGTTTTGATTATCCTACAGATACTCTACTTCCAAGAATGAAAGTTGGGTTGAATTGGAAAATTGGGTTGGAATGGGTCTTAACATCTTGGAAGTCCCAAAATGACCCTGGAACTGGTAACTATAGCTTGAGGCTCTATTCAAACCAGACTGCTACGCCCCAAATATTTCTGTACAAGGGTTTGACCAAATATTGGAGAAGTGATCCAGGGCCATGGCCAAATATTGGAGAGTAATAATGAAGAAATGTATTTTCCCTTTTAACTGATAACACCTCTGTAATTAGATCCTTGTTGACGGATTACGGGATACTGCAACAACTGAGATGGAATGATGCGGTTAATCAATGGGAGGAACTCTTTGCTGCCCCAAAATATCGGTGTGACCGATATGGACATTGTGGTGCCAACAGCAAATGTAGCCCTGACAATATTAATATGTTTGAATGTGAGTGCCTACCGGGGTATGAACCAAAATCTTTGAATGATTGGAACCGGAGAGATGGGTCAGATGGGTGTGTGAGCAAGCGAATTGGGGTGTCAAACTGTGGGGATGGGGATGGGTTTGTGAAGGTGGTGCGGGTGAAATATCCAGACACATTGAAAGCCGCACAATTGTTGCCAAATACTAAGTGCCAATGAGTGTAAGCAGGTGTGCTTAAGCAATTGTTCCTGCACGGCATATATGGGCATACAATGGGAAGGCCGCATTGATTGCTTGGCATGGTACGGCGAGTTGTGGGACATTTTAGTATACACGGAGCTAGGGCGAGATCTATATGTTCGTGTGGACAAAATGGGATTAGGTACTACTTCGCTTTCCAAGGAAAATTCAATTGTAAATTTCAGAATCTTTGTGAAACTTACTGGACTGGTTTTGGTGTCCACACGAGTTCTCTTTTTCATGGTTTTCTAATCCTTTGTCTCACTCTATTGTGTAGCTGAGTATACCAGAAAATCGAAAGGTTTTCTCAAAAGTAGGGGCTTGCTGGCTATTCCAATGGCGGCTGTTGCATTGGTACTAACCACTGGGTTTGCCTGCTGGTGGCTTAAGAAAAAGAGGAAGATGAAAGGTATGAGAAGTACTCACCTGCTTTGAATTGTTTAACCGTTTCATCTAAATAAAAAGCAGTTTGCTCATAATTGTATGGAATTGGTCATAACACTTTTGCAGTCTGACTGAACCACTCCGCTTCAATAGGATCCATATGCACTGTGTTAAATTTCCATTTTCTAGTATGCAAACAGAACACTAAGGAGAAAATGAATGCTAATATGCTTTTTGTGATAGCAAAGATTTTGTGGGGGCGGATGAACTTGAGGAAACTAGGAGAAACCCAGAGATGCAATTTTTCCATCTGAGCGCAATAATAGTAGCCACAGGCAACTTCTCTCCTGTCAATAAACTTGGCCAAGGTGGTTTTGGCACTGTTTATAAGGTAAGTTCTAATATCAAAGTCCTAACATTTCATAATTGAATGATTTCTTCTGAGAAGTAGAAAATAGTCTTCTTCTCAAAGCTTTATAATAGTGCTGAACCATAACTTCAGGGTCAGTTAGCAAATGATCAGAAGATCGCTGTAAAAAGATTGTCCAAAATTTCAGGACAAGGAATTGAAGAATTCAAAAATGAAGTTGCACTGATAGCCAGACTTCAACACAGGAATCTTGTGAAACTTTTAGGCTGTTGTATAAAGGGAGAAGAAAGGATGTTAGTCCTGGAATACTTGCCGAACAAAAGCTTGGACTCCTTTCTTTTTGGTATGTCTAGAGGAAATATAAATTGTACATGCCATTTCTAAAATTTGGAAGAAATTTTTTTAAGCTTCTTACTAAAGTATATATATAATATTTATTTACTCAAAAGCCAAATATCTCGATGTAGATCACACAAGACGTTCCTTGTTGGATTGGAAAAAGCGCTTTGAAATTATCAATGGTGTTGCTCGTGGGATTCTGTATCTTCACCAGGATTCAAGACTTAGGATTATTCATAGGGATCTAAAAACCAGCAATGTTCTTCTAGATGCTGAGATGAACCCAAAAATATCAGATTTTGGCACGGCAAGAATATTCCAAGGGGACCAACTGCAGGATAAAACCAACAGAGTTGTTGGAACATAGTAAGAACTATACTTGCAATCACACATTCATGGATTAAATCACCATAATCTCACCTTTCATATTCATCTTATTATTCTTTGGTTGTAATGCAGTGGATATATGTCACCTGAGTATGCAGTGTTTGGAAGATATTCAACCAAATCAGATGTCTTTAGTTTTGGGATCATATTATTGGAGATTGTGAGTGGCAATGGATCTTATCAAGAGGACCATTCCATAAACTTGATAGGACATGTGAGCAACACAAACTTTGCCAACAATTTCCCCTTCCTACTTACTACTCATATTCATCCCTTCTGAAAATGTTACTGTCAATAACTACAGGTTTGGCAGCTGTGGAGAGAAGATAGAGCCTTAAAAATTGTGGATTCATCACTAGAGTCATATCATTCTGATGAAGTCATGAGATGCATTCAAGTCGGGCTCTTGTGCGTGCAAGAAGACGCAGAGGACCGACCAACCATGTCAGCTGTTGTATTTATGTTGGGTGGTGAAGCATCTCTACCATCTCCTCAGCAGCCTGCATTTGTCTTCAGAAAAAGTTCCTGCGGTGGTGGTTATCTATCAAGTCCACAAGGATTATATTCTGTTAACGACTTGACAATAACTAAACTTGAAGCTCGATAAGGATTCAGGCTGTTGCTTCCACAATTATCAAAATGTTATTTGTTTTATTGACCTTCATGTGACATTTCGGCACTGCATAATGTGCCCATCACCTTAATACAAATTTATAATCTATCTATTCGTGTGAACTTTTCGAAAGAGAGTGATGAATTTTGAGATGCAACCTTTGGATAAGCCACAAATTGAAATGCATAAATTGGCGTTTACAATCTTCAAAATGTGACATTACACAGCAGATTGTTTCTTCACCCCAAAATAGAACACTCAGGAGAAAAGGAATGCTAATTTTCTTTTTGTGATTGCAAAGACTTTGCGGAGGCGGATGAACTTGAGGAAACTAGGAGACACACAGAGCTGCAATTTTTCCTTCTGAGCGCAATAATAGTAGCCACTGACAACTTCTCTCCTGTCAATAAACTTGGCCAAGGTGGTTTTGGCACTGTTTATAAGGTAAGGTCCCATTTCAAAGTCCTAACATTTCATAATTGAATGATTGCTTTGAAAAGCTTTATGATGGTGTTGAACCATAACTCCAGGATCTGTTAAAAAATGATCAGAAGATTGCTGTAAAAAGATTGTCCAAAACTTCAGGACAAGGAATTGAAGAATTAAAAAATGAAGTTGCTCTGATAGCTAGACTTCAACACAGAAATCTTGTGAAACTTTTAGGTTGTTGTATAAAGGGAGAAGAAAGAATGTTAGTCCTGGACCACTTACCAAACAAAAGCTTGGACTCCATTCTTTTTGATATGTCAGAGGAAAGATTCATTTGTACATGCCATTTTTAAAATGATGAAGATATTCTTGAAGCTTCCTACTAAACTATGTTGATGCTCTTTTTGGGAGGTCAACTTAGAGAGTAGGTGATAGTGAATGATGGGTGAAGGTGAGGACCTTCAGCATGTGTGTGAAGACTTGGGCAAGCGATAAATGTAAAGAAGACAAGATATACGTGGTTCACCC